AAGCTCAAGCGCATGGTTGCAGATCAACAGGAAGCCGAACAGAAGAAGACTGCTTCAATAGAGATCCAGGCGGCCCTTGTCGAGCAAGATAAGAACATTGCACAACGTCGCTCCGTCGTCATGGCGGACTTGGCCGACGCGGAACCAGCTGTCCTGGATGCCCAGGCTGCCGTTAGCAGCATCAAGAAGCAGCATCTCCAGGAGGTCAGAACCATGGCGAACCCTCCTGAAGCAGTGAAGCTTGCCATGGAGTCCGTGTGTACCCTGTTGGGACACAAGATTGACAGCTGGCGCACTGTTCAGGGTATCATTCGCCGGGATGACTTCATTCTGAGGATCGTCAACTTTGATACCAATAGTCAAATGACGAAGCCCCTTCGCGAGCTGATGAAAAAGGACTTCTTGAGCCGACCTTCGTTTAACTTCGAAACTGTACAGCGTGCGAGTAAAGCTTGCGGTCCCCTAGTGAAATGGGTTCTCGCTCAAGTACGCTTCTCGGAGATTCTCGACAAGGTGGAACCTTTGCGCAATGAGGTCCAATCACTGGAATCGCAAGCGGACATGACGAAGAAACAGGCCTCCCAAATTATCACCATTGTGGCCGAGTTGGAGTCCAAAATTGCGACCTACAAAGAGGAGTACGCATTGCTTATTAGCGAGACTCAGGCTATCAAATCGGAGATGGAGCGTGTGCAGAGCAAAGTGGACAGGAGCATGAAACTCTTGGAAAGTTTGTCATCGGAGAAAGGTCGTTGGGAGGCAGGGAGTCGCACATTCGACGCGGAAATGAGCACCATCGTTGGTGATGTCCTACTTTCAGCTGCCTTTTTGGCTTATGGCGGCTTCTTCGATCAACATTATCGCGAGGTCATGTGGCAAGATTGGTCGAGTCATCTTCACGAGGCAAGCATCAAGTTCAAGCCAGAGCTTTCGCTCACAGAGTATCTATCAACTGCGGATGACCGCCTGAGCTGGCAATCAAAGTCACTCCCATCGGACAATTTGACCACGGAGAACGCAATCATGTTGAAACGATTCAGCCGCTATCCTCTCATCATCGATCCCACAGGACAAGCCACCGCGTTCCTTCTTAACGAATACAGGGACCGCAAGATCACTGTCACTAGCTTCTTGGATGAGGCATTCCTGAAGGTCCTTGAGAGCGCTCTTCGTTTCGGCAATCCTTTACTGATCCAAGATGTCGAACATCTCGATCCTATCTTGAACGCTGTATTGAACAAAGAAATCAGGAGAACGGGTGGTCGTGTTCTCATCCGCCTTGGCAGCCAGGACATCGACTTCTCTCCTTCGTTCACCATGTTTTTGTCCACTCGTGACCCCTCCGTCGAGTTTTCTCCGGATATCTGCAGCAGGGTGACGTTTGTCAACTTCACCATGACGAGGAGTAGTCTCCAGAGTCAGTCGCTTGACCAGGTTCTCAAAGTCGAACGTCCAGACACTGAACGCAAGAGAACTGACCTAATGAAGGCTCAAGGAGAGTTCCGACTTCGCCTTCGCACACTCGAAAAGTTGCTGCTGCAAGCTCTCAATGAATCAACGGGCAATATTCTTGACGACGACAAAGTCATTAGCACCTTGGAGACCCTCAAACGAGAGGCTGCAGACATTACACACAAAGTCGAAGAGACGGATATCGTCATGAAGGAGGTTGAACAAGTGACTGCAGAGTATCTGCCTTTGGCACAGGCATGCAGTTCCGTCTTTTTCATTCTTGAGCAACTCAACCTGGTCAACCACTTCTATCAATTCTCGCTACGGTTCTTCTTGGACATATTCGACTACGTTTTGCACCACAATCCCAATCTCAAGAACGTATCCGACCATCATCGCCGACGCGAGATCCTCCTCAACGACTTGTTCTTGATTGTCTACAAGCGGACTTCTCGGGCTCTTCTTCATCGCGATCATGTGATGCTCGCCGTTCTTCTGGCTCAGGTCAAGCTCCGAGGAATGGAAGAGATTAACGATGGACTGGAGTTCCTATTGGAGAGCGGGCAAGGCGTCGGAGTTTCTACAGCTCCCTCAACAGAGCAGCCCGCCCCCTCAATTCTGACGCCAGATCAGATGATGCACTTGGAGAACTATGCGAAACAATCTCTGTTCAAGCCAGTTCTCAACAACATTTTGGAACACCCAGATAGTTGGATTCCCTTCCTGCAATCGAGCAATCCAGAATCTATTGTTCCAATGCCATGGGAACCCAATACGCGTGAGTGACCACACATTTTCATTGCGGGCAACTGCTGATCGGATCGTAGCTGCCGTTGAAGCGCTGCGTTCATTGTTAATCGTCAAGTGCCTCCGGCCCGACAGACTGCTGCAGTCTACGGCCCTATTCGTTCGAACTGTGTTCCAGAGCGACCTTTCGTCCGATTCAGACCTGGGTGCCATGGTCGCGAATGAGGTGCCGGCTGCAACTCCTTTGGCCCTTGTATCGGTTACAGGTTACGACGCCAGTTACCGCGTAGAGAACCTTATACAGTCTACTGGTTCACGTTCCTCCTCCGTGGCTATGGGCTCTCAAGAAGGATTCACGTTGGCAGATCAAGCAATCGCAGCAGCATCCCGTCAAGGGACATGGGTGCTTCTGAAGAACGTGCATCTCGCTCCTACCTGGCTAGGACAGCTGGAAAAGAAGCTCCAGACTTTGAATCCTCATCGAAACTTCCGTCTTTTCCTGACCTTAGAAGCGAATCCTTCCATTCCTGTAAACATTCTACGTCAGTCACGCATCATCATGAATGAGCCTCTGCCAGGAATCAAGGCGAACCTCTTGGACTCACTCGGATCCATACCGCCACAGCGGCTGACGCAAGGTCCATCGGAGAAAATCCGTTTGTACTTCCTATTGGCATGGTTCCATGCTGTCGTCCAAGAACGTCTCCGCTATGTCCCTTTAGGCTGGAGCAAGACATACGACTTTAATGACTCCGATATGTCTTCGGCTTTTGGAACTATCGATACCTGGCTCAATGCAGTTGCCAAAGGACGGACAAACGTAGACCCGGCCACCATTCCTTGGGATGCCCTCAGAACGCTGATCAAACAGTCCGTGTATGGAGGAAGAGTCGACAGTGATTTTGACCAGCGCATTTTGGATGCCTTTGTCGACAAGCTCTTTACGCCTGCTGCGTACAATGTCGACTTCGACCTTGTTCCAACCATCGGTGGAGACCACGCACTTGAAGCTCCCGATGGCACCAAACTAGAGCATTTCCTGTCCTGGGTGCAACGCCTGCCTGATCGCGAACCACCTGCATGGCTAAGCCTTCCTCCAACCGCAGAGCGTGTTATTGCTGTAGCACAAGGTACACAATATACATTTGCGTTGTCACCTCTCTGATTGTTTTGTTTTAAAGGCAATGAACTGCTTAGTAAATTGCGTAAGATGCGGACTCTGGCAGATGATGATGAACTCGGGAGTGCCGCTGGTCCCTCAAAAAGCCAGACCTCGCAGCAGCCTGCATGGATGCGCAATCTTCACGAGCGGTGCCGTGAATGGCTCACCCAGCTGCCTTCGGTGAGTTTCTTGATGGATCTGCTGTCCATATGTCGCTCACTGTCTGGTTTTAGACATTAAATACTCTGCCAAAGCAATCCAATGACAATCCCGATCCCCTTTATCGTTTGTTCTTCCGGGAGGCTACGATTGGACGCAAACTTCTCGACCAGGTTTGCAAGGACCTGGCAGACGTGGTGAAGGTGTGTGATGGGGAACTCAAGCAAACAAATCACCTGCGAACCTTGATGAGCTCCCTGACAAAAGGTTCTTTGTCGCTACCTTTCTCTTTTGCATCGAATACTAATGCATGCTAGGAACTATCCCTTCTCATTGGAGGAGATACAAGGTGCCAAAGGCTATGTCCGTGTCAGAGTGGATTCCAGATCTGGCTCGTCGGTTGTCTCAGCTCGATGGCATAACGACTGTGCAACAAAATCTTTCCAACGTGGAGGTGTGGCTTGGTGGACTGTTCTTCCCTGAAGCCTATATCACAGCGACTCGTCAAACTGTGGCACACCGGAAACGATGGAGTCTTGAGACCCTTCACCTACGCCTCGACATCGGCCAGATGAACGACCCGGGTGCTTTCATTGTTGACGGTATGTTGTTGCTCTCCCTCCTTTCCGCCAAATTTACTCAATGTTTGTAGGTCTTGTTCTGGAGGGCGCTGCTTGGGACGCAGAGAATGAAAAGTTGATGCTCAATGATGGGCAGGCTGTTCGCCTAAATGCCTCTCAAATCCGCTGGATACAAGACGACTCCAGCAACGATGAGCAACCTGCCAACTTAGTCACACTGCCGGTTTACCTCAACAACGACCGCAGTGATGTGATGTTTACGGTAGATCTACCATTCGATGGACATTCAGCGTCGCTGGTCGCAATGAGGGCTGTTTGTCTCACTGCAAGGGGTTGAGCGACTGACTTGGATATTACTTTTGGTATACTGTATACATAATCAACTGTTCCCATATCATGATACCATTCCTTCCTTCGGATTCCTGTATTTTATGACGGCTGCGGAATTATAATGATCATCTGTTACTATCGATATCTTGTCTGCCGTGTCAACAACGCTTTCAGTCCTGCCACATGCCGCCACGAGAAAATAAGTACAGTATGGGTCACACGTTTCATACTGCGGTACATCTTCGAAATCCCCGTGCGTGGTCAGCAGCACTAATTAACACTTGTCTGCATATCGTGTACGGCGATGATGATCAAGCGGCATAATGCATCTACCAAGGCCGCTATATCGATTCAACTCCCACCAAACAATACTTATCATCCACGCCAGATTCAGTCATTTCTAGCTGTCTTCATCGTGTAGCATGTCGCTGGAGGCGATGTTGAAGCAGCGCAACCGATTCCGTTCAACGAGAATCCGATACGTATACGTGCACTGTGTATTAAAATTATTTGACTGACCTGACTTGTGAAACCAAACACATTGAGCGATCGAGCATGGACGTGCATGATGATGGCAAATCAGAATTCATGGATATTAGAATACCAGTCACAAGGATTCTATAAGTAAGCACTCGATTTTCGCACTCATCAATATACCTCTCTCCATCTCTCAGAGTCCCTTAGCTATTAATCTTCATCCCGCACATAGTGGTCGACCGGGCCCAGCTGCTGCTCTCTTGTCATATCTCCTAGCAACTGAGCTCCGGGCACGCCCGAGTCTCGTATAATGGCGCCTTGAATTTCCGACGCCATCTTGTCCTGGACCACATAGTTGGATTCCGTTGTGTGCCGGGGAATTGGAACGAGGTGCGTCAGCAAGTTTGCAAGGCGCCGAGGGAGGCCAGGCGAGCTCTTCAGCGGAGCTTTACAAGGGAAACCCCACTGCTCATACGCCGGGTCGCCCGAAGAGTGGACATCGCAATCCGTGTCGCGCAGCTGCATGATAAATGGCTTGATGCGTGGCCTCCAGAAGAACATAGAAAAGTGCTGTGTTCGTTTCTTGCCACTGAGCTGGAGGAAAATTTTGGGAGACTGCTCCCTTGTGGCGAAGACAAACTGCCATGGGTGATGTGGGGACGGTTCGTAAGGGCTGCCACGTACAGCGTCCAGTAGGAAAAGAAGACCAAGGGGGGAGACTGGGCGATGGGATCCGTGCGTCACCTGCACGAGCCACACCGTCGACGTGCTGGAGTCGAACATGACCGCATCAATGCCTGGATGCACGAGCGCATGTTTTGGAGAGAGGAGGATTTGCGGGAAATTCTCCGCAAGCATCGCAAGTTCGCATTGAGTGGAGTATGAATGGCTCGAGGGCATTGCCCGCTGGTCCTTGGGCGCCACATGACTTTTTTTCCGCAACACAAATTGCTCATTTGCCGGATGGCAATGTCCCTGCACATCTGGACGCCCTGAGCTCGAAAGCCCCTCCAAATCTTGATATGAGGGCCACCACGGCATGACGATAGAATATTTCGCCTGCCTGTTTCGTATCCTCGAATTTAAGGAGGTGATCAGTAATCTCCTGTGCAGCGAGGCAGCCCATGGAGGCGACCTCGTCTGCGAGGAGCCTGCTGGCGACCTGCGACACGGGGTAGGCGCAGCTTTGTCCAGATTCGACGGCGAAGAGGTTACGGCTGTATCGAGCTTCTTGTTCGCGCAGTGCGGGTTGCATGCTCCAAAAATTATCGTGGGCATGCTCGAGTTCATGGAGATAATGATCAGCGTCGCTGGAATGGCGAGATGCTTCCAGACAGGAACGTGCATTAGACCCGAAATGGATGTACGACCATCGTAGGGACTTGACATCATCCTGGCCTGACGTAAGAGCACTAACGAAGATGGTTAGTGATCATGTTGAGAGCTAATATGATAAAGATTGATTCACCTCATGGCGAAGATCTCGTCAAATGTGCAAGGTTTCATCCGCTGCCGAACCGAGACATCATACTCAGGCAACCATTCGATGTCGAGGCCCAGGCTGTCTGGCAAGAATGTGGTGAGGATGACCTTGCCACATGTGCCCCGCATCAACGCACGGGTGTGCTCGGTGCTCAAGTGCGCGACAGTGTCTTCGTGTACGCTGTCGATGAGGTGCAGCACGTCTTTACGTTGGAACAGGGGGTGGTACTCGCTGTTTTCCTCTGGGAGTACGAAGAAACCGTCAGCGGTAAAGCACAAGACGCACGAGTCCGGTTGGTCTATCTGGTAGGTCACCGGCTGGCGCGCGAGAAGTCGCCTGACGATGACATACAACAGGAAATATGTCTTCCCTAAGGGTAATTGGCTGCGTCAAGCAGGCAATTGTGGAAGGACGTCGACTTACCGATACCAGCGGACCCATGAATGGTGAAATTGCGCTCGCTCCATGAGAACTTGTTAAACAGGCTCTCATATTCCGAGCGGATGACCATCGAGGTTGCCCCGTTTGGCAACTTGGCACCGGGGCATCGAGACAGATCGATGGCACTGAAGGTGAATGGATGCACCCTATTTCGGACCGCTTAGTATCATTTCATGTTCGTAAAAAGGAAACAGGCTAACTGTGCTTCATCTTCCTAGATCCGCAACATTACATTGTAATCCTCGCTTCACGATAGAGTGATCGCGCTGTTTCCAAATGGCATGATAGAGTGCTAAGAGGTTGTAGTGCGATACCGAGGGGTTTGTAGATGTCATTGTAGTATTCACGCTGGAGTTGGACAGATATTGAGAGCGCGGAGGGCGTCGCCATTATATAGTCTTGCGGCATTTTCGGATGTCACGGATGGACGGACGTCTTCGTGACATCACTTTGGGCGTTGTTTACTTCGGAAGCTGCTGACTAAGCACACCAGCCCTGCGGCAAGCCACGTGAACGCCACAACCTGCTTCTGCTCTTGCGTCAGCGAAAAGAAGAAAATGTGGAATTTACTAGGCCCTCATTACCAAATGCATTCGACGAATTCTGCAACGCCTTCTGCTCCTGACGTACCCTCGATCAGAATGGAATGTCCGTGGATATTCGCAACCTTGAGGACTTGCAGAACGGTATGATCAAGTCCATGTGGTTCCCTAAGCAGTTTGCCATCCGTACTAATGAAGTGAACGCGAAGGTGAATCCGGTGGCGGCCGATTATGAATTGCAGGCAAGACACCGTGACAGGCGCTGGAGAAGGGTTTTTAGGGCGTTTTTGAGTGCCTTGATGCGGATCCGCTGGCGCTGTATGATGTTGCGATATGCAGGAACATCTTTGGGTGGGCAAAGTAGGAGCGGCTTACTTAAGGGATCAGAACCTTCCGACTCCCACACAAAGTATTTCCTCAACTTGATCCCTTGAACTCTCACAGAACTTGAACTCTCACAGAACTTGAATTCTCACAGAACTTGAACTACTAGCACCTATAGTCATACCTCGTGCTCACATAGCTCGAGATCAAACTCGGTTTGCTGGAATGCTTGTCTTTCTAGTTGAAGCCAGACAACGCCCGACGAGGCCCAAGTCTCAGGAATTCGATGAACTTTCCTCAATGTCGGTGTTGAGCTGGAGGAACTTTGGACTCTTAAGCTCAAACTCTCTCCAGCTCAACGGCGATATCGAGTTTTGGAGAGGAGTCACCGAGGATCACAACACAAGTTCAACCTAATCCGTGAATTTATTATATCTTACCCTCTTTCACACATTTCTATTGGACCGCCAGCGATGTTCTCAGATGAGCTCAAGGCCTTTAGTGTGACGTGGACTTGGCTTCCGACACGTTTGTCCCAGCGCTTTCACCATGTCATAGTACTGACTTTTCTTTTGTTGCAATTGTGCCGACATGTCCTTCATGCGCCAGTTCCTACTCCAAGTTCTTAATTTCACTTCCGCCATCGCGTCTGGTCTCATGCTATGGAAAGGTCTCGGTCTGTTCTTGAACACAGAATCCCCAGTCGTTGTCGTCCTCAGGTATGTATCACCCTCGCGCCATCCGAGATTTAACTCTAAACTTCACCATGTCTCCCCACCTAAAACTGAATCTTGCTGTCAAATAATCCTGCAACCTACTAAATACCTGCAGTGGCTCGATGGAACCAACATTCTACTGTGGCGACCTTCTTTTCCTCACCAACCCCGCAGGTGAACGCTACCACACAGGCGACATTACAGTGTATAAGATCCCCGGCGCCGACATCCCTATCGTGCACCGCGTCATGGAGACCCGGGACGTCTTTATCCCATTTGAGAATTCGACGGAGAAACGGATTATCAATACCGGGTGAGTTTACGATCCATTCGCCAATCTGGTTCGGTGCAGAGCCTGCTGAGGACTAATTACGACCTCCCTAACCCCAGACTCGCAAAGCTCAAACTCCCACCTGGAGAACATCAACTGATGCTTACGAAAGGCGACAATAATCATGTTAATGACCTTGACCTCTACCAGGGCCTTGAATGGCTCGAGCGAAGACATATCGTCGGGAAAGTCCGTGGGTAGGCATCTTTCACATTATTTCATCTCGTTCTTTGCTCTTTAGAGGTCAAGCTTGAGCTGATTGCGTGTCGTTATGGCCGACGTATATGCCTTTTCATCTTCCCTTGAATTTATGTTTCCGAACCGTTTCTTCTCCGACTGAATCTTCTAAACAACTCACTTCACTCCCAGGTTTCTGCCATATATCGGCTACCCCATGATCACCTTGGTAAGCCTCTTTCACCGTGCTAGGTTTCTCGCCCGTCCATGCTAGAAACAACGCTGATCACGCAACTAGAACGATTTCCCGCAACTCAAATACGCGCTTTTGGGAGGTCTTGGGTTGTTGGCTGTCATACAACGGGAGTAGGATTCCCTTTACTTAGGTGCTTCCACGTAAGGTCACTACACCCACATGTATATGAAATGGCAGAACTGACCTCAATGATTGTGTTCGCTCATTATCAGATATAGAGTATGTCATAGCTGCACATATCTACATATTGTAAGAACGGAGTGATTTCCAATTGGTGTCGACGCCATGTGCGCGCTCCACTAGACCTCCTTTCATGCTCGTGCTCCAGAGCGATTTCCAATTAGTGTCGACGCCATGTGCGCGCTCCACTGGAGCCCCTTTCATGGCTCAGAGATGTATTCTACTTCAGGAGGTCACTTTGCTGGCGTGTTCTGTGCGCACTCCTTTTTGAGACGATGATCCATGGCGCGCAGTCGCACTGTAACGTCTCTCTTATCACAACTCATTGTCATTGCGTCGTGCTGCTCTCTCCATGGTAACTAAAGCGCCGATCTTCGCCGACCAGAATTTCCTTCCTCGCCTGCAAGCCTTCATTTCTGAGGCTTTGAGATGGAGACCCGTGGCTGCCAGTGGTGGATATTCTCATCGTGGTTTTTATCTTTACAAGGTCCACAGCTCCAGGATTCCCTCACCAAACAACTAAGTGATTTGGGCAAGTAATATGACCGAAAAACATATTGTAAAAATGACGATCTAGCATCAGGAGAACTATTGTATTCCAGCTGGGACTATGGTATTCGGCAACCATTGGTAAGTATTGTGCTTAAGTCACAAAGTATATGATGATTATTGCCTTAGGTCCATCTCTCGAGATCCAGAAATGTACCCTGAGCCTTACGCGTTCAAGCCTGAACGTTGGATTGACGACCACGGTTGCCTGAGAGACGATTTGAAGTCCTTTGTCTACGGGTTTGGTCGGCGGTAAGGTCCGTCTTCCAGCTATTGGTTCTTTGAATGACATCCTTTCCAGTGTATGCCCCGGTCAACATGTCGCGAACAGGTAAAAATATCCTTCCACGCGCATCGTCTTCCGAGCTCACTTCAATCAATACAGATCGGTATTCATTAACTCACTCCTTATTCTCTGGGCCTTCCGGCTCGCTCTGGATCCTACACAGCCGTTGGATGACATGATTTACATGAACGGGGACATACCAAAGCAGCCGTGCCCGATCGAGTTTGAGGCGAGGATTCCAGAAACGAATCTCAGGCGCATGATGCAGGATTATCTTGAGGTTGCATGAGGAATCTTGACGTTTCGAGCCTCGGGACGGATGTTCCTACTAGTATAGGTGTCAGTCACTGGGCGAGCATCTGGCGGGCCGGATATACTCCAGCTGGCTATATCTTGGCACAACCCTGTACAGACGGAAGATTGATACTACTTAACGCGGCATGTGGGTTTTGACGCAGCACTGACGCGGCTGTGACGATGCGCTGACCGGCGGTAAAATGAGGCTTGACGCGGCATGGCTTAGCTTGGCGCAGCACGGGTAATGCTTGATGTGGCATGTGTGGGGCTTAACATGATAGTTGTATAGGGCCTGACATGGTCTTGACGCAGCATCAGGGTGAGGCTCCACATTATGATAGTACTGACGGTGCATATAGCTTGACAAGGTGGGTGACGACGAAACTTGGCAGGCTGACAGCACTTCACGCAGCCTCATCTGAAAGCGAACATTAGACCCCATTATAGAGAACACGATAGGGATATTACAACTCGATAGTAGACCCCCGGGCTGTACGAACACGGAAGTCCACAACAGAACATGATCTTCCAAGGTTAGTATATGTAGTCCAAAGGTATAATCTGTCGGCACGACCGCGTCATTTTAACCTGGCCCCTACGAATGCGGCCACTGTTTTTATGCAAGGTGATATTTTGTTCCACGTCAGCGGCCAAATTGCCAATAGACCTTCTTTCACAAGGTAGATCTTAGGTGGCAATCTGGTGGCATTGCAGATATCATCTATTCGAAAGGGAATTTCAGGTGGATAGGTTCTTCACATAAAAGCAAGATATCTTCCTACTGTCCCCTTCAGATTTGTTTGATCCCATATCACACCCTCACAAACACGATGCATTGCTCCTTTATCCTCGCCGTTGTTGCTGCTTTGACAGTATCAATATCTGCAGCATCAATACCCGCCAGTGACCCTAACAGTGAAGGATGTCCTTTCTTTTGCATCAAGAATAGCAACTGCTATGGCTGCCCTACCGACTTATACGATCGTAAATGCGTGAGTATGAGTAGTTTGCGTCCTGGATTCAACCACATGACTCACCGACGTGGCAGGTCGACTTTTTATGCGACTAGTGGCAGTAAGTTGTGTTTCTGCTTTCACATCGGTGCAGTGTGTATGATTGATGGCACGACGCGTGCGCGTGAAGCCTCGATCAGATGCTCGACCATTGGGGGTGGGACAAGGACTTTGGTGGCGGCGGAGGCGAAGTTTGTTGGGATCAGGCAGTGGGATGATATCTACTTTCTTTGGAGAGGTGACTGGAGGTTAAGAAGTCAGAGCTCTCGCAAGGTTGCAGATCGTACAGAGCCCGTTCTTTATGGTCTTGCTTAGCGAAATGTAACTTTATTTGGGATGTTCACCTCTGGGATCGCTCCAGCCTTGCCATGGAGTGCTTTCAAGCGGCGTATGACTGGCTCACCAACTAGTGAAAATGACCAGTGTCCTGTCCTCCCGCATCGACTTCCTTCGTATCCCTATTACAAGTTGCGAAAGTACATATCTCACTGATTTCCTTTTTCCTCGCACTCACGTGAAAATGTAATGACTTTCGTAAACTGCTGTCAGGTGACCAGCTGAATTCACCAAAATTCGCGACATCATCATGTGGACGAAACAGGTTACAATTACCTCTCGTAGGATATTATTATTGCCATCTTGCAATTCTACGTAGTCTACTTTTACTCATAGAAAGAGGTTATACACGCCAATCATCGGGAATTGATGCGTCCGCCGCCCGCAGAAGTTCCGTCGGAATGGATTTTAGACACGTCGTACAACGGAGGAAGGTTCTTTAGGTTCTGAGTGCGTTGTTGTTGGAACTCTTGATAAACCTGATCCTGATTTGATCTTGAGAGGAATTGGATCGAAGCATCCTTGTTGTCGTCGCTGCTGGATGTGATATTGCCAAAGTTGAAGCTACACTTATTCAGTACCAGGGTGGATATTTCGATAGGACAAACTTACACAGAGTAGACGTTGCGCATGAATATGTCACCAAGCAAAAAGTCCATGTCTGAGTCCGTACTTGACAGTTGCGGGCGAAACGCAGAGACACAAACAGTGTATTGGTTGCCGCCGTCAGTAAAAGTCGCCGGCCTCGTCAATTCGAGAGGGTTAATTGGGAAATGATCGTTGCTGAGGGGCCAGTCTGTTAGTATCCAAGATAAGAGAGCCGGATTTACGAACCCGAATGAGAAAGACACATTCGCCTGGCCTAAACATGGCGTGATCCAGAAATTTTGCCCGTTTGTTTTTATATGGACCGATCCACTGATGGCACCGTATATCGCATCCACGGCATCGGAAGGAATGTATGCCAAACTGGTTCCGCTGTCGATGAGGGAAATAGCAGTCCCCTTCTTCGTTCCCTTGACTGCTGACTTAAGAGTTACACTGTGGCCATTGACCTGCATGCCCGACAGTGCGATAGTCCAGCGCGACGACGTCGCAGGCGCAAGGGGGTATTTAGTTGTTCCAGCAACGTTCTTGAATCGTGGGTCGTATTCTCCAATCGTAATAATGCCTCCGGATGTATCCTCTTGATCAGTCGTTCGCTCGAGTGCCAAAGCCACGAAATTCGGTGTCGAAGAGTTTTGTTCAAAAATGCTTGCCATGATAGGGCGGGCAGCCTTATTGTTGACCTTTTTCTCGATCCCGGACAGAGATATAAAGCCAAGGCCGAGAATTCCTTGGGCCGCTTGCTGGTACGTTGTATCAACATTTAGGAATGCTAGAAAGGATTATGGAGAAGTTAAGGGAATATAAGACATAAAAATCACCTTGATTTTGCACTTCATAAGTCCCGAGTCGAACAGTAGTGTAAGCGATGTTTCCTGAGGCGGAACCAATCCCATAAGTAAGGTTGAGTTTATCGGATGTATTTTTGTCAATCTTGATTTGTTGACCAGTAACCCACTTGCGTCGACGTATTTAGTCTCTAACATGGGCTGAAAACAGAACATGACTTACCAAATCGCTGGACCCGGTATCGATCACTAGGTTAAAATCTAGGTCGAAAATGTCAGTGAATGTGGCCCCGGATAATATGCACCACTTGCCTTGTCCTCCTACGTTGACCTTGCCAAGGTACTAAAAGGGGGTTAAACACACGTTTGTGGCCGAGTTCAACCGCGATGCGCATACTCACCTCCAAGTCTGATTCACTAGTAACTGAAATGAGAGTCCCAAAAGTCATGTTCGTGGACGAAGCGTCATTTGTCGGTTTATGATAAGCATTAAAAGAAAATCCAATCGAGTGGTCTCTGTTGATGGCGAGGGCATTGCTTTCCAGAAGCTTACCGGAGACTACGAGGGCGAGGGCGAAAGTGGAGAGGCGGGTGGAGGGCATACTTACTATGTGGAATGTTGATGGATCGAATGAATGAATGTCGAAAGGTGGATGTAGATGTTTATGGGATGATAAATAGCCAGGAGATCAGATGAATTGACTTCGGAGGTCTATGACGTACAATTGATACATCCGAGACATTAGTTCGGAAGATTATAAATGTACATAGGCCATGAGCTGGGACTCTGCCAGTGGTATGTACTTTCAGAGGTTTCTTTCTTGGCGAACGCGAGAAAGCATCCAACTATTCAATCCACGAGAGCCTGAGGGGTATAACTCGTCCAACAGAAGTGCTGCCAGTCGAGAAGGTGTTCAATGGGAATTACGATTCGGACTGAACTTGTAACTCGGTCAGACTGCCGCACGCGCATAACCGTTACACCAGAAGGTAGGATACTGAAAGCTTAGCTTTCAGTATCAGCGACAGTATATATACTGAGTATGGGAACTCAGGTAAGCCAGCGTGCTTACAGAACTCTAACATATAGTGTATGCAGTGCAGACACGTTAGCTCTTTCTCTCCGTCCATTTCGCCAACATGGCATTGTATAGAAAGAATTGTTATTATGATTCGTAGAACTAATCCCATCTATACTGACCGAAGGTCTTCACGTGTAGACTATAAACTGATGATGTCGGCTACTGTCTCCTCAAACTGCTCCGATTGAGGTAGAAACAAAACAGTCAACTTCATTGGCTTGTCAGGCGGAAATACACATACATTGTTACACCAACATACGGTGAAAATCGACACCACTTCCTCGTCTAGGAGGACAGAAAAAGTCGCGCACGGATCAATCATGACTTCCCCAACTACCTCTACGTAAGGGAGGTAGGTTGTCACTGGCACATACTGTTCGTGGTGTAGTGTGCGTCGGGGGTATGTCGTACGTTCCCGGACTACCTTGCCGATGCCACGCGCCACAGCGGAGGGATTGAAATCCATCATATGCACCAACGAGTGGGTGTCAGGATACTTGGAATGATCAACCCATATAACACGAGACCCTCCCACTCCAAATATATCCGTGCCTCGAAAGCAGCAGCTATTCTGTGGACCCCACGACAACCACGGAACAGTCAAACTATCTTCTGATGTCGTATCGAACCATGATGGAGGAATATTCATAAAAAAGACGCCAGCAGTTATGACAAAAATCGAACCAATCGAACCACCGCTGGAATAATCAGACATGCACATGACTCGGTCTGCGGGGTTTGTCGTCCAAATCCAACGTTCATCTGGTGCCACGAGATGTGCGCAACTTGAGGCACTGTGGAAAACCGAAGGATATCGAAAGGCGAAGTGGGGTGTATAGAAGGGCAGCGCAAATCTTGCCTGAAGCTGCGGTGCTTTTGACAGGTCCTCGACGTCGTAAAGCTCTATATGGCCGCGCGTTGTGAGAGCTAGAAGCTTCTCCTTGGTAAGGAAGAAGATTTCGAGAAAGCGACAACCTTCGCCGACCACATGTATGTCCTTTTGAAAAGTTAAATGAGAACTTTTGAACGGTAGAGAGACGAAGACGCCTACATCAGCTTGACCACCTTCATGCCAATTCCACACATGCAGCGACCAGTAGTTGGTCATCCTGGAGGGCTCCGTGATCCGGACCCACCCCACTATAGAGAGCAAGGCGGTCTCCGAGGACATTGACCAACACATGATCTTCCACACCTGCCAGTGACAAGAGTCGTTTTCCAGAGCCTCTAGTCACGGTGACTAGCTGGGATCCACGGGCCAAAGGATGGTCCTTACCCGTGGATAATGTGCGGAAATTTACTCGGTATTTGAAGTTGCATCGCTGGGGGCGTGTCTCCCACTCAGGCTGACATATGTCGACGGTCACCAAAAGGTCGTGCGTCCCATCTATGTAGTGTCTGTTGACAGATTCTTCAGTTCAGGAACTGGTTCATCTCTGATCCATGTGCTACCGACAGGGCCGTTCGCCGTCTCAGATGTGCAGGTCTCGGTATCAACGACTTTGGATACGACTTTCATGCAAGTGTTCCATGGCTCTTCATCGCACGTATAGTACCAAGCAAGGCCGAGTTGTCGATGGGTGATGGAATGGGAATTGATTATCTGCCCACAACGAAGTCTTTTCGTCGCATTGAACTTGAAGGAACTCCACGCGTTCGCCTTCTCTCTGAGTATGCGCAAGCACTCTGCTGTGGAAACAGTGTTTGACCGTGGATGAACCTGCACTAATCGTTGGGCACCCATTTCAATGGCATATTGCAGCTTAACAGAGTTTTTGACTGTCATGTACAGCGTTCGGCAGGTCTTTAACGTGGCAGATCAGGGTGTTCGTTGATGAAGTTATAAACAGAGGTGGCTTGACTCACCAATGCACAGCGTATAATTTCATCGTATGAAAGAAAACCAAGGATATGGCAGCGCAATTCCTCTGCGATATCAGAGAGGGAGAGCATTGGTCCGCGACGCAACTTGAAGGAAGGTTCTTGGTTCATGAATCATTGTCGAGGAAACACAAGCGAGGAAGCCTTTCTGAGCCTTTCTGTTACATGTAAGGCCTGGCGCGTGTCATATACCTTATTAATATTAATATTAATATTGCTGTTTGCAAAAGAATTGGCTCCAGCAGCAAAAGTGTGCACGCCACTACAAAGATACAGCAATCACTTTCAATTTTTCCTCAACAACGACAAGAGATATCAACAAGCTGTAAGAGACAAAGCTGCTCAGGGAACCAAGGCGCAGGTGCCCACGCTCGTTGCCAGTCTAGACTCCTTTGTACCCCCTTTATGCCTTTGTGCGGGTCACTGCGACGCCTTTCACCCTCTTGTTTCTTAGTTATCTTGCTGTACAGTATTCAAGTAGATGGTTAACTTACTCGTTCTTTAGTAAGTTCTGACTTCAACGGTATAGAGTACAGCGTTGCACGTCAGAAGATGTGTGTGTCACTTCCTCTCCCGCCATGAGGTTGACGAGTGAGCTTTTGCCTATCCGTCTTCCCAAAGTGTACAATGTATTATACTTGGTCCTATTGATCAATATTAGACAATTACAGTACGAAGAGCGTCTGAAGACTACGTACCTTGCAGCCATCTTAGGAGTCGGATTGGGTACTCTTTGATTCCCAGATGCAGTTCCTCGAGTCGAATGGTATCGAACACCTGGGAAGTCTCTTCCTCGAAATCGACGGTCTCTGTACAGTGTATACTGCAGGGTAACATATCAAGAGATGTGTTTGCAACCTTTAGAAGCGATGCCACTAAGGATTGGCCCGGATGCCCTGAACGACGCAGTTCAGGTAGCTTACTAGTGCAGTCATGCAACGGTCTACGCAATCATAAGATGCGAGTCTACACAATAATATCGGGGACCGGGCACTAGACAATTCACACGCAGTCTGCCCATTTGTGTCCACGCCGATGCGAGCGACACGTCAAGTATAAAACGCACTGGAATGCAGAGGGGCGTCCCGGTTAAATATTCCACTTCATTGATCGAATTCCCTATCTTGGAAGTAAAATCGTTTACAGCAAGGCTATCCACAAATAAAAGAACATCTTTCCTATGGGAGTGATTAGCGTTTCTTTATGTCTATTCAACCAAGGCAAAATCATCGAAGGGGGACACGACATCCTAATTTGCCGACTGCCATCCGCGTCGCAGTGCAACCCGGTGTCTAAGTGGTAGAAGAGTGGATCACACACCATTGAAGCCTAGACACGGGCTAACAGTTCACGGTGCTCCCTCCCGCCACCTCTAGTATTTTCCAATCTACCTCAATCTGCTCCAGTCGGAATATTTCCCGTATTTTCTCAGCGATGCTCTCAAAATTGTGAGTTGCAAGCGCAAGAATGGTCGGGCCGGCACCAGATAGGCATATTCCAAGCAGACCAGGATGTGAAGTTGGCGTGATTAATGAAGTAACCGCTGGCAAGCCGGGTATCTGAAATGGTGATCAAGACAAGAACTCCCCACGGGATAAAAGACTACTTACGAGAGTCTTTCGATACGGCTGATGCACGCGATCCTTCATAGCCTCGAAAATTAATTCTGGGTCTGGTGGCGTCTGACCGAGAGCTGTGGTGAGGACAGCTAGCCGCTGCATATTAAAAACCTGTAAGGATGTGAGTGTTTTTATTCGAGACGTTATACTTTACGTGTACGAGAACACGTACCAGATCTTTCTTCGAGTAGCTATCTGGGAGCACAGCTCGTGCCTTTGCAGTACTGAGTTCAAATCGGGGTATAATGGCAAGAGCTTTGATGCTGCTGTTCCACTTGAATTGCACGTAATGTCCGATACCTAACGGTGGAACAGGCGGAGAAAGACCCCAGTCTTCTCCAGCATCAGGCGGGTATTCTGGGAGGACTTCAGCGAGGGGTACTTGTGCTGCTTCAGTTGCTTGTGGGTCTAGTTCTCTAAGGTATGATCCCACAAATCCACCAACAAGCGCGGCTGTCACATTGTCGGGGTGGCGCTCGACCATGAGCGCGTAGTCTAATATTCGCTCTCGGGAGAGATTGAGTTTCCCGAGATTGTCTCCGAGGAGAACGCCTGCAATGACCGCTGCGCCGGACGAGCCGAGTCCGCGTCCAAAGGGTATTTGGTTGTCACAGTGAATACTAACCAGGTCTGGAGGAAACGATCTGTGGCCATTGCAGCGTAGCACGTAGAGCGCTACACGAGTCATGAGGTTGCGGTATGGGTCTAGCGGGACTTCGTCGGCTCCTTCACCCGAATATGTGATCACCGGTGAGGCAGAGGGCTCCCCAATGGTGACAGTTAGGGTGAGATAGAGTGAAAGCGACAAGCCGACGACATCGAAGCCGGGACCAATATTGGCCGATGTAGCTGGAACTCGTATCATAAACGAGTTGGTCATGTTAGGTAGTGATCCGAGTGGTGATATAGGGAAATAAACTAGCTGATGGGTGAGAAAATTTCTGGATTGATTGTCAAAAGATTTGCAGACCTTATACGTGGAAGCAGAGGGTAAGATGCTAATCCTCGACAAAAGCAGAGGAACCGAGTTTTTCAAGTCAATGCGACCGATCAAAGGATCACCGAGTTTGTTTGGATCTAAAGCTTTTGCCAAACAACCGCCGCGGAGTTACCTATAAAGGGAGGATCGTAAAAACCTGTAATTGCAGCAAAGGGTCTTGTCTCGACATAACACTCGCAGGCTGATATACATCTTGGCCACTAACAACAGCTATCAACTATTTGTCATTTTTCGTGTTGTGGAAGCCTGCGTCCGAGCTTGCAAGACCGCCCAAATTTGCACGTGCACATAAGCTCTTGTTTTACTCATCGTGATGTAGGCGACATTTCATTAGACTCAGAAATTAAATACAACGCGAATGCGTATTCGAGGCAAAACAGATGAGATCAAGCACTTTTTTTTCATCTGATTTTTATACCTGCGGCCACTGCCACAGAAATCACGGTAGTGAAAGTCATTTCATCTAGAATGATAGGACTATTGGATATAAGCTAAGTGCTAATAAAACATCAAAGTATAGTATACAAGGTACTCTAGTACTACACTGAATTTGGTGAGAGCAATCTTGCTCAGCGACTATGAATCGTGCGATGTAAACGTAATCAGTACGGTTATGAACAAAGAATGCGAATGCAAGGAAAGCAGCAATCTACAGACTCAAGCCAGTTGAGCATTGCTATGGGATCGTTAGTACGAGCCATCATAACACGGTATTGGCCCCTTGTGGTTGGGACAGCAGTCGAGAGGCAGCTAGCCACCTGATCGAGGTCGTTGTCGTGGTTGTGCCGTTCTGGCCAGGGGCAACAACAGTGAACTAATGAAGTTGTTAGAGAAGGTGAAGTTATATATAAACGCCACTCACGTAGATCTGATCATCCAATGCTCCGTGCTGCGCCACAGCGACGAGAACTGGTTGATGGTTCATCGCGGAAATGATGGTGGACATCTTGTAAGTCCCCTCAGGCAAACCGCCAGTGACGTTGGCATAAAGTTGACCTTTTGCATCTGCCTTGCTGTTCATACCAAGGAAATATGCGAACTTGTTGGGGTCCGTTGGGGTGGTCTGCGTAAGGGACTCAAGAGCCTCGATAACGATATGGGAGTGACCTTGAATTTGCCCAGACGTAGGATCAATTTGTTGGGGAGCGGCAAAGTAATTTGTGTCCGGATTAACAAAGAACCCAGTCTGCAGTCCCTTGATCGCCAACGTCACCTGGAAGGTAGTGTTCGCTGGGAGAACAGCTAGGTTGTTGGGACTAACGAATTTGGCGCTGGGCATATTCGAGGTGGAAGGGATGGCACCCATGGGAGCAGGGTTACAGGAACCGTTTTTGATTTGCTGGCCGTTTGTAATAGGGAGGTTGGACAACGTAGCACAATAGTTGATGAAATTGTCGTTGGAAGTCAAAGAAGGATATTCACCAGCCTCAGAGGTGTTCGTGTTCTGACCGTTCTGAGCAAAATTCGGAGCGACGAGGCTTGAAAGCAGCGTTAGGGAGGTCTGAGCACTCGAGTTGGAACTCGATCCAGAGCCTGCCATTGCAGTGGTCACATTAGAGGAGACGCTTGTTGCGGTTGTCCCGTTGGCAGTTGCGCCAGTGGCGGCAATGCGAGAGTTCAGGTCTGCTTGAGTGGTACAAGTGATGCTGGTTCCAGCAGAGTTGACAAGGGGAAGTGCAGCACAGCTGATAAGATGAAGTATCCCACTAAGCTTGGAAATTTGTACTCATACAAAAAAAAACTTACATGAGACCTGATGCACACGAGGTGAGGACGTACTGCCCGTTGACACACTGAGCAAACTCGCTGTTGACACAGGCGTTGCCGGAGGTGCAGGGCGAGGATGGAGTCAGAGACTGGAACTGGTTGCTGAGAGAAGAAGTTAGATTGTTAAAAGACTTTGTAGAGCCAATGCGACGCACTTCAAGTTGATCGCGTCAATACCATTCTGCACGACGAAACTTCCCCCGCGGCGCTTGAGGCTCGGAAGAGCGGTGGTGAAGGGAAGACAGTACGAGAACCGCGAAAACGGAAACCTTCATGGTGTACAGGTGTACTAGTAAGTCGTCGAATTAAGAGTGACAGAGTGTTTCGCGAATCTGTCGAAGACCAGCTTGTGATGAATGGCAGTCAATGCCGGGTCGTAAGTTGGAAGCAAAGAGGGTGACGCAAAAGAAAGCAAGAGACGAACGTCTACTTCGTCACTGACGAGATTATGATGAACACGGTGAGCATGCCTTGGCATGGTCTTTATACCTGGTGAATGAAAATATTGGGAACAATGGAACAAGGTATAATGGGATCTTCTTCCACTCCTCCACAATAGAGAAGCGCCCGGTCATATGGCTCAGCGCGGGAGTTGCGTTGTGTACTGCTGGCAGGTCATCAGTTGTTGTTCGACGAACTTGGCTGTTGTACTCACAAGAACAGTTTCTTATTGTTCATTACTGACTACTAAATTTGGACTGTACATCTCTACCGATTGGCCGCACGGCCCGCAAGCTGGCACTTTGCATCCCCGAGGCGTGCGAGTTTTTTCTAAGTATCGCCAGCTAGCAAACTGAGGAATCTTCAGGGTAATGTATTTGCATTAGTAATACGACGTGATCCACCAGAGGATGGTGGGAGCTAATACAGATTGTATAATAGCATGCGCAGTCATTCTGTAGTTCGTAACATTAGCTCAATGACGTTCATCGTGGACCAATCTCGTTGCATTCCTGACGGACATTGCAGAACGACGAGATCAGTTACTCCTCAAGGAAGAAGTAGTTGCCCACGACTGCAGACACAACGAAGTCAACAACTTATGTATGACTGAAAGGGCCAAAAAACATACCCTTCTGCTCTCTGTCCTTCACGCTGTTGAGCTTGTTCACTCTTGGCCTGAAGTTTGTAGGATCACGTCTAAACGTGACCTCAAGCGATGCCAAGAAGTGGTTCATTCCAGTGAGGAGGGACTGCGGTCTGAAAAGCGAGTTAATAACCTTAACAGTAGTAGCCTGTATTTCTTACGGTGTAGCAGTTGCTCGAATGGCGGGCTCACCCCCAAAGACGATGACACGGTCAGCCAGATAGGTTGCCATGATGAAGTCGTGTTCGATGACGAAAGCGGTCTTCTTGGCATGCAGAATGAAGCTGAGGAACTCGTCGATCAACTTCAAAATCTAGGCAACTAGATGGGTTATTTACCGTTTGATGACCTTGCTCGCAATGATACGTTGCTCAGAATCGAGGAAACTTAAATTTTGCGTCAGCGTATTCATTCTTGGAAATAAAGTTTAGCTTACCTGCTTGGTTCATCAAGCAAATAAACGGACACATTGGGTTTGCCTGAAGTGAGGTGTAAGTCAACACCAAGTAAAATCGAAGAAAGCACCAACCGAGTGCAAGGACAATAGCCACGCGTTGCAGCTCGCCTCCGGAGAGCGTCTTCACCTCCTGATCCATAATATTATCCAAAGTCATTGGTTTGAGTACATCCGTCTGGAATTGCGGGTGCATAAAGGCCGCTTTGATCTGCTTCAGTAGAAGCATGCGGACAGTTCCTGGGAACTTTGGCGATATCGTCTGCGGCTTCAAGGACACTGCCAACTCCATTTTATCCGCCTCGTCGTCCGGCGTTGTTACGCCAGCAAGTAGACGGACAAAGGTTGTCTTGCCTGTCCCGTTTTCGCCAAGCATGACAATGATTTCGGAATCTGTAAAGCTACCAGACTCAACAGTGAGCTTGAAGTTGCCCATCGTCTTCGTCATAGAGGGGTAAGAGTAATGACGGGTCTTGTCAATTATGAGCTCGTCAGCAGTCTCCATCATCTTGAAGGACAGCGACTCCTCGCGGAAACGCAAATTCTCGGTGGGAATGAAACCGTCAAGGAAGATATTGATACCTTGTGGAGGAGTGAGCCATTTCGCAACGAGTCATTGAGTACACGCTTACCCTCACGGACGGAATAAGGCATCGTGACAACACCGTACATCGATGGCTTTCCGTACAGACAACAGATGAAGTCTGAGAGATAATCCAACACTGACAGATCGTGCTCGACAGCGATGACATAGCAGTCTGGGGTGAGTAGGGACCGGATGACCTCGGCAGCCTTCAACCGCTGTTTTATATCGAGATAACTCGAGGGCTCATCAAACATATATCTACGTAAAACCAATGTTTGAGCTTGATTTATCACGTAATTGAGACATACGCACACATCGGCCTTCTGAATACATGACATGGCAATCGCGAATCTCTGCAATTCTCCACCAGAGAGTTGCGAAACTTCACGATCAAGGACATTGTTCAGCTCCAGCTCATCGCACATTTTTTGCTTGTTGTCAAGTTCTAATTTTGAGTCCAGCATTTGTGAGACGGTCAGATTGCCTTTAATTGCCCGTGGGATGTGGTCCACATATTGTGGCTTGATAAGTGCCTTCAAATTGTCTTCAAGGACCTTGGTGAAATAGTTTTGCAGCTCGGATCCGCGAAAGTAACGTAGGATCTCTTGCCAGTCGGGAGGATCCTGATAGGTAAATGTCAATATCGTCCTTGGACGGTCTTATGCTACTCACATCATATCGACCAAGATTCGGCTTCTGTTTACCAGCTAGAATCTTGAGTGCTGTACTCTTACCGATACCGTTAGTGCCAACGAGTCCAAGGACCTGACCGGGTCTTGGGGTAGGTAGTCGATGAAGTTTGAAGGCGTTGGCGGTATAACGATGCGTGACTTGTGATTCCAAGTTCGTCGGCAAGTTAATGATAGCGATAGCTTCGAATGGGCATCTAGAGAGTTCTAAATGAAATGAACGATCTTCGCAAAACGATCCACTCACTTCTTTACGCAGATACCACAACCGATGCATAAAAACTCAGAGATGAACGATATCTTATCAGTTGATTTGACTTCTATGCAAAGTTTGCCTAGAGGTCCGTTAGCACGAGCACTCCGCCGATGCTTCGGGTGGAGGCGCACCCATTTTGACCACAGGACATGACTGCTCACGAGCTGATGAGTGACTGATCTGACGAGAGGGGATGGTGCGTCACCTTCTTGCATTCCTGGGCACATCGCTTTGGCTTGCAGCGATTTGCGTCTACGATGGCAATACGGGTGATTTTATCGGCCATCCTTGCGGGTTACCGATGGCGGATGGCTCTTGGATCTGATTCTTTGCTTGCAAGGATGACGAATCGGCAGTCAAAACATAGTAACTCGATTGAATATTTATTTATGTAAATTATGTAAATTATTTAGTTAAGAAAAAGACGAGGTCCTTGGACTTCGACTTCGACTTGTGAAATGCTCGCGATATCTCGTGATGAGCTGCGGTTTTGTGTAGTAGAACGGTGTTAATATCGTGTTATAACCATAATACAATAGCAAAGTCATTATACATGCGCGGTCCTGGGCTCGTAGATCTGCAGTTGACCAGTAACTAGTAACTGCTAACAGGATTATCTTATCTTATCACCCGGTGCCGACTGTCCTGGCAGTTGCTGACTGCCATGGCGCTGCCGCAGGAGATCGTGACAGTCGATGCTGTACGTGTTTACAACCCTCGTTCAACAGAAAAGTTTCACGATGACAACATTGAACAATCTCTCGTAGATCCTTTTCGATCTGGATGGGTAGTTGCATCTGCTTGTATCAGCCTTCTTGATCTGCCATAGCTGATCGCCATACGCCAGGACCCTCATAGATTCCACTCCTGGCGTCATTTCAGCCTGGAAAACATTTGCGGAGGAATACAAACTTGGATCGCATCTACCTATCGTGCAGAAAACCCATGGACGGAGACTTGCTGATACCCTGAAGGACGAGACAATATGCAATATCCAGGATAAAGAACTTTTGGATGTAAGCAACCCGGGTCATTCCATACTTGTGAAGGCCGCACTAATTCTGCAGAGCGAAATTTTACGCTTCGAGGACCTAGTGATCCAGGGTAACCCAGTGGCTCTCGAAGGAGCCATCGAGTTCTTGACTCAGGTAAATCTGTCGCACCTGTACATATTGCATGATCGGCTGACTGCATCACTCGAAGCTCGATTCGCACGATGACATGCGCACCAAGTGGACAATTGTCACATCAGGTAGAGTTCCACTTTTTGTTTGTTAACGGTGCACTGGAGCTCCTTGTACCGATAGCCTCGAGATATTATGCAACTCAATGCATACCAAAGTGCAAAATTCCGGTGCCTACATCAGGGTTTGTGACGGCGGACGATGTCAGCGAAGGCAAGCCAAAGCCCACACCGTATCTCGAAGGAGCAAAGAAACTTGGAATTGATGCGACCAAGTGTGGGTCACGTTGATGCTCGTTTCTTTCTGGTACCTAATTTTCCCCAGGTCTTGTCATTGAGGATGCACCGTCCGGGGTGCAAGCAGGAAATAGTGCTGGCGCAAAAACGCTTGCGGTTTGTACCTCCCATAAACGCGAGGATTTTGAGAACTGTTCAGAGGAAATAAAGCGCCCCACGTACATCGTTGATGATCTCACTAGGTGAGTCTCGATGCGCTCAGCAGCAATCATCACTCACGAAAGGAACCATTGGCAGAGTACGCGTGAATTGGGAGAACGACAAAATTCAGCTCACGATCGATACCCGTAGAGGACCTGATGGATCAGCAATTTTGTAGACAGACCCGACCACTTCCATCTGATAGCTATACAGCAGGAAATTCACCGCACATTCGTATGTACTCTGCAGTTCCAACTTCCAAGTAGGCTATGTATACCACTCAGATATGGTGAACAATATTCGGATGTACTGTCATGGGATGCTCACGGTCTCATCGAGTGGTCCGACGAACTGACAGTAAGACTGAAATCTTTTCACGTCAGCAGGTGGCTAGTCACCGAATGCAACAAAGATTGCAATCAGTACTAGTGGGTACTGGTGCGAGCGCTCCATCGAAATCTGGGATGTGATGCCTGTTCTTGAGTTCTTGACAAATAGAGCGAGTCTGATCGACATCAAGCGCTTGCACCGAAGCACTTGGATTCTTGTGCATGTGTTTTCCCATGCATTTCCATAAGCATTGAATTACAGAGACATACAGAGCAAACCAACTCATTAATTGGAATAACCATGTAGAACATGTGAGTAAGTTACAGATGCCACTCGTGGTCGTTTGGCGGATTCAGGGATGTTACTTTGCTCCATTGAAACCGCAACTCGCCTAAACATGCTAAGCGGGGGTCTACCTGACGGGTCGGAGAGTCCGTGAAGAGTTAACGGCATTAATGGTGCTGCCTGCCGTGGCCGACTGTACGCGCCGATAATGACATTGGTTGGAATATGACCATAAGGTACGTCTTCAGGTCTTCGGCTGATGATGACACGCGCTCTCCGATGACATTCTCCACATCGCCGAAGGCAAGGCAGTGGAGTCCACAGCAATGGCTGCATTAAATAGGGCGCGAAGAGGAGGACTCAGAACTCCGAGTGTTGCAACTTTGCGCTGAGAGGCGCTGAGCCTCCTGGCGCCGTGTTTGTGTGTTATTTGCGTGTGTGGGTGCATGGAATACTTGAACGTTCTGAATATATGCAATGGATATGCTGCAGAGAGCTATTACTTACCATAGCTAGTACTGAGCGATTCAGACTGTGCAACTAAGTAGGATAACGATTGCAATCAGACGAGCGCCCAGGCATCCTTCAACTGCATTCCACCATCGTCCAGCGAGCTTTCCACATCACTATACCGTCTATTCGATCTCAAGCAACTCTTACACTTTGCAATTTCCATCAATCCACGGGTTAATCTTTCCGCTGCTCGGCTGATCGTTGGACAGACTTACTACGTCAAAACATTGTTTCACAACTGAGGCACCCGCCCTCAAAGAAGTTTGATCTTTGATTAGTGGATCGGCATCCTCGTACGTCGCGAAGTAGCCGTCGCTCCTATGACTTCTGACCGCACTATCGTACCCAATTACTATCAGACCTCGGAGTTGTTCTATTCCATCTCACATTCTGTGTCATAATTGATATTCCATGTCAGTATATCAGTTTCTTATCTCCTCTGTTATCCTCTGACCTCATCAACAGTTCTTGGATATGTCGGAAGGAACTTGGGAGAAGTTGTCCCAGGTCGCTGTCCAGGGTGCTGAATATGACTCACGTGAACGCCAGCCTCATCCGAAATGTCTACAAGGGACCCGGGTGGACCTTCTCGACTACATCTATCGATTATTAGACAGCAAAGAGAAGAATCAACTCATTTGGCTGCATGGCACGGCGGGCGTCGGAAAGTCTGCCGTTGCGTACACCGTAGCTGAAAGGATGAGAAGTCTGAAAGTGACAGAGGAGACGCGTATAGAAAAGCGACTCGCGGGAACATTCTTTTTTTCCCGCAAGCACACAAAACGGCGCACGACTGGTTATGTCTTTGCGACGCTTGCCTACCAGCTAGCCAGCTATTTCCCCAGCGTCAAGACACACGTGAATAAAGCTATTATCGAGAACCCTGCCCTTCTGGACCCCGAGAAGTCTCTTCGCCATCAGATGGAGGCCTTGTTTCTCAGACCTCTCCGGAATCTTCGAGAGAGACTACGCCAGTGCGGCAGTCCGCCTTTGGCGTTCATCATTGATGCCCTTGATGAATGCACACCCGAAACCCTCGATAACTCCACCTTCGATTCCTTCGATGAAGAAAGATCCAAAAGCGAGCTTGTTGAACTCATCTCCCTGCTCGCCGAAGCTCTTCGCGATCCTGATCTGCCCGTGACCCACATTCTAGTAACGAGTCGCCCGGAAGAGCATATCCACAAAGCTATGCAGACAGAAGAGGTGTGCCCGCTATTGTGCGAGATACCAGTGAAGACTTCTGGGGAGGGCGTTACTGCCACGATCTCGTTAGACGGCGCAGATGTCGACAAGGACATTATTGTTTTCTTGCAGCATTCGTTCAGAGACCTGGAAATTCGCCATCCCAAATTCCCACAGCCAACGAAGGGTCAACTTGCGCAGCTGGCAAAACGAGCGGGCAGACGTTTCGTCGTGGCGTCTACGATGATGAAGTTTATCGATGATCAACGTAATAACCCTCGCCGTCGGCTTGAGCTTCTGCTTGAGCTGACGAGTAAACTACTACCAGGAACGGAGGTGAATAAATTATACGACTGTATCCTCTCCACATGTGCCGACCCCTCGCGAGCATACTTGCACTTGTCTGTTGTTGCTACTCTTGCGGACCCTCTGCCCATGTCACAAATTTCGGAACTTCTTGGCCCTGGTGAGGGCAGTGACGTCGAGACAGTCCTGGTACAGCTGCGGTCTGTCTTAGAAATTCCTACCGACAGTAGTCTCCCCGTGCAAATCTCTCACTCGTCCGTTCGTGACTATGTTTCCCGGCGCTCAAACTGCAGCCTTCGTCAAGTACAATGTATCAAATCACCTCACTCCCTACTTGCCTTTTCCTCTCTCCAGTTGATGGCAGATGAGATTCCAGAACGCACAGTCCTCCTGGATGCGCTCTCAGAATTGAAGAAGCAGAGCAAAGCTACACAACCTCAAGACCCCCAGAACTTAAAACACTCATTATCCTTCATTGTCCAGCCACCGGAGCCACTCCAGGTTCTTATAGCTGTCTTATGGCTTCGGGGAGATCATAGATCAGAGTTTCAATTCTGGCTAGAGACCATGGATGGGGAGGCCTGGCTGCTTACTCAAGGAGGGGATGACTGGTTGCAGACCCCGGGGGGAAAGAACTGGTTGCTGACCCAGGGGGGGGAGAACTGGTTATTGACCCAGGATGGGAAGAACTGGTTGCAGACCCTTGGCGGGCATGGGTGGCTGCAGACAGAGGGGTTGCAGACTAACAGTGGAAAAAACTGGCTGTGGACCCAGGAAGGGAAGGATTGGTTGCGGACGCAGGGCGGGGAGGACTGGTTGTGGACCGAGAATGGGAATGACTGGTTGCAGACCTCGGACGGGCAAGGGTGGCTGAAGTCCTACGGCGGGAAAGTCTGGCTGTGGACCCGTGGAGGGCAGGACTGGCTACAAACCAAGAGCGGGAAACTCTGGCTGGAGTCCTGGTGCGGGAAACAGTGGGTGCGGACACAGGGGGGGCAGGACTGGTTGCAGACAGAGAGCAGGAAACACTTGCTGCACATCGAGAGTGGGAAAGACTGGCTGAAGTCCTGGTGTGGGCAACAGTGGCTGATAATGCAGGAAGGGCAAGACTGGTTGGAGACCGAGAGCAGGAAACACTTGCTGGAGACTGAGAACCGGAAAGATTGGCTGAAGTCCTGGTGCGGACAACGGTGGCTGTGGACCCAGAGAGGGCAAGACTGGCTGGAGACCGAGAACGGGAAACACTGGCTGGACTCCTGGCATGGGTATCAGTGGCTGGAGACCTGGAGAGGGCAACAGTGGCTGTGGACTCAGGGAGGGCAAGACTGGTTGGAGTCCAAGAGCGGGAAAGACTGGCTGTGGACCGAGGAAGGGCAAAAGTGGCTGTGGAACGAGAGCGGGAATGATTGGCTGCAGACCGAGATTGGGAAACACTTGCTGCAGATCGAGAGGGGGAAAGACCGGCTGAAGTCCTGGTGTGGGCGACAGTGGTTGGGAACCAAGAGCGGGAAAAAATGGCTGCAGAATGAGAGTGGGAAAGGCTGGCTGCAGACCGAGAGCGGGAAAGACTGGCTGGAGTCTGAGAGCGGGAAACTGTGGCTGCAGACCCAGGGAGGGCAAGACTGGCTGGAGACCGAGAATGGGAAAGACTGGCTGGAGACAGAGAGTGGGAAAGACTGGCTAGAGTCCTGGTGCGGGCAACCATGGCTGCAGACCCAGAGAGGGAAAGACTGGCTGCAGACTGAGAGTGGGAAACACTCACTGCAGATCGAGAGCGGAAAAGCCTGGCTGAAGACCGTGTGCGGACAACAGTGGCTGTGGACCCGTGGAGGGCAAGACTGGGTAGAAACTGAGAGTGGGAAAGACTGGCTGATGTCCTGGTGCGGGAAATATTGGCTGCAGACCCAGGGAGGGTGGAACTGGGTGCAGACTGGGAGCGGGAAACACTGGCTGCTCACCGAGAATGGGAAGGGCTGGTTGAAGTCCTGGTATGGTCAACAGTGGCTGCAGACCCAGAGTGGGCAATATTGGCTGCAGACCCAAAGTGGGGAAGACTGGCTGGTATCCGAGAGCGGGAAACACTGGCTGGAGTCCTGGCATGGGTATCGGTGGCTGCAGACCTGGAGAGGGCAACAGTTGCTGTGGACTCAGAGGGGGAAAGACTGGTTGGAGTCCAAGAGCGGGGAAGACTGGCTGGAGTCCGAAGGCGGGAAAGACTGGCTGGATTCCCGGCACGGGCATCGGTGGCTGAAGACTCGGAGCGGGAAAGACTGGCTAGAGAAGAGCAAGGAAGACTGGTTGAAGTCCTGGTGCGGGAAAAGATGGCTGCAGACCCAGGGAGGGAAAGACTGGCTGCGGGTCCGGAGCAGGAAAGACTATGTGCAGATTGAGAGTGAGGAAGACTACCTGGGGACCGAGAGCGGGGAAGGCTGGCTGCAGAACGAAGACTGGCTGCAGACCGAGAGTGGGAAAGACTGGTTGCAGACCCAGACGGGGAAATACTGGCTGCAGACCGAGAGTGGGAAGAACTGGTCGCAGTCCATGACTTGGCAAGACTGGCTGCGGACCTTGGATGGGCCTTCGCCATACTTGCTGCCATCCTCTCCGCCATCACCACCCTGGTCATACTCGCCACAAGCCTCGCCACAGACCTGTGATGGACAATACATGCCATACTCAGCGCTGCCCTGGCTCCAGACACAAGACGGGCAGGACTGGCTCCAAACCCTGGGCGGGGGATACTGGCTACTTACCACGGCCGGAAAAGACTGGCTGCAATCCCTGGGTGGAGAAAACTGGATGCAGACCTCGGGCATGCAAGAGTGGCTGCAAGCCCCAGGCATGCGGAACTTGCTGCAGACCCCCGCTGGGCAAAGCTGGCTACAGACCCCCGCCGGGCGAGACTGGCTGCAGTCCCTGGGCGGGAAAGACTTCTTGCGATCTCCGGACGGACAAGACTGGCTGCAGACCCCAGGCGGGCGAGACTGGCTGCTGAACCCGCATGGGCGAGGCTGGCTGAAGTCCCTCGATGGGGAATACTGGCTGCAGGCCACGGGCGGAAAAACCTGGTTGCGGTCCCTGGGCGGGGGCGACTGGCTGCAGACCCTGGGTGGAAGAGGCTGGTTGCAGACCCCAGGCGGGAGAGGCTGGCTGCAGACTCCTGGTGTGCGAGGGTGGCTGCAGACCCCAGGCGGGCGAGAGTGGCTGCCAACCCCAGGCGGTCAAGAGTGGCTGCCGACCCCGGGCGGTCGGGAGTGGCTACAGACCCCGAGTGGGCGAGAGTGGCTACAGACGCTACATGGTCAACGATGGCGGTTGACGACTGTCTGGGTGACAATGGAAGAATTCTCTGACACATTGGAAGCAACTAGAGACTATACCATCATTCCAGAATCGCTTCTACAGCCAGCTTTTCAAGCCATCCAGCAGTTCAAGACCTTGCCGGATTTCTTGATGTTTCCAGCATTCTTGGCGTTAAGACACCGGGATCATTCAACATTTGCATCCGCACAAGGTCATTTTCCATCGGAGGTAGAGATCATCCACGGAATGAAGGCCTTTGCCAATTCCGCAAAGGAAGCACAGGAACTAAGTCGATCCACTCCCGGCGCTCTCAATTACGCATGTCAGAACTGGGTCGCCCATCTCTCGCGAGCTCCGACTCCATGGGACGACGAACTTACCCATATATTCAACTCTTTCTGGAATCATAATCTCCTCTCCTGGCTTGAAAGGCAGTGGTGTTTGAAGGACCTGCGGTCTTGCCTCACTATTTTATCCGAAGGGGAGAAACTTGCTAAGGTGCTTATGTTCCCAATGATTTTCTGTGCTCGCAGCCTGACCTGCGCATATAGGATCACCTCCAACTTGAAGCCTGAGCTCCAGGGCCATCTCAGTCATGAGTCTGAAGCTATGTCACGTTGTCAGTCATTGCTTATTGATATTTCTTTCACATCCACTTAGTATGAAATACCTTATTCGATACACGACTTTAAGTTAGTCTCCCGTACTAGTAACTACCTAGTCAAACCTTGAAAGAATACAGTCGTTCCTTAAGCCTTGAAATATACATCCCTTTAACCTCTGATGCTAAGCATCATACCAGTCAGAGTCCAGACAATGGCTACGAGACAGTATCCAAGCGCTAAGCTTCAAGATAACTTCAAGTTGGGTGCGATGTGTGACTTGATCTCGATAGATCCTTTTCGATTCGGATGGGTAGTTGCATCTTGTATCTACTTGATCTGATTGCCGTACACCAGGGGACTCATAGAATCTACGCTCGGCATCATTTCAGCCTGGAAAACATTCAAGCTTGATCACATCTGCCTAGTATCGTGCAGAAAACTCATGGACGGACACTCCCTGATAACCTGAAGAACGAGACAATATGGAAATTTGCAGGACAAAGAACTTTGGATGTAAGTAACCCGGGTCAATCGAATTTCTATGGTACTTGTGAACGGCCACACCAATTCTGCAGGGTGAAAATTTTCGCTTCGAGGACATGGTGATCCAGGGTAATGGAGCGGCTCTCAGAGGACCCTCGAGGTCTTGACTCAGGTAAATTTGTCGAAGCTGTACATATTTTGCATATTCGGCCGACTGCATCACTGGAAGCTCGATTCGCATGACATGCGCACTAGGTGGGCAATAGTCACATCACCGAAGCTCTATGCGCGCCTTCTGGGGTTCCTTCTAAGAATCCCTTGCGTGCCAGCCCGACAACTCGGACGGTCCGTTCATCGAGCTTCAAATTCGCTTTCCACGAATTCCCCGCATTATCTGGAACCAGTTGACATACATCCCGTCATATACCAGCAGTGCATCAGGAGTGTCTTCCACAGTTTGGTTTAGACCTGTCCTCTTCTAATAACCCTCCTCGTCGATGTCAGAACACAAGAAATTGTCCCATTTGTGGATTTGTTACACAAGGTTATTCTTCAGGTACTCCATGCAAATAACCTGATAGATCGACACTTGACAAAAAAAATATAGATATGATATTTGACCCATGGTGATTCCTTTACAGCAGGTATAATAGATCGCAAACGATCCTCAACTACGAACTCTCCCCTTCTGCCAGTGGCTTGCCGTGAGCCGACGCATATAATGCTTCTTTGTCCCCAGACTCATCCACGAGAGCACGCAACATACCCTTTTCATTCTGCAACAGCTCCCATGGGCTGCCGAATTCAACCTGCACATACTTGATCAGCATGGGAACACCATACAAGATAAGGTACTCACAAGTTTACCGGCGTCAAGGACCATCTATCGAACATATCAGTCCTCAGTACACAACAACCCAATTTTGAATACGCACAATTTTGTCAGCATCAATAATCGTCTGCAGCCGATGTGCAACGATAATCTGGGTCACGTCACGCAGCTCATTGCGGAGAGAAGATTGGATGGCAGAATCGGTTTTATAATCTGCAAAAGATTTCGGCATCATAAAAATCTACTACGTGAGGTACATACCAATAGCGGAAGTTGCCTCATCCAGTATCAGCAGTTTGCTTCCTCTGACCATAGCTCTAGCCAGAGCTAAAATCTGGCGTTGACCAACTGATAGATTGCCTCCTCCACTTGCGATGGCACTGTCTAGCGTCAGCCTCGCTTCCTCGGACTCGTCTTGGACGGAGAAAAGTCCGGCAGCTCGCAAAGCATCGTAAAGCACCGCATCATCGTGCTGATCGAAGAGATCCAAATTCTGACGGAGGGTTCCGCTCAGGAGCTCGGGCTGCAAGGATGAGATGTGTCAGCAACTCGGTCGGACAATGGCACGAAGAGCGTACGATCTGAGGTATGATGGTCACATTGGACCGCAGGGCATCCAAATTGATCGCGCTTGTCGGAATACCATCATAGTAAACATTGCCTTCTGTGAAAATGCAGCGAAGGAGCGAAAGCGTCAGAGAACTCTTCAGGATAGTCAGTCTCAGTCAAGGAAGATAACACAAACAAGTATCACCTTTCCGCTTCCAGTTCGCCCAACTAAATTCAGATTAGCTATTTGCTTAAAAGTGGATACAAGCACGCGACATACCGATACCCACGCGTTCGCCTGATTTGATGTGGAAAGACAGCTCTTGCAAAACTTTTGGCCCATCCTGCAAGCAGCGGTTAGGCAGGACGCGAAGACATGAATTAAGACTCACCGATGAGTAGCGGGCCGACAGGTTTTCTACGCGGAGATCACCGCTTGCAGGCCAGTACGCAGGCGGGTGGCCGTCTGTGGTAGGCTTAGGCTCTTGTTCAATCTTGATATAACTATCAATCCGCTCCAAACTATTCTACATGAGCAGCGGTCGGAGTCATTCTATGTCTGTACTCACCTGTTGCCTACACCAACCGGTCAGACGCATGAGGAGTAACACGAGGAACTAACTCACCGCTGACTTCCACTTCGTTGAGGATACGAACCCACCAAAGGATCATCGAACTGAAACCGACTTTAAGATGTGAGCAACAACACACAATGGTTACACCATGTAGATAGAATTTACCTGCCATGTTCAGAGAGAACCCAATATTCGACGCCTCCTGCATTCCATGACCATAGACAAGATAAGCGGCAAGGCCAGCCGAGAACGCAGCGCCGATAGCATCGATACGGACACAAACCCAACTGAGACGTCTGTTAGCGACCAATCTCCCCGCAACCAACGCAAACGAACCGATTCAAGTTATAGAATACGCGCCCTGATTTGGTGTAACGGTCGATGCGGTCGAGAGATTCTTGTTTGAATGCATCCTCTGCGCCATATGCACGAATCGATGCTGGAGGTGGAATGAATGAGACATCTCGTATATCATACAATTCCGTGGATCGCTCACTAAGTCCCGCGATGGCAGCTCCGAAGTGGCCAAGGACCGGTGCTTTCGCATTGCTCATCTCTCGCTTGACTGATAGTTGAGCTTTCATGTAGATGCGACCGATCCATCCGCCTAGCAAGCCAATAAAGAGACCAGGCGCCAAGAAGACAGGAGTCATGAACACGACGGCTCCGAGTTTCACGACCATGGTTATTGAAAGTTCAACGACCCAACCAATTCCTTGTGCAAACGGACCATCAACTAGATAATTTATCAGTGAATGTTTACTATCTAGAAGCAAGTGACTGACTGGCTCTTATGTCCTGTGTGCACCGGGTGATGACTCGAGATGTAGGTGTCATGTCTAGCCATCTGCCTCGACGATGAATGGAGGTGTGAATACTGAAATTCAAAGTACATACCTTAGCGTTGTGCCGAGTACAGATTGGACGAGTTTCTTGTGGATGGTTCGTGATGCCCGCATTGAACCCCAATAGTACATGTAATACCCAATCCCATACATGAGACAGCCAGCGACCATTAGCAAGGCGTATCCGGAGAGATAGCTTATGATAAAGGTGAGCGAGAACTCCACGAACGAGAACTGATCTTACAATACAACATTGACCTCTGAGGGTAGATGATCTTCGTATTGAGAAGCCCAGTACCCAAGATACCAAGTTTGCACAGTGCTGGCTAAGTCCGTCAACGCCACCAAAACCAGGAACACGACCCAGAACGTCATCGGATAGTTCCCCCCCAAGCCGGCCAGGTAGAGCTTGACTGTAACGCAATGTTAGCGAGGGACCGAGGATCTGGAACGGAACCAACAAGCTGGCCAGGAAACATGACCCTCTGCGATTTCCTCAGACATCACCAACTTGCCGTCGGACTTCTTTGCATCGGCGTTTGGTTCTTCTGGGTTGTCGACGACCTCGGCCTCTTTAGCAAGGACTTCCTGCTCTTTTGCCATTTCCGCTGCAAACTTGTGGTCCTTTGCAATGGCTTCAGATATCGATCCCTGGCTGACAATCCGTCCGTTGGAACCCAGAGACACGACGAAGTGCGCTACAGAGCTCGCCATAGCAACATTATGAGTCTATACTGCGTCAGAATCGGCGTCAGTCACATTTGACCTATATACACATACCACAAGGATGACTGTTCGATCTCTGACGAGATCTCCAGCGAAACACTTGTCTACAATCCACTTGGACGTGTGGACATCCAGAGCGGCCAAAACCTGTTCGCGTCTACTCACTGGTAGTTCAAAGCAGAGATGGAATTACTAACATCGTCGAGCAACAGCGTTTGCGCCGAAGAATATATAGCTCTTGCCAGGGTGATTCGTGCCTAACATGTTTCAGCGGCCGCGTGCGCTCTTGGGAGGAATGTGATTACCTTCTGACCGCCACTTTCCATGCGAAGTCAGACTTGTGACAAACGAAGGTTCGGCTCGTTGAGCTTACCTTAGCGTAAGACCCTTTTCTCCGACTTCCGTTTTGTCACCCGCTTCGAACAGAGTAAGGTCACGCTCCAGAGCACACTGATGTAAGACTGTACCCGTACGTGTCAACGACGTTCACAAGCAGCGCAACTCGACACTCACCATTCTTGTATCGAATCTCGTCGTAGGGTGCGCCGAAAAGAATGTTGTCCTGAGCACCACTTCAGCAAACGAGTGCCTAATTATGCTATAACACGTACCCGAATGGTCTCATTCTGAACCCAGGACTCTTGCGCGGCATAGGCTACACCTCCTTTGCGAGGAAGGTTGAACCAAGACATTGGACCAGAGGGCATGAAGTGCATCTCGCCTGCGTAACGAATTAGTACCATCCAGAAAGAAGGTTCAACAACCACCCACCAAGCAAAGCCATAAGCACTGACGTCTTCCCAGAACCTGTCGGTCCGACGACAAGGTTGATACCACCGCGTTGGAAGTACACCTCGCCATCGATGCGAAGCCTGAACTTGCGCTTCGACGGTGTCAGCGACCCGCCGGATTCATTGGACCAGGCAAAAACAGCATCTCTGAAGCCGATGAGGTCAGATTCGTCCTCTGGCTGGACAAAGAGCTGGGCTCTGTCCTCATCCTGCTGTGCGTAGGCATCCAATAATTCTGTCTCATTCAAGAAACTGTTGACACGGTCCATCGAAACTTTGGCTGGAGAGCGTCGTTTATCAGTGATTCACGAAGCAAGCAAAATAATTACCTTGGGTAATTCTTGGAATGGTGAAGAACACAATGCTGAGCTGGTCTCTTAGGATGTCAAAGACTGCCAGAGGAGTGATATCAGGTACCCTAAACAAGTGGATGATAGTATGAAGCTTACTTGTCATCGACGAAAAAACCTTTGAAGCTGGAATAACTGTTATGTCAATAAGTCGCAACAGAACCCACAGCACTGACCAGTTAGGTTTTGTCCCATAATGAGAGTCTAGGAGAGAGGGTAAGAAACTAGTTTTGCCTGTGGTCGAATGCAACATACGAAGGTCGCGTAACAAGCCATCATGGTAAACAGGGGAATCACGAAGCTATGGACGTGTCAGTTTTTGTTGTCACAGTCAATATGGAAGAGGTACTTCAACATGTTGTTTATCAGTTCTAATATCTTCGTCTTCCATGTCCAGACAAGTTCTACTTCTCGTTTCTCGCTGATCCTCTTGTCTATCTTCTCTTCCCATCCGAAAAGCTTGATCATGCGCAGAACATTCATAGCTAACGAGCCATAAGCGCTAGTTTTACACTTGTTGTGATCGACTTACTTTCGGTAACGGTCTGGACCCGGGCATCCGTCTGGGGTTGCAATAAGCATCGACTGATATACGAAAAATCCAGGACCGACCTTCTTCATTTTCTCCGTCTGCACGTTTTGAATCTTCTGGGCAACGTACCCAGGCAGAGGGAACAAGATGAGCATAACAGCCAGGCCGACAAAGGCACTTAATTGATGGCCATCAGTCAAGGCAGACATCAGTTTGAAGACACTCACCTCCAGCCAAGAATTTCGTACAAGAACCAGATGCACATGCCTACTTGCAATGGCATGTACAGCACTGTGTGAAAACATGCGTCAGAGAGCACACATCCGCCAGAGATCACCGTGACTTGCCGGCCATGAGGAAATCTCGTCCATCGGTAATATTGCTCAAGTCAGTCGTAACAAGATTGTTGATTTTACCAACAAGGTTGTCAGCGCTCGAATGCGTTTTGGACGAACTTTCCGGTTCTTCCTGAGACTTTTGCTTGCCTTTTTTCGTGGAAGATGTCGATATGGTCTCGGAACTTGCCTGCAGCGTCTCGTCGACACTGCCATCCGTGCTTTCAGTCCGCAGCGGCGGTGCTAGAACCAGCTACAGATGAGGTATCTGGTGTAGATGGTGCTGTAGACTCCCTAGATGTCTTGCCGTCATCAGGGAGCTCGGCCTTCATTCGGATTCGGAGCGCGTGCTCGAAGACCAGTTGCGTGAGAATACCCTCCGTGCGCACGAGTGTACGTGTCTGGAAAGCAAATGAGTGGGATCACTACGTATCGAACGATCACTCCCACCGCAATATAAATATACCATTGCCATGCGAAGGATCCGACAAGTGGTCCAAAGAACAGCCAAGATATCCAGACCCATGGACGGACCACGGCACCCTCGCCTTTCGTTTCGACATAACTATGCAAGTCACATGAGAGATATCAGGAAATGTGGTACACAAGCCACGTACAGCAGAAGTTGATTAATTCCAACCGGAGCGGCTAGTTTTGCCAGCACCTGTCATGAGAAACTGTCAGACATAGTGACCCACAGGTAAGAAGAATTGCATACCTGAAGAACGATCATAAGAGACAAAACTATGTACTCAACACGATAAGTTTTCATGAGCCCGAAGAAGATATGTCGCCTCCGACTGCCAGAGAAAGGGTCAAGATGCTGCAACGATTGTCAACTCGTCGGCTGCAACCGTGGTGTCAAAAACTTACGGGGAAGCTCTTCTTTTTGAGATTTCTAGAATGATCATAGTCGGCCAGCGGAGGAAGTTCTTCATGGGACAAGTGGGGAACTCGATACGCCTTGAAGACAATAGGGTCCAGCCAGGTATACAGCGTCATAGACAGCCAGGAAGAAGTTTGCTCGGGATGAGGGCTCTCAGTAGGGTTCTTGAGAATGATGTGAGTGTTGGTGATAAGATATCTTTTGAAAACTATGACATACTGCAGGGTCTACTGGAATATATTGTCTCGGGCTCACGAGAGGGAATACGATGCTTGACAAAAAAAGGACAACTACTTTTGCCCACAACAAGCCCCCTTCCTTAAGGTCTTTGGGTTGTTTATTAAAGGTAAGAAGAGGCCACAGATCCCGGTACGCAAACACCGCAAAGACTGCAAATAGAAGAGTAGCCAGGTGGGTGGACACCAACCTGCTCCATCGGGGTTTGGTAGTGACTGAAACAAGTCCGAGAATGGATGCATAAGCCTGGAGAGCGTGAGCGAATATCGAACAGATAGCCACAAATTACTAACAGCAGTCATGCACAGGGCGAATTGCAACCACTCAGTGCGAGAAAACGGAATGTAGCCATCAGGGTGACGGGCCTTGCGATGCTTTCGTCCAAGCAATTTGTTGGCTTCTGTTGCGTGCTCCTCACGTTCATCTAATATGAAAGTAGCCAACGACAGTCCCAAAAACACAAGACAACCAATGAATCTTGCAAATTTGTATGCAAAAATGACCAAACCACCGTGTTGAGAAATGAATACTTTAGCCTCAGAGAAAAATCCATCAGCTATAGTAGGTTCGTCGAAGAAAATGCTGGGTTCTTCCTCAGTCTTGGGGGGCATGAAATGCGACCAAAGCTTTTTGACTGGCTTGGATAGCATTATTAAATGCAACAAGAGAAGAAGGGCAGATGCAGCAGCAACATATGCTGGAATCATGAGCGTGCTGTACCACAGTCTAAGGATCGACTTGATGTTAGACCTGTCAATATCAGGGTACTTGACGCACAACACTCACGATTTGTTATGGCTTATCATGTGCAAGTCGAGAGACCGAAAAGAGTCAAGCCCCTAAGACGACTTGCCATGGACTAGGATCGTTATACCGATCCCAGAGTGACATTTTCTAGGAGACGAGCTGATTGCCAGTGCGCGCCTGATGCTTGAAGGTGAAGGTTGAGGAAGGGTTTTAAATGAATCAAGGACTTTATAATATTGAGGTACTACGTAATTGAAATCAATAGTGTCCACATGGTTCTATACTGATAGATATCTTGCGCGTGAATCCGTCGGAACCTTTTCTGATAACCGAATAACAGTACCCGGGGTCCTTGTATAATCCTGTTTGGGTGTTGTGGGGAAATCAGGAGCACTACATCCAAGTCTATGCTCAACGCAACTTATCATGGCTACTCCAACAGTAGACTCCTTTGCTACACCTAGGCCATCCGTTTCAGAGCCGTACTTGCAGTCCGGACCAATCCCCCTGTTTGAACATCACCTCAAGGTCTTGACAGACTCATATTTGAGCTTCTTCCAAGAAAGGCGCGTCTACTCACTCATCCCAATATATCGTCTAACAGTGCCACTGATTCCCGCAGAAAACGTATCGAAGAAGTATAGTGAGCAATATTTGGTATTTAATCACTCGAGATACGCTTTGAACACGCGTTTAGTGTCGAGTCCTTGCTTAAACTTCATCGTAAGGTGAAATCCATCGACAGCTATCTGGACGATCGGACAGAACTTAGTACTGCAAGGAGAGCGTGGAATGAGGTTCGGGATAACGTCGAGAGAGGTTGGTCATACTTCACTTTCAGACCAGCAGCCCCTCATAGATGGTGTTCGCGATACAGAAGCGCAGACCAGACAAGCATTTCTTGCAACGCTCACAGGAGATGTTGTTAATGCCTTGACGTCGCTCAGGGTACGTCTAACCCCTTCTTCGGCGTCTTGTCGAATCTGTAATTGCTGGATGTTAGGAGACGCAGGAGCGTACGCGCAAACGCATCAAAGAGGATCTGAAAGAGTCTGGTAGTGCCTACACTGACTATGCCGAGAATACGCTGCCAAAGCTGAAACGCACTTATCTGAAAAAATGCCAAGAGGTCGAGGTCAGTCATGAAGTAGTTGATCTCTTGCAGTCATCCATAATATCTTTCAAGGACCACAAAGCGGCGGCTGCCGCCGCACCCTCGCAGTCGACTTCTACTATACCTTATCCAGAACAGAGTGGAACTACTTTGAGTACTTCGCGGTCTAACCCCAGTCTGCCGTCCCGGCCTGTTGTCACTGCCCCTCAGCCGTTACGGCCCCTTGATAGACGACCCTCTGGGAGCGCGCCTGGACCACGTAATCGCTCGCCCTCTACATCGGGTACATTTTCTGAATTTGCTCAACACGGTATGATAAATATGGCATATGTCGATTCCGACTTGACTCGACTAAGCGCCTATCAGGGAAAAAACAGTTGAATCAACTCATCACATTCTTAGATAAGAGTGGTACCGTGAAGGAGAGCTTAGGTGTACGCTCAGAAAATAGCGCGCTCCGCGCTGTCCGCGCGAAACGAGAAGCTGATGAGGCTGGTAAGTGACGCGTCGGCGTGCCGTGCGAAGTTGATTTTGGCGCAGATCGGGAATACCGTAAAGGCGTTCATTGGCTGGAGACACTCAGACTCAGGCGCTCTAAGATTCTGACAAGCGGTTATAAGGTAAATTTGTTAAGTAGCCGGCATCATTTACTGGCAGCTGACTACTAGGCACCATTCAGAGTTTGGAGACCTTTGTCTATGAATATTCCACGACAGTCAAGGCAGTGCTGGAGAAATATCTTGATAACATGACGTACGTCTATTTTTAGTTGTATCCGCAGTTCTTAGAATGTCGGCAGGGCAACTACTACGACACAGACACAGTTATCATCCCATGGACGTTCCGTGGTCGACAAGATTTCCCCAGAAAAAGATGTATCACTAGTCACGACCTACATTCCTCGTTCACTAGCATCAGCAATAGCCAAACCAATACTTTACTACAACTATAATGTCGGCGAATGCTGCGACCTTATCTTCGGCTTTAGTCTAGTGGATTATGCGACTGCTCGGGGTCTCGGGGAAGGCGAAGTTCCAAAAATTGTCCGTATCTGTGTCCAAGAAGTAGATCAGAGAGGGTTAGACGCAGAAGGCATTTACAGGGTAAGCTCTTTGGTGTGCTTTTGCTTCAGATGCTGATAGTCATACGCAAGGTGTCTGGCAGGCATGCTGTTGTACATGATGTGAGTCTGTCAGGTTTTTGCAAATTTTATGCCCTTCATCAGACACTCCGCAGCTACAACATAAGATAGAGCGGAACGAGGCCAATTTCAACTTTAACGTCCTTACTGACGATATTTATGCCGTATCCTCACTATTGAAGGTATTTTATTCTTCGGATGCCTATGCGTCGTCACGACATTGACATTTCATTACCAGCTGTATCTGCGCGAGCTTCCGGAACCATTGTTTAGATATCCACTGCAGGATCGTCTGGAGCATACGGAGGATCGAGGCAAGCACTCGAGTATCTAAAGCATTAGAAAATCATCTGACCTTGGATTTAGCGGAACACCAGTCGAATCACTTTGCCCTCCTGCGTTCGAAGATACGGCGGCTGCCTGCCATTCATCGTGCGACTCTGCGCGCTCTGGTTGAGCATCTAACTCGTGTAGCGTCCAATGCGGATAAGAACAAGATGGATGCAAAAAACTTGGCGATTGTATTCGGCGCCGTCATTTTCGGCGAGGATGAAATCCCAAAGGGAGGTGACCTTTTGAGCGTTCAGACATGGAAAGTTAGCCATTTTTTATTTCTCAGATTGCCTGAGCTAATATTTCTACGCTCAGGATACGCTGATGGAGGACATGATCATTCATGCTCGAGAAATTTTCGAGGACCCTCCAGCCGGTAACTCCCCTCCTCTACCTGCCTGCACCACTCGGTGAACCCATGCCTGTGTACTCGTATGGTTCATCACACACGAGGATTGGCAATGTCCCTCCGAGATCTCAATCCCCAAGAAACCCAGAAGACTTCACTCCTCGCCTCCCTGCACGACCGACAGGCAGCATACATCCTTCCCTCCGTGCGAACCCAACTTCGCCAACACGCGTGAATATGGAAATTCCTCCAATGCCACCACGACCTATTCAGGGCGTGGACGATGACTCATGGCCGTCGCCCACCGGTTCTGCGTCAAAGCACACAGAATCAGAGATAGATATATCACCACCCCCATCCCCTTCAGCACTGTCGCCTCTCATATCTCCTGCGGACACAGCAAGTGAATCGGGACATTAGGGTTACTTCTTTCTCATGCTAGACATTGAGTTCATTTGGATGAACCTTTTAACAGACATTTAATCGTTCAGGGTAATTGTAATTTCTCTCAAACTTTCTCTGTGGATAAGTTAGCGTCTACAATATATAGGCACGAACCGTGGTGAAATATACATGTTGTTACTCGTGATTAATGACCGTGCATCCACAAATCCATGAATTCATCAAATGTTACATAGAGATATCCATCGATGAGTGATATTGCTCAATAACCCAGTCCATATCCATTTCCTCCTCTTGATCTCGCTGGGCTTGCCAAGAAGCCTGCCACTCTATGACTCGTGGATGAGCCAAGACTCTGAAAAGCATCATCACGTCAGTCGATACGCCTCAGTGAAAAGCCCAAAATCCCGAACTTTGAAGGATCAAAACCGATGATCTCCAGTCCTTCCAGGCTTGTGGCTCTCGAGAGGGCGACATAGGCTTCACAAAGGCAAATCAGCTTCGAATAGACAATAAGACACGAGTTCAATTGTTCACCTTGTCCCTTCTCAAATATCCTCCTAAGATCAACCTTGACTCGCGTCATGGTTTGACCCTGAGCCTTATGAATGGACATCGCCCACGAAAGCACGAGAGGGACTTGTACTCGTTGCGCTTCGCAGTTGCCTTTCAGGCCCTGGACATTAAATGGCAAGGGGGCGCAGAGCAGGTGCAGCCCATTCGTGAATTTGACGAGCGGAAATCGCTCATGTCTTTCGAACGTGTTTTGATCGAGAGCCACTAAGCCTTCGTACTTGTTTTCGATGTTTTCATCATCAGGGGTCTGATCGATGGTAGGAAGGAAGTCCCCATTTCGGGAACGCTGAGGTGCGACCTCGAGATCGGCAATTTCAATAAGGCGCTCCCGTGCTTCGTGTGTGGTGATAAAGTCAACCACTTTTCCAAGCGAACCGTTGACCAGTTTGCCTTGCAAAAGGTTCTTTGGGAGATATGGTCAGGCTCAGCCAGTAGTCCTTTCAGAAGACCTACCCTAAGAAGCATCACTTGTGCATCAACCTGAATGTGTAGTGAACTGGGAAACACAATTAAGCATACAGCAAGTATCAACCGACCTTTAGAGATATCACTTTCGGAGCAACGAGTCTTTCTAACAGCTGCTCGGCAACATCAACTGGTATTCGCTTTCCTATACATATTGAAGCCCCTAGAGTCCATCGATGTGTATGTCCGTATTTCTCCCGGCAATACGTCGAGATGTGTTTTATTGCATGTCTCGACCTGGCTCTTGAGAGGGAACCTGTGAACCACGATGATCACCGACACGTCACAGCGAGTGAGAGGGGCTGAAATCGCACAGTTGAGTCGGACTTATGCCATCGGGATATTCCACCACACGGCTCAGGTTGAAGAATTCTGTGATGTGCCAATCTTCTAGTGTCCCGGACCTCGTCGCAGAAAGCATGTCAATAAATTCTACATATTGTAAGATGCCTGGAAAACTGCACGGAATCTGAAGTACCCACTGCTATCCGTCTGGCGGAAAACTCTTGTCAGGACAACTGGCTCGTCGATGCAGTGAGACCAGGATAGCGCATCAAAAGTAAAGGTAGGCGGTATTATTGTCGTGGAATCTTGCTCGGGAACAGGTGGAAGCTGGAAGAAATCACCTGACAGAATAAGCTATCTAACCTGTCAGCGACCAGGATAACACAAGGGAAAGAATAGCAACCAATTACCTGTATACCTCCAAAAGGGCGATGGTTTCCCCGGACAATCCGACCTATCTCTTCCTACCGATGAATTAGTAGGATAAAGACGTGGTGCAGGCGTTAAATCGTACGAGCTTGTCAAATAAACGCCCGTCCAGCATTGAAACTGTCAAATTTTAGCACAGCGATCTGATACTGTTGGTCGGACGTACTTTCATCAATTACAAGGGCATGAGTATTTTGCCATCGTTTTCTTGCCCATGAACCCAGGCTGCCCTCCAACGTCTCGACACTTTCCTTGCCCAACCCTATGCCTGCCCAGGAGTGAATTGTTGAACCCCCGATGTTCACACCTGCTATGCCTGTAGGTGCAGTGATAGCAACCCCCCCACGGAACCGAACTCGCAGCAATTCTATAATGGCTCTCAACAAAACTGATTTTCCGGTTCCTGGAAAAATAGTGCGTTGACCACTTATCTTGAAGATCAGCAGCCATGCAAGCTTACCAGCTGGACCTGTGAAAAAGATGTTTTTGCCATTTTGAACCAGGCGAAGAACTCGTTTCTGCTCTTCAGAAAGGTCAACGGCTGGCTGCGATGGAAGTGGTGGGGGTAGTTGAGGTTCTTGCAAAGGGATATAAGGCGGAGGAGGCGTGAGCCTGTCGCTATGTGGTCTTGCCAGTGGCCTGTTCAGGGGTGATTCATACTCTACCCAACGACAACCCGGCTGATGTTCTGGATACCGTCTTGCTCCATAAGAGATCGTCGTGCTTGTAGATGTCAAGGAACTAGATCCTTCCGATCGTTCAGTGCTTACATCCCACGTAACTGTAGCTGTCGGCCAGTACAATATGTTACCACATTCCAAAACCTCGAACGAAGGATGTACACATACTAGTCGTTCGAGTTACAGAAACACCAGATGTGGGTACGTCTGTGAGCCAAGCTTCCGCTTCCTCCAAAGTGTCGAAACCTTTTCCGCTGGAACCACTAAGACCGAGAGTCTTAAACAATAATCAGTTTCGAAACCACGAGCCGGCAGGGGGATACTTACTGCCTTCTGGAACTATTGGCGCATGTCAATACTCAACGTAAGTTACATGACGATAGCTTTCAGGGACCTACATCTCGGAAGTTCGAATAAATTTTTGGGCCTTCGCGGCCAATGCGCACTGCGTAGTATGCTGGCATGGCCAATAACAGACGGTTATCACAGAATGGAGCTTTTAGCGGGAAACACTATTTGAATGTTAAGCCCGGGGGCATGGGACTAAGCAAGCAGGTTACTTATTGGATACTTCAGTAGCCTGCTGGTTTCAACGTTGCATCGTGGTCGGAACGCCGAACGCGCGACGCGCGCCTACTACATAGTATAACTGGGTGTCACGTGATTTAATCAACTAAGTTGTCGCCACATTTGATCAAGTCCCGTACGCTTCCCGAGATTCATCTCTGTCCATGGCCTCAGACTCATCATCCACGTACATCTGGTCACTGAGCATTTCGCATTCCATATTGTTATGCCACTCCAGTACGCGAGGGTGCACCATGACTCTGGCAGCCGCAACAAGGCATGGTTAGTTCGAAGTGACAAAGCAGTCTTGAACGAGAGGCTTACTTATTGGGATGAAAGTTTGATACTTCCAAAGTGCTCATGCTAGTAGCACGAGAAAGGGCGACGTACGCTGAGAGGGCGGCAGTGAACAACCTGTGATAAGTCGTGAGGTTGAAATTACCTTGGCCTTTCTCAAAGATTCGCCCGAGATCCACTTTCACCCTTTCAAGAGTTTGCCCTTGAGACTTATGGACACTCAGTGCCCAAGCTAATATCAGGGGGATCTGATCTTTTTCATATGCTGATTCTAAGCGAAAGTCAGACGGCTCACCTGTCGTCTTCTCGCCTCGGTACCACCATCCGCATTATTGACCGTGAAGTCCGTTGGTACACATAGTAGTTCTCTGCCACACGTGAATCGGACAACAGGCCATTGTGAGTTGTCGTAATTGGCAGGAATTTCGGACTTCGTGGAGAGTCCACCTTTGAGACCTTCTTCCGTGACAATTGGAGTAGCGGACTTCAAAGCTTCTTCAGAAGTATTAAACCTGACCACTTGCCCTACAGACCCGTTAACCAGCTCTCCCTGGACCATATTCTATGGAGCCGTGTGTTCAACTCAAGAGCTCGTTTTAAAAGTATCTCACACTACCTTGATCAGCATGACTTGCGCGCCCACCTGCGATGTGTGAGACAGGGTTGTGTAAACAAAAGGAGTAATACCCACCTTTAGATGGATGATTTGTTGTGCTACAAGTCGTTCCAACAAGCGCCCCATCTGTTCAAGTGAAACAGCATTGTCGTTCGAATCGCGTCCAGGTGTGTCGGTTGCCGAGTATCTGATTCCGTCCCCAGGCAGTGAAATAAGCTTTCTTTGGTTTGCTCCATCGACCTCCGCACGAGTGGGGTATCTATGGGAAGTTTGAGCCTAAAATGACGCAACATACAACCACCCCATACAGCTGTGTTGGCCCGATACCATCCGTATACTCGATTGGGCGCGACAGTCGTTTGAAAGCGTGAATAGAGTCTTCATCCAACTTTCCAAAACGCATCGCGTTGAGCATGTCAACGAATTCTAATTCATGTAGGCGAATGAAGGCGGATTTGCACGTATTGCTCACTTTGCTCCTTTTGCCGAAAAACTCGCGTCAGGACTATAGGCTGCTTGATGCAACGACTCCAACTTTCTGCCTCAAATGCGAACGTCGACGGTATTTGGGATCCCGTTCTGACCGCGATCTGGCACCGGAGGAAGCTGGCAGAAGTCTCCCGAAAGTACCAGCTAAGACCCGCAAACACATTAGAAGCCAGAAGTTAACGGGAGATTATTGGCGTTGTACCTGAATGCCACCAAAAGGTTTTTCCGATCGCCTTACAATCCGAGCAATGGCTTCCTGTGATCCAGAGGTAACATCAGCAGTAAGATTGCAATGTTTCAGCATCATCATACCAGTTTATCAAAGAGCTTTCCGTCGATCATGGATACTGAGTAATGATAGAGTCAACCATCTTATGAATAGGTGTATGCCACAAACTTTCATCTACCACGAGTGTCTCAACACTTTGCCATCGTTGCCTGACCCTTTCAAATTTAGGCTGCCCAAGAAATTTTCCGCCGAGTTTCTTTGCGTCTTCTTGGCCAAGCCCAATTCCCGCCCATGAGTGCACGGTGGTTCCGCTAATGTTAACTGATGCTATTCCCGTTGACGCCGTTATAGCGAGACCGTGGTGGCCGCGCCCACCCCGCATTCGAATGATTTCCCGCAAGAGTACAGATTTACCGGTGCCTAGATAAAATCAGCAACGTAGACGCAGGCAGGTCAGTTTCAATTGCGCACCTGCGGACCCTGTAAAGAATACATTTTCACCCTGCTCAATTCTTCTAAGCACGCATTTTTGCTCTTCTGAGAGAACAATACTATCCGATGGAGGTTCAGGCGCAGGTGTATCAATTGGAGACCAATCGTATCCTTGGGAGGTTGGTGGTTGCTTCGCAGTCTTTGCATATTTGGATCTTGCTACTCCTGACCCAAAGCCCAATGGCACGCTGGACACACCAGACGACGCAGGCTCCGTACTCGAAGACGGTACCGGGGCTTCTGGGACTCAGCAGCGTAGCAAATGGTCGTTTAATTGCTCACTAGTTCTAGGTAACGCAAGCCACTGTTCAGCCTCGACGCGAGATCGAAAACTCTTGTGAACGGCACCGGGCCAACGCGAAACCTGTTGAGACATTTTAAATTGGCGCGCACAAGTCACGGTCTAATCTTGACTCACGTTTGCGTTGCACTAAGATAAAATGGACGTTACAGCCTTTGAGGGTTGTTTCTGCTGAATTTCTAAGAGAAAACTCACCTCGGCCCAAGAGTCGTATATTTTTGGTCCTTCGCGACCAATCCTTACAGCGTAATACTTTTTCGCTGCCTTTGGCATTGGATACTTCAATTATCTCGAGAGGGATTCCAACGTTAACGTGAACGTCGTGGATAGGAGAAGTTGTGCAGTCTGTCACACATTTGTCACGTTCCACACAAAACAGACTTCAGAGAAAAAGAAAAAGAGTGGCAATGGCATTAGCCTAGGTACAATGGAGAACAATGTGCACGTTGCACACCTAATCGACGGGCTTGAATACTGAATAATGGAACGGAACGAAGTAAAAAACGTGTAACACTACTAGTACACTAGGAGCGAGACAGACTGGCAGGCAATACCACAGCAGTATGTGGCGTGTTGGATCTTACGAGAGGTGTTGTGCTGTGTTCTGATGGATCATCATTCAATAGTTCATCTTGGATTCTGGAATGACAATGCTCAAGTCGACCGATATCGTTTGCACTTCCCCACAGGTCACTCGCAATGTGTTCTATCAAGACTTTTGGCACGAGCTTACTTCCCAAAGTACTTTCCATATTCGTGATGCTTGAAGCCCCAATGACAGTGGCATTAAGTAGTATGTCAGTCTGGTTGGCGCATTTTATTTTAAAAGCCACTCACCCGCCCATAGATGACCAGCCCCACTAATAGGTATGTAGGTATGCCATGAGGTGCCCGGCAGTTGGTGATTGGTTGTCGTCAGGACTCGCTGAGCTCCATCGACGCGAGTCTGAACGCGAGCTCTTCCTAGGGTATAGCACGGGTTTGTGACACACCGCGGGTATGGGGGTCACGGGTACGGCGGGTACGGGTACAGTGTCTCGAACTGACACCCGCGCCAACACCGTACCCGAAAGCACGGTATACGAGGGTATACGGATATGCCACTGGTATCACGTGATTCACCATGAAGGGGTCGTCTGTAGGGTCTGGACTTTGTTGGGACTTTGCGTAATGTTTGAGACAGCACTACTGAATCATTTGCTGCCCACAGGATTCAGAAACGCGTCTTAACTGTGTCCCCCAGTTCGAAGTTGGTAATGTTGAGTCCTGTCTTCTGTCTTCGTCACGGATGGCATCATTGCAGGCAACAAAACAGTACTTGCCGCTTCACGCATCTTCCTGTTTACCAGGGTGACAATTAGGCTGGTCTCAGAACAAATCTTATTCCACGAGATGTCGTTTCGTGGTGGAATTCCACGTATGACATGCTGCGTTTTGCAGTCAAGTATCAGAAGCGGGCCATCAAGAATATTACTGGCGACAAGAAACTGCCCAAATTCCGCAAGTATCGATTGGAAGTGGAGCGGGTAAGCGCTCACACCCACGGGTTAGTACGGGTAACACCGTACCCCCCTACCCGTTGGGGTCGGTGTTGACGGGTACGGGTACGGTGTTGATTTTCCGACCTGCGGGTATACTCGTGCTATACCCTAGCTCAGCCTTTTCCTAGTCGCTGCTAAAACGATTTCCAGAAAGCACTGGTGCAAGACATGGGCAACGGCATGAACTTGGTGTGCGGAAGCTCCATTGCATGTTGGGGGTGATTCTGTTAAAGTGGACTGGGTCATCCGGAGAACATCACCTGTGAACGCCTCGTCGGACAGAAGTGTAAACGTACTCGGGCAGGCGCGTTCGAGAAGCATATCGGGAAACTGAAAATTGCAGAGATGCGATGCTTAGATACGGCCCGCTTACAGGGTGAAGGTGCTGGTTCAATGCTGGTTCAATTTTAAGATCCGCAGTCTCTCACGTCCCTGTCACGTTCCAGACACGCATATGATATTCCAACAAATATGTACATTCATGTCTGCGGGAGACAAGTTGGCCACATTGATCAATTTGATGATTAACTGCGTATTGTATTATCAACTTCAAGAAGCACAGTACCCGGCTAAAACATTACTCACATCGCGACTTGTTACTCGGACTTCCAGCTCATCGAGATTCCTTAAAATCGCAGTATGGACCAAACTCCTATTAGCGTTGCGAGTTATGGGGTTGGATCCTGGATGCAAAGCAAACTCCTCATACTCACATCATTGAAAATACAAACCATGTGCTTGCAGCAATCCTTGTCGCTGCTGCAAACCACGAATTCGCCACTGCATGCACTGACAGACATAGATGCTATCAAAACAGTGACAACGGCGAGGAAGGAGAAATGCATTGTTTGTGCGAGGTGATACTATGGGATCTGCCAAGGGGGATCTCGAATAGTAACTCTGAGGCTGGGGGCGGCTGGTGGGGGACACGATATGAAGACAGCTTGCTTTTATGTCCTGCAAACAGTGCTGCCGGAAGATTCGGCAGAAGTCGTGGAGTCTGTCAATTGATTTGGAAGAATGATTAGGCCTGGGTCATAGCGACAAGAAGTATAGGCAGAACTCGGGGTGACCCTAGGGTTCATATTGAGTGGTTCGACAATGAACCAGTTACTACATATCATATGCATCAAGGACGGACACGACACTAAAGCGAAAGCAGGAACACGACTCACACCGTGACCTGTCACTCCAAGGTAACCGCTTCTAAGATGAATTAGCAAGAGTACACAAGCAAAATTAGAGGCATTACATACTCTCGAACGCCCTCCGTCGGAATGTAACGTCAATAATGTACCTTCCCACCTCAGATAAAGCCATCCCACATCTCACTCGATTTATCAATACTACAGGCCGTTTCAGGCCAACGTTCGGTGAGCTGTAAATTTTCAATCGCTACACTACCGTAAATCTGTACAGATCATCTAAGTGTACAACAGGATATTCAATACATAGGTAAGATGCTTGATCAATGAAGATGCGCTGCTAGTACTTATACAACTTCCACGAAATTGGCCGGAAATATTCCCTCTCTGCTGTCGCCTACTTTTCCGGTCCACCTGATTCACAGGTCATGTATTTATTGATGCGGAAATTGGAGGAAAAACTCACCAGTCATCGGTACTATCACTCTTCTTTGTGATAACGATTACATCTCCTCTAGAAAAAGAAAGGTCACCAGCCTGCATGCGATGCAGTAAACACTTGCTCGTCATCATGAGAGAAGAACAATTTCATACCTCCACCGCTTTGAAGTCATAGAGCGCTATCGCACGACTGACTCCATCATCAAGAGGAAGAGACGCTGTGAGGTCTGCTTTAGTTTTAATGAATGGTGCCGCGCGATAGCTTGGCTGATCGTCTGATTCAAAGAAATTGTCATCCGGTGGTGGGCTGGAAGCAAAGGGGTTGGTATAATTCGCCAAGGGATATCGATTAGAAGGTTGGTTGGTAGACGGCACACTCATTGAGCGCGAGTGAGCGCCATTTATGTCGCTTAAGCTAGAGTGTGCAGAGCTAAATGGTGGTAGAGAGTTGAACGGTGACGCAGGGTCATATGGGTCCTTTGTGCTTGGTGGCGTAGAGACACTGTTAAAAGGTCGGTGCCGGCTTTGCGAAGAAGGCGCAGGATCAGATTCGAATTTTGTATCGAAACCAGGACCTGACCGTGGGGCGCGCTCGTAGTCATCCCACGGAGTAGGGCCAACATCAGAGTCCGATCCCCCGCTAGCAAAGTACGACCCAGAATCTCTTCTCCTTCCCCAGTGTTCCGGGGGAAAATCAGCTCCTTTCTTCTTCTTGGCCAAGAATGAAGGCGTACTGCCTTCACTCTTTGGGCTCGCAAAGGCATAACCAGACTGCTCCCGTGCTCTGTCGTCGATCCACTTCCGAGTGCCTGGCAAACCAGTGCATGCTTCGAGAGTCTTCACAAGAGGAGAAGCCCATTCTGGACAAGGGACTGCTCCAGTGAGAAGCATTTTCGCAGTCACGTCCTGTTTGTATGCCAACAGATTTGCATCCTGACGTTCCATGATGACAGAGCCCTCTATGGAAACTCCACCAAATAAGCCTCGCGTTTTAGAATAGCTGTACCTGAATAATTTGGAATGTCAATTTAGCGTACTGTGGGTAGCAGTCGGTGGGCTTACATGGCAGCAACCTTGCCGCTTGAACTCACGGATCCGATCGCTTCACCATTCCGCCCGAGAGGGCCCATCGCGATACTCACATTGCCTCCCAAAGTGAGGGAGCCGGCAGACATGAACGATTTCTAAGCGCCAAGAACTCCGATAAGCGCTCAATGTCACCTGAAGTAGGATAAAGATCGACATACAACAGCCTACAATGACATGTCAGCGGAGAGGCCCAGGGCTTCGGGAAGCATGCAGACCGACCGAAATTGAATTAAGGACAATCAAGAAATCTGTCATCTCCGCGCCCAGTTGTCCGCCAACCCCTAGGCCAGCTGAGCCTATGGCACTTGGAGCAGACCATGCTAATGAGTCCTGTGAGCGGTAGCGATGCATACGTAATATGCGAAATGCCCACATCCGTCATCAAGCTTCGCTATAACGATCCCCGTCCCCGCTCTCGCCGAGAAGACGAAGCCCGCTTTGAAAACAGTGAAGAGGGCAAATCCCTTGGCGTTCTCTAATACACTCCAAGGGATGACCTGCGGTCAAGTGAACTTTCAACTCTTGTCCTGCTAACAGCAGCCAGCTAGACTCACACCGTCAAGACCATTATTCTTGTTGTCCACGAATGACGAAACTGGGTAACTCAGGCTGTCAGTGTCACCATGGTCAACAAAGGAGCCAGATACTCACAAATCTTTGCTGCCTTCGTGCATTCTTTAGGTAGCGTCTGTGGTAGTGGCGTATTGAACTTCATGGTTCGCTACTAAAACAAAGGAGAGCAAGTAAGGACTTGGAGCGCCTATGCTCCGGCCCCCGGGTGCAGCTCGAATCAATGTCATGCACTTGGCTGTGTCTCAAGACCGATCGGGGAAACTGAGTTAATAATACGCAGCAAGCTGCGCGTGACTGTGACCAATGTGACAGAAAGTAAGAAGAGATAGCTATGCAGAGATTATCTACACTATCAATGCAGGACGGTTGGACAGTAAACGCCTATAGGACACGACTTCCAGCTGCTTTGATGGTCCAACAATTTCCACCCGCTTGTTTCTGGACCTTGCGCCGGCAATGATGTAGTGGACGCTGAAGTCATGTGTTCTTGAGACTCATCATCAAGCGATATTAGGGATTGAAGCCGTTCATTCATCACTGTCAGATCACCCGCATCCCATTGCTGCATGCAAACCGTCAAGAAAGGGGGGAAATCAGCCCTTAATTTACTCACCTGCGGTCTCAAAGGACACGTGACAGAAAGGAGCATATCGGATGCTTTCTGCAATTCCGTAAAACCCGAGCTCACCGCCTCGAGGAGAGTGGCCAACCTGTTGCGTACTGGTCGCATCAATCAAATAACAGCGGACCAAATTTGGCTTACACTTCAGTCTTCTTTACCCCTTCTGTCTTACCAGGAGCAAGGGTAGAAGCGATTAGAACAATCACATTCTTCCTGAGACTCAACTCCCCATTTTCCTGACCGTTGTCATATGCATTAATAACCCACGCGGCCCATTTCGCGAGAGCCAAATGATACGAAGGGCCATTTTGTGAGTCTTCTGTCTCGAACGAAACGACATCCATGTCAAATCCTGTACTTGGCTGCTCGTAAAGAAGGATTTCCACAATCCGGGTCGTCAGAATAGATGGGAAGGTAGGATGATATGTTTGTACGTGGGCCAACAACGGAATCCATAACGCAAGTGAACGAGTGAGGAGGCACAAATTCGTCAGACGGAAGGTTTCTCCTCCTAGGTGTTCTAGTCAACGAGAAGCCCAGAATTTGCGAAAATACATACTTCTGAGAGAGAGATACAAGAGCACCCTTCTCAACCAAGGCATCGCAAAGTCTTTCCAGAGCCCACTTCTCTCTAGCATCCTCTTGTTCGATATCATTACCGTCGATGGTATCCCACCCGTATGCATCGGCCGCAAAATCTGCAGCTAGTTTAGCTTCTGCAAGCCACCGCTCAACATCTCGCATGAGTGCATCAATGTCTGGCTGATATTGTTTGCGGAGGGAAGCGTCACGCGTAACAAGTTTCAGCAGTGTCTTGTATTGTTTTAAAAGTGGGGCAACTAGTCGCAAAGGGGTCGCCGTGCGCACTCTAGGAGCTGAAGGGTTTATAGTGGGAAGAAAGTAGTTGTGCAACAGCCATGTCAGTGACTGACCGCGCCAACAAAATATGAACCATGATAAGAATAAGAATATTTTACATTCCTATAGAACAGCTCACCTCCCGTGCTGCTTCCCTGAGCACTTCAAGGCTGGGAAGGTCTTCGTGCGTGGCTGCATGCCTCAATTCCACTAACCAAGAAGGTAACCCTAGCTGGGCGGCGATAGATGCTATAGATCTCGCATATGCACCCGCCTGTAAAGGATCGACGAGACCATTTACCATCCGGATGATTGCAGTGGCATAGTTCTGCCTTATACTCAATCGGGAGGAATGCTGTGGGGTTTCGGAAGAATCGATCAACCGGGCGGTTAAGATCGATAGAGTAGACTCCAGCGCGTGAGGCAATGTAGTTACAGCTCTCCATGCTGATAGCTAAACTCTGTCAGACGACGCTCGAGAATGTTGATTCAAGTGAAGCTTACTCTGTTAATTGCAACCTGTTTCGCCTCAAGATCGCCTTCGTCCATGAAGATCCACGAACAGAGCTGATCAAGCTCGCTGATATTTACCCATGGCACACGTCGGGGCAGTCTCATTTGCAGTGCCGACCCGAATGTCAGATAATTGTGGACGATTTGTCTGTCCGCAGCTGCAAACCGAAGAGCTGAAGTGGCGGTGCAATGATCAAATTTCCTAAAGGAACATGCGAACAACGTTGCAATCAATGCAATGCATGTATCCGGCAGCCGGCATTTCGCACATCTTATGTAATACATCATACTAAAGTACTGCCACAATTGCAATATTAATGTTACCTAGCATAGTAACTGTGCAGGGCATGGTTCTACATCCACTTTTACTCCCGGGTCTAGTCATGATATCGCGCCCAGTTGACAGCCTTCCAGAACTGTCACATTCTCTCGAGATACACGCGACGAGGCCGCTATCAAGCACTGCCCTTTGTCAACCAAGGTTTCATACAAAGGCAAGCAGCCATCGTATCATTTCCCTCAGTTTTCAATTTATACTTCTTCCTTCCTCAAGTTAATCTCGAGTAAACATGGGTCTCAGCCCCAAAGGCATCCTTGCAGCGGTGACAATCGCAATGTATACCCCCTTCCTACTTGCTTCCTTCAAAGTGGTGTCCAAGTACGGTATAGCACGAGGGTGGATCTTGTTGATGTTCTTCTGCATCAGTCAGTCATTTAATTTATTCTAGTCATAGCTTTAACCTGTTTTTTTCTTCAGTTCGAATCATGGGTGGTTCTTTTCTTGTTGCAGCTGAAGAAATTACGCCCGTCCACACTGGACTTTACATCGGTGGTTACGCCCTTGAAGCAAGTGGCCTATCCCCACTGTTACTTTGCACGCTCGGTCTGTTTCACTTAGTGTGCGCCATCATGCTACCAGTTTTGGATGGGATGGGCTGAATACTACCATAGATTCCAGACCCCTGATGGTGGATCAAGATTTAACAAGCCATTGCTCCTTCTTGAACTCCTCGGTTTGGCCGCCGTCTGCCTTACCGTCTTTGGTATCGTCAATTCGTCAAGTTCGAGTGCGAACATCATGCGCCGGACAGGTGTCATCCTCTTTGTCGTCCTATACATTATTGTTGTCGGCATTTGCCTCTTTCTATGGAGCCAAGTCCGCTCTGTCATGAAATACCGAAAGCAGGTGAGCTTTCCAGAGCACGATCACATCTATCCGCCTAAAATTCTTACGCCCTCTCTTCAGCTCCTGAAGGTCATCTCCATCGCACTTCCATTCCTGGCGGTCCGGACGGTGTACAGCGTCCTGTCCATGTTTTCTTCGAGCACGTTTGTCGTTTCGACGACATCCCCCCAACCCAACACTAGCGACCTGGCGAAGTTCAACATACTCACGGGCGAATGGCAAATCTTCCTCGTAATGGACATGCTCATGGAGTATGCGGTTGTGATCATCTACACTGTTGCCGGTCTCGTGCTGCCCCTTAACCTGGATTATAAATCCCCTGACTTGGATCAAGACGAGTACTCCTTGAGCAGGCCTCAATATTGATGGTGGGCGTCGAAGCACCAGTCAATTAGAGTGGCGTCCAATTGTGAAGCGGTAAGTCGGTTTCATAGATTCGATGACACCGTCCTCACTATTTACAAAGTAGTCTACCCACCCAACGACTGCAGATCAGAACGGTTCTGATAGGAGTCTTTATTTAATGGTGTAATGAAAGTGTAACGAAATTTTATTTCTGTCTTGTGTTCAATACCACTGGATATTGATATTTTGCGACTGCATGCTGTCCGTTCTTTCCATCGTCCGAGGGGCGGCCTGCATTTGCTCTATACGACGCAATCTTTCTATGGAAGGAAGCCTGGTTAGGAATATGAAATTCCAATCATGTGTTCATGTTACCACTCTTATGTCGTTTTGTTGATTCGGTGTTGAAGTCCATAGAGAGCCTAGATGAATAACTGGACGATATGTATGACTACCAGTACATTCCCTGCATATCCGTTCATTCTTTCGCCTGCGAGGGTTCGCGAAGCGGGTTCTCTTGTCGTGCTTGGCCAAGCAGCTCGCCCAGACCTTTCTCTGTAACAGCTTTCTATATTAAAAGAGGTCAGCATCAATTTCTTAGTGATAACAGGAACCATAATCAGATGTCCAATGAGCACTGGATCTGAATTAAAACGTCGCTCGGAAAATCATTCCCTGGCAGAGAAAAAAGCCACAACTAAAGGGCCTACCTGAACGCAATCTTTGTACCTCGCCCAGATGCTCCCACATTTCCGGTCGTACTCTTCCTTCTTTTGCTTTGAGTATTCAGTTCTTTGAGCTTGTGGGTGTCCCTTGGTGTTGCCGATCGCAATAGCTGGTTCGAGGTAGCCCTCAAACCAAGTATTGAAGCAAACGTCGTACTCGTTCTTTAATGGCGTACATTCTGGAGACAACGAATGGGCCATTGAATAATTGCTACCAACGCAGGTGAGGAGGCAAAGGGAGAGTATAAACAACCGCCGGTAGGGACTAATGACGAGCTCTAATGACGTGTCGCTGCGGTTAGACTGAGTCACAAGGAAACATAGCCAACCACCGATGTCGATTTAGTCCCGCCAAGCAGAAGGTACCTTGACAGATATCAATCAGGTCATCCAAAAGTACAGTCCTCAAAAGATTAAATCAAGGGATTTTTTCACTACTAACTCAACTAGGTACGGATAGATGTCAGAGCTGCATAGTCAAGCACCTCCCAAGCCGCCTCGAAAGGCAGTGGCACAAAGTCTGGGAGGCGCTCCGGCTTAATTGAACTCCTGATGTTCCTTTCTTCTCCCATTCACCCAAATACCCAGAGCCAAGGCTGGCTAAGAGTTGCTTTGCAGGGGCAAAGCTGGCTGAAGGTTGTTAAGTATGAAAAGGGAAAAAAAAAGTCTCCGCTCAAGAAGTTGTTCTGTCAACCGATAACATAAGCAAACGTGATTGGACAACGTGACGCGATAGAAGTAACTAATTCACAGCATGGAACGACGTTCTACAGGGTATAAATACAAGTAACGAGAGCAATATTCAAAACAAGTTGTCCACAAGAAAACAGCGTCTGTCAGCCAACGTTACGATCATGAAATGGTTCCAGCGTTGACTCAAGTGTGCACTCGCATATAACTAGGGTGATCATCCTCTACTTTGTAAAGCCAAAAAGGACCTGTGACGTGGGTTGATTGATTAGACTTCCAAGTACGAAAGCACATGATGGATAAATATTACGTACCAACAGGATCAGCTGTGAAGGGATAACTTGTACAGCATCAGATCAAAAGATAACGAATATATACGTACCACGATCATGATGAACCCCTGTCCACGTTCCTATTACTCCAAACGCACTGGCGATGCTGCCGATTTGTATCCCTTCGGAACTAAAATGTGCATTATGAGCATCTGGACATCGTGACACCACCGCAACCTACCTCCACTTAATGCACGAATCGGATACAGATGCCTGACGTGCCTCAATTCATTTCGGTTTCGTATCTTGTGGAATGAGTAATAATGACGGGGCTTACAAATCGCCATCGTACCACACCACTTTCCGACATGGTCACAGAGCCTATGACAGTCGCCTCATTACCTGGCATACCCCAAGATGATCCAGTGAAGTACAAGGTCGGATAGTGCTCGTACGGGGAATTAGGGAAGCGGTCGAGTGTGTAGATGTCAGGTATTGCCTGAGCGTCAATGAGCGTCAGTTTGAGCTCAATGAGGCGCGCCGCATCTGGGAAATTTAAATTGTCAAAGTAGGTGCTATCCTGCAGTCCGCGTCCTCCGTTGTCATACTGTAGAATGAATGTTGAATATTAGGGTAAGTCTCATAAAAGAAAAAAATTACATTGAGTGCTAATTAATGGATGAGTGAATGTAAGAGCTTGGGTTATAAGTATGCTTACCAAACAGGTCTCTGGTGGTAGGGCGATGCACTTCAGTGCGGGCAAATAACAAGGTGAACAAAAGTCATACCGAATATCCATGAAGCAGACATATCTCCTCCAGTGACCTTCAACACCAGCCCAATCACCTGTTGCTCGTGCTGTGGTGCCAGGTGCCGAATATGCTCGAGTAGCTTCGAGCCCACAACGCGGTCTTGCATCCGGCCATAGAGATGGACGGTCATAAAGGTTCAATGAAATAACGTTGATAATCGACTCTATGTGAGTCCAATCCACTTCTCCTGATGTGGTGAATGGGCCCCATGCATTTCCTTGATGGTAATTCCGTAGGTCATAAACTTGATAGCGACTCCTCATCCATATTAATTTCAACCTTTCCTTCCCTTCGTCGTCGTCTTCGTCGTACTCATCCAATGTCAGCGCAAGGTATGAGCGCAAGCGAGCCAGCGATTGATTACCCTCTTCTGAGGCAATTAATGGAGAGCGAAGCATGTTTGTGGATTGCAACACGTCAACGACCCACAATAAATTCGGGGATGAGACACGTTCATGCCCCATTGCGACAGGAGCTGCAGTGCGTACCACAGAAACAAAGGTATCGATGGCCCTCAAGAGGTCTTCAAGTTTTGAATTTTTGCGACAGGCGATTAATTGTGCTTCCATTCGCCGGAGTAGCTCCTTCCTCCAGTTGAAATGACTATCTCCCAAAAATACGGACTCCATCTGCCGAGGGTCATCGAAGGGAAACAGAAGGAATAGTTGGCGCCACAGATACGGATCTGGGCTCCTATAAACCAGGCGATGTGCTTTCCGGCAGGTCTGCGAGAATGACGCAACGTCGCGAGGGTGGCAAAGTGCAAGAGCGCGTTCTGTTATCTCTGACGGTATTGGGAAGACGCAGCTCAGCATCATCGCTGACATTGTTCAACGTGGAATCGTTCACTAATCAGGCTGAAGGTTGATGTAGTGCCAGTGGGAACGTACAAGGCGTAAATCATATTGATGTTCTGATATATGGTTTCGGCCCGGGCCCTGGGCCCTTTGGCCGCAGATTGATTGAACTCCGTAATCGACTTTTATGCACTCACTTTACCGTCTCCCCATCGCAGTCACCATATGATTACAAGTATACCTGTATACATCGTATTTTGCCAATAATTAACGTTTCCAAATGTAAAGTTACTTGCAATCGCAAACTGAGTGCTACTACATAGTAAACGTATAAAGTCGTATTTGTACATATTTGCGAGGAACCTCGGTCACAGCGTACTAAATCCTTTTGTGTACGTACTTAAGTACCGACTTCCTTACACTTGTGACTTCACTGAGAATCATGCGCCGCCTCCTCATATGCTCGCTTTTAATCGGTTCCAGCCTTGCTTTTCAATTTCCCTTCAGCATCTTCAAGTCGAAAAACTTTGTTCACGTAGAACAGGCTCATGCCTCTCCAAGAATAGCCATCGTGGGCGCAGGCGCGGGAGGTTCCTCTGCTGCATTTTGGATATCTAAAGCGAAGGAGAAATTTGGAATCGACGTTGAAATTGACGTGTATGAGCGTTCAGATTATGTCGGGGGACGTAAGTTCCAGCTACATGTGCGTCGAACCGTGCTTATGCACCAAATCGGGCCGCAGGCAGCACCGTAGTATATCCTTACAATGATACTACACTTGCTCCGTTGGAACTAGGAGCTTCTGTATTTGTTGACGCCAACAAGAATCTCATGAGAGCTTCCAAGGAATTCAACTTGACACTGACAGCCTTCGAAGATGATGATTCGGACACTGGTATCTGGGATGGCCAGAAATTCGTACTTGTGGTGAGCTACTTTTCATTTGTATTTGCCCACAAAACCTTACGCGACGTCGAAGGTGGATAGTGGCAGCTATTTGAAAAGCTGGTGGACAACTTTGAAGGTGTTATGGAGGTATGGCTACACTGCCCCCACTAGAACAAAAGCCATGTACGTTTCTTTCGCTTGTTCAATAATCATCGTGGAGCTCATTAAGAAAACATAAGTGTCCAGTCAATGATTGACCGCTTTCTCGGCCTGTACACCCCTGAGTCTCCTCGCTGGGATGATATATCGACGTTCTCAGAAAAGTTCCAGTGGGGGTCCATGACTAACCAAACCGCCTCAGATTTTCTCGAAGGTAAGGGTGTTGGCCCGCTCTTTGCACGAGAGCTTGTTGAGGCAGCGACGCGTGTCAACTACGGGCAGGTGTGTCCCACTTCTCAAACAGTTTACTAGATTCTCGACCAACTGACGCCGCGTCAGAACGTGGACGAGATCCATGCCCTCGGAGGCGCAATTTCAATGGCAGCGAATGGTGCATCTGGCGTTGCTGCAGGAAATTTCCACATATTTGAGCGATTTCTCGAGAATTCATCTGCAAACGTCTTTCTGAACACGAATGTTTGGGCCTCTTTCTCTTATATTTTCGTCTGATAACTGAAAATATTCCAGGTCAAGGAGATCAAGCGGAAATCTGACACTTCTTCTTTGTGGACTGTCTACACATCGACCGGTTCCCAGACGTATAAAGGAGTTGTCCTCGCCGCACCTTTCCATCAGACTAATATTATCCTGCCCTCCGACTTGGCTGAACTCATTCCTCCGCAGCCATATGTGCATTTGCATGTCACGTTGCTAACGACACAATCTGAACGCCCCAGCCCGGAGTACTTTGGTCTCGCATCCAATGCTCAAGTGCCGAAAACGATTCTGTCCACTTACGAGGGTGCTCGAGCGGGTGGGGTGGAGCCTGAGTTCAATTCAATTTCTTATCATGGAAAGGTTCGTAGGGTAGAAGGTGCAGCAGGAGACGCAACAACAGACTCTGAGTGGGCTGTAAAAATCTTCTCCCAAGAGCGCGTCTCCGATGAATGGCTCGAGACAGTATTTGGTAATGTCGGCTGGGTGTATAGGAAACTGGTAATCATTACCGTTTACATGAGCAACTTGATACTTACGACGCAATCAGTGGCAGGCATACCCCGTGTTGCTCCCCACGGCAGAGTTTCCTCCAGTCAAGCTCGATCAAGGTTTTTACTACGTGAATGCTTTTGAGCCGTACGTGTGGAATGATGTTTCCTTTTGCTTTCCTCCTGACGTCAATCTCGGCCTAGGTTCATCTCAACCATGGAAACCGAGACCTTAGCCTCGCGTAATGTGGTTGATCTACTGTTGCATGAAGAATTTGGAACTGGTATCTGTGGTTCTCTGCTCTCAGAGAGTGAGAACGCAACCCAAATCACAGTGCCGACCGACTTCGTGCTTGGCTGGGATTGCTAGATTACGCAAGCGCTGATCAGTGTATGATGGAGCATTCCGAGTGAACGAATGACATAAATATATCCATATCTCTATCCACCAGTCTTCTAGCTAACCAGCTCGATCACACACCGGGGTGTGCATACATAGCTAGTTGGATCATAGATGCATAGGGAATTGTACTAGTACTGCGCAATCGATATCAATACCTGGTGCGCCAATTGCAAAGCGCATTGAGTTCGAAGTCGCTGAGCGTGGAGGTCTGTGGAGGTCCACCCTCGGCTGTCACCAAGGTTTCCAAAGAACTTCACGAAAGTAGGTCATTCGACATCGCAGACGGTGTATGATAGAAACAATATATTGATTCTAATTGTAGATAAGAAGTAAATCGTGCAGAAATAAGACATGTCAGTTTCGTATTCAGTTCGCTGGGGGTGACGTGCAAGTGACGTGAGGCATGATATTTGTTCGTCAACGACCCCAGATGGCAATAAATGGGATTCAAAGAAAGAGGGCGAACACTCCTGGTGTACACAAGAATATGATGACAATAAAGAAGTGATATACGAAGGTAGATTCGGGATATGTGTTCACTCACTGCAGAATCCACATATCCTCATGCAATTATGGAGATCCTCGCCTTGTCTCTCCGCAGTACCTCCAGTTCAACGGGCTTCTCACCCGTGTCATCAAGATTCATGTCCTCAAGGTGCAAACTACGTGTTTGTTTCGTATGCGAAAGGCTTGGTGGGCAGATTTTATCACCGGCGACAGTGGCAGTAGTACTAGTGATCGTGTCGGATGTTGATCCGCGTTGATTTGGGCGGACCGTATGTGGCTCCATGACGTCACGCCATACCTCGATATAGTCGTGCGTGAATTCGCCAATCTGGGCTCTCTTATTAGCCTAAAGGAACAATCAAGAGTATATTCATGCCTACCTCGACCTCGTCAAGACCGATTGTCTCACTCTCAGCCGAGACGCGTATGTGGAGGCCAGGGATTGTGTCGACGTAATGGACGATCAGAGCAGTAACGACGAACGTGTATGAGCATGTCGCGAGGATATAGGCGAACTGAATATAAAGCTGCTTCCAATTGTTGTCGACCCAACCACCAATGACACTTGTGTTAACGCCGTCTAGGGCGATAACGGAACGGGTAGCGAAAAATGCGTTCGTCATGAGACCCAAGATCCCGCCAATGGCGTGCTCGGCAAAAAGATCCAGTGAATCATCCACGTTGAGAAGGAATTTGACTAAGGGTTGCGTTAACGTTTGCACTCTCGAGTGATCCAGTAGGCTCACGTTTCGTTGCGTAATTACACACAGCGCCGGTGACCACGCCCATAATGACTGCTGCCCACGGTTGGATATATCCTGAAGCAGGCGTGGCCGCGACGAGACCAGCAATGGTTCCTGAGCAGAATCCGACCATGCTATACTTGCGCTCCAGGCGGTAGTCGATGAGGCACCAAACGATACCGCCAAACGCAGCAGCAATCATAGAGTTCCACATTGCCATGACAGCGCGCAAGTTTGCCCCAAAAGCGCTACCACCATTGAAACCAAGCCAGCCAAACCAGAGGATAAATGTGCCCAGGTTCACCATGGCAACATTGTGTGGTCTGAAGTTCTGGAGGTCCTTGTCCTGTCTGCGACCAAGCACCCAGGCATAGGCAAGACCTCCTACCCCGCTTCCGATCTCTACGGGGCCTCCACCTTGTAGATCACAGGATGTCAGAAAATCAAGACGGTAGGAGGAAGAACTAATTAACCTGCAAAATCAAGAACGCCGAATTTAAAACCCCAGCCGTTTATATTCCACGCCCAGCAAGCGAGGGGGCAATAAACTAAGGTCATCCATAAAAATGTGATGACCATAGCTGGGAGTAATCGGCCTCGCTCAGAGATACCGCCCACCAGTATTCCTACCGTGACGCATGCGAATTCCATCTGATATAATGCGTACAACAGCGCAGGAATTAGAGGGGAACCCGGGGACGGGCCGCCAAGAACGTCGATCAGGCCAAAGTTCGCAAAGTTGCCCATGAATCCATTAGTTGCAGTTGGCGAAAACGCTAAGGAGTAACCCCAAAAGTACCACTGAAAGATACAGACCGCATTGCTGGCAGAAACTGCCCAGATGAGCGACAATGCGGACTTTCTTCTGGACAAACCAGAATATAGAAAAGCTGGATAAAATGTATAAGTGAGCAGATAGAACACAAGGTAAGAGACATCTACGAACAGAGACCGGGTATCATGAAAAATACCATGCCGCTTGCTACAATAATGAAAGAGACATCTCCGCCGCCGAACCTGTGAGATAGGAGAGAATATTGGGTTCGAGGACTTGTTGGCAAAATTTGCTATTGCCTCACCCAGGTATATCCCCTGCAACGCAAGATAACGAATTCTACATCAGCTCTTCTGTGTATCTGTGGATGGTCGCCTATGAATATAGGCGATGCGTAGACGCACTCTTTTTCAAGATCGCATTCGACAAGTCGAGGATACTCGTTAGAACCATCACGTCGAATAGGTCGGGTGAAGGTATGTGCCTCGGCGTTGATTTTCCGGAGAGTCAAGTGGGTATGCCTCAATAACCCAAGAACTGGTTGCTGGTTTTGTATTTATAGTCATGACGCAACCTTGCACACAAATATCTATCAATGGTCCTCATATCTAGCCAAGGAAATGTGGGGAAGGGTCATGGAAATCCGACGTGGCAGGTCGGAGCTGACTGTGGCGATTTGTGATCATGCCAGGCCACTTCTAGCGGCGGCATGCCAGTGCCGGAGACAATGGGGGTACGTGTCACAACGCGATTGAATTCTATAGCAGTATACAGAAGTATACAGAACGGTGTCGTGGCATGTATGTGGCAGCGTGCAGAACAGTACGATGACGCTAAATCAGACTACACTGGGTCATATTTGTCAATACAAAATCAGAGATAGCAGAGTATTATGTTCGCATACTTGCCTGGCCCCAGCGCCCAGAGATGTATGCATGCTTGAGCTTCACAATATCGGTAGAGATCTCCAATTGGGATCGACCTTGTGAAAGACTTGAATCTCTGTTCGCATGACATGTGAGCGGAAGCATTAACCACAGTCTCGGGTTTTCATCTGTCAACAGCGAGGCAGCAACATGTAGGGAAAGTAGATCTTGATCCGTAATACCGTCATTAATATTACAGGGCGGAACTTACGGAATTGGGCGTTCATTCCATCATAAAACTTTAAGGTTATGCCTCCCTGGTTCTCCAGCCAGCTCACACCTTCGTGTCACTATTGGTCGACGATCTTCAATCAGCTAGCAGGTATCCTGCTATGGTTAGACGGATTCATACTCCTCTGTATGAATATCTAGGTATACAGAAGCAAAAGCTGAGATCAGTGTCTTTCCTTTTCCCCCTAATTTCGTGACTTGAATGCTGACCAGTGATCAATATTGCCTTCTTGAATATTGTTTCCCCCTTGGGGCCACCTGAACATGAACGACTCGGGAATGTTACCATTGTTACCATTCGGTGGCATCACTAGAGGCATTAGAATCGTCTGAACTGAAGTGACTCTGAAGTCGCGAGCCGAAGAAGTCCGCAGCGGGTTAGCAGCAAGTAACACCCGAACACCACGACCCGGTGTGCAAGTGCATTTTTCTTCGGACCGGCACATACCTACGCATAGGCACCGTGTTGCCGTTATACTAAGCGTTTAAGTCAGTGTCAGATGGGGGCCCTACTTACAACTCGTCCAACAGTTCACAGCCACGAACTTTCACAGGCGCATCCATATCCGCAAACAGCTCTCTGATATCAATTGGGTCATACTTGATCGATAATCTCTTGGATTCGTTGCTTCTCTCAGTCACTACTGAAATTGATTATCAATGTTCCAAGGTTGTTGTCAACACCTAATGCTACCTCAGAGCCTTATGAACTACTTCGGCACGGAGTCGGGCAAGAGTCGGGACTGTGATTTATGGTTCAGAAGTTTGATACGTACATCCGTCACCTACTACTACTACCACTACCACTAGTCTTTATAGAAGGAACGACTGTCTTCCTTCTATTGGTCTACCTAAGGGAGACTAGCTACTCGACCTCTACAGCTTAACATAGTCAAGAAAGCAACATTTGTTCAGTGCTCACGAATTCTTTTGGATGTTCACGCAACTCAATTGTTTCCACCTGCCACCGAGCCTGGGATATTTTCTCGCTACGAAACTCTATAAGTGCCATTCAGGTGCGTCTTGTGAAGTCTTGTGTTGCTGGGTATATCTACAAGATTAAATCTCAGCCAGCTTCTGGAACACCTACACCTAAAGGTATCGCTGGTGGACCGACTTCTACTGCGCTCCCACCCTGCATCTGTTGTTCCCACTGCAGGAAAAATCGATCCAACGATGATGCGAGCCTCGCTGGCTGTGTTGTAGCCGAACGTCACACTTCAGGAAGTCAACATGTGCCAAATTGAGCCTTTGGCAAGGCCTTCAGGCTTGCCGTCTGCAACATACCTATTACCAATGGTTCTGTGATTCGCTATCTCGTTGATGGCTGCCAAATAGACCAAAATGAGTGACACCGTCACACCGATCCGGAGAAGGAGAGTCGTCTTAGGAGACCAGTACTTCCGCCCGGCGGTAACAAGTCGCCCTTAGCATACCGTAACTGAGCCACAGTCTGGCCATGACCTTGGCAGCTTAGATGTTATAAGTTCCAACAGGCCCCCCACTGGATGAACATCTGGCTTCTTCACTCAACCAATCCGCTTCTCAAGATCTGTATCGACGCCCCGCAAACCAAGTGCACCATCTTCGTCAAACCAGTTCCCGAAAGTTCAAGTCACTCATGGTTGTGCAATGTGTCGTTTCTGGCACTGGACAAATCAATGTCTGGGAGGAAATTCGTCATGCAGCCACGCACTGTGCCTTGCACATAGGATAGAAGCTAAACTTATGTTCATAAATATACGAGTCATAATATATTTATGAACAATACTGCAAAGAAGACGCAACAATTAGCATATGAGAACGCACAGGGTATTGACAACGACAGGGAATCTTCCTCCGCGGGCCAGCAAAGCCAATATAATCAAACGAGATATTTGGCCCCCTATCACATTCTTATCTGACATCTCAGTCCCACGGCCAAGCCATAATTTATAAACTTGTATGTACGACCGATTTCTCCTCAACCAGGGAGGAAAAAACCAATATTATTTGAGCACGAGCTCGATGTCTAAACAGGGGTACCTATGGAAAGATCGTAGCATCAATATTCGTCACACCGAAGATGCTGTCCCAAACAAGATTGTAAATGTGCCACATAGGTCAATATTCAATCCTCACACCAAGCGCAGATCCTCCAAATACAATAGTCCCCTCCTCTCCAGCGCCTCCCCTCCCATGGCTCCATGCACAAAGGCCTCCCCAATCAGGATATACGCCCCGCCTTCCACCTCCCTCACTACAAACGGCACCGCTGCCCCCGGCAGCACTACCACCTCATCCCCGACCCTCGCACTTTGATGTGAAATCCCCAGATCTCCCCGCTCTGTGCTGAACACCCGCCTCGCAGAGCACATCCACAAGAACGTTCTCACAAAATTGTGCGTCACCTTCAGCGGGGCTTTGTCTCCTGCCGCCACAGCCACCCTCGTCGCATCCAGCAGCTCCCGTAAGGGTATTGCACCATCCCATACTGCTATGAAATCGTTCACAGCAGCATGAACCTCGGAGTAACGGTACTCTGGTGGAGCAGACCGCAGGGCCGTAGCGTGCGCGGCAGACCATATAAAATCACGCAGGGGAGAGTCACCGATAGGGATGGGTCCAGGTGGAGACTCTCCATCTGGGAAATGATCAGCAGCATGTACAGAAGCATGGGAGGCAGTGTCGAGAGCGCGGAGGATGAGGTAGGTGACCCATTGGGCAAATGAGGCGCCAAGGGCAGCAGGCGCGGGGCGCCGCTCCCTAGCGGGGTCGGCGAGGTCGGAGATGAGGGTGCGCCACAGGGCCTCTGCTGCTGCGGGAGTTGCGAGTTTGGCGAGACGTAGGGCTGGATCAGCGAGCAGGCGGAAGAAATGTGTCATACGCTCAAGGGAATACATCTCTTGCCCAGTCTCTGACGTGCGGGAAATACGGCCCAGTCGTACGGCGACAGGGATGCACAGCTCTTTCCAATCAGGGGAGACGGTGGGTCGGGTAGATAGAGGACTGGTGAATCCACCCGCAGAAAAAGGGCACTGCCCATGGATTGCGAGCGGTGGGGGGCTCGGTAAAACGCTGAAGTCCGGCACCCACGAAGGGATGGGGCGAGGTGCAGAGTATGAGCGGTCTTCTACCATGGAGAGGACAGCGTACCCTGTCCGACCCTCGACCAGGCGTGCGCTGCACTCCATGTAGACTTGGTCAATAGATTTGGTGTAATCCGCGCTGAACACGTCGAGTTCCACCACTGGCGACTCCAACGACGACCTATCCGATATGGCAAACAGTGCAAAGATCTTGTCACGCGGGTCGGTGACTTGGTAGGTGCGACTGAGGGCAAGGTTCGTCTCGAGCGGCCAGAGCTTGCCGCGGTTGCAGTGCTCGCGTGCAAGAAGTATTATAGGGATCGAGCCTAGGACGATGGCCCCTTTCTCCCGCCATACTTGCCAGAAGGAGTGCTGGCGGCGGACCACGTCAAGGAGTCGTGCAGCATTTTGCACCACATCCCAGGGGATCTGGGTTGGTCCATGATAAACCTCAATGGTTCTAGCGAGAACAACTTCTTGGATGATCCAACACCGCTGGAACCATGATATTGTAAAGAAGAAGTCACCGAGCGAAAGCCAGTCACTGGTGTGGGTTACGATGGTCATCTCACGCAAGGCCGCGATGGCGGCGTCCTTATAATCTAACACACTTTCGAACTGCTCCTCCCTGATGTAGGGCAGCTGCTCCATGAATCGGACAATCTCTTCGACGGACTGTACCCCGGGGTCACTTGACGGCTCTCCGAGCCAAACCACCACCGTACGTGCAGAACCGAAGATGCGGCCCATCATGTTGACCTGGGCGCCGCGTTCTTCTAGATCCTGTTGATTGATGCAAATAGCATCGATCCAGATCAACGTATCCTGGCGAAGCCGCTCCAGGCGAAGCAAGCCATATAGAAGGTTGGCAGTCACGTTGAGGTTCATCCCATTACAGCTGATAGAGCCTCCACGCTCCGAATCAATTCCGGATGTCGTGCTTGAATGTTTATCAAGCTGCCAGGTGTAGGACAGCGCATCATAAACGGGGTTATTTTCAAGGTCGGCCTCGATGAGGTCATATTCCAAGATGGAAACGAATTTGCGAATTCGAAGGAGCCTGATGGAACTGCTGGTGGATAGAGGTTGGTAACGAAACTGTGTGGATGTTTCCATCGCGCTGAGCTGGCAGAACCAACCAGAGTATATGCAATGAATACGGTCTCTTGATTACATATGGTCCAGCCGAACTTGAGATAAGAAAAAATCATAAGATTTGATGTGATGAACGCCTGATTGGGCCTTATAAGCTTAGACCCTAAGTTAGACTGCGGGACTAACACCATATAGTGGGGTAACCCGTGATTGATGTCGGATACATGAGCCGGGAGCTAGTGAAATATGAGTGACAGAGGCCGTGCATCTTCGTGGCAGACGCAGGAGGCATCGGACGTGTTTGATGGATGTGAGGATGTTGTCTAGATGAACTTGGCAGTCTCCCCTTAGTAGTGGTACTAGACAGACCAAAAAGTAGAAGGAATGGAGTCGGTAGCTATAAGCTATTTCGTGGTCAACAAACAACTGTGGCTGATCTCGACCTTTGAGCCCAGGTCTTGAGATCTTGAAGTCAAGCGAGTATTCAAGTAATACTTGAGTGGGCATACTGTAGTTTTGGCGAATATTCATATTCAAGTGAGCGGTGTAGTGCAGGAGGAGATAATGATGACGACAACAATATGCATACCTAGATGTAAATAACTCCGGTCTAGTTATGTGCACCACAATCCGTTTATTGCACCTGTACCTTCTTTCCCTCCACATCCACCTTCGACGCAGCCTCTGCCTCTGCCTTCTTCCCCGCCATTGCATCCAAAACGCCCCACAAACTTCCGCTCATCTCCCGCGCCATCGCCTGCCTGTCCTCCTCCAATAGCCGTTCAAACTCGTCCTTGTGGGTCGCGATGTATGCCTGCTCCTCTTTATACTGCCGCTGTGCCTCAAGGCGCTTCTGCTCGAGGTAAGTCAAGGGAATGGGCGAGTGCGAGGGCTGCAGAATATTAGAGTCAGCCATAACACAAGAAAAGATAAGAACAACTGACTTCACTCGCGCCACCGAACATGCCACTCAGTGTGAACCCGCCCTTGGATAATCCACGCGCCTTGCTCTTCCACTCCTCGATATGCTTCTGCTTCGCCTCGGCTTCCTTCTCCGCGTATTCGATTGGGATATCTTTCCCTGCATACGCTTGAAGGATGGGCCGCACGTCTGGAGTCTTGTAAATTGCGATGGCTATGCGAGAAACCTGAGATTAAGGTTGGCTGAGGCGAGACAAAAGTGTGTACATACACTCCAAGAAGGGGATCATGGCAATCAAGCCCTTGTCCCCGGGTGTACCGGTCCATTTGGGGACGATAATGGCGTTGTCGGGATGTGAACTTACATGTTCGGGATGCGTATCAAGGAGGATGACTTTCGAGAGGTCACGATTAAGATACGATAAGTCCTGAGGAAGGGGAAGGATTTAACAAAAACAACACACGGCCGACGAGGGAGACGAAGTGGAAGTTTAACACTGGACGAGACTTACCTTGACAATTTTACCGTTCACTGATCGTGTGGCTTCACGGAAAAGTTTGTAAGTGATAAAGAAATTATATGGGTCAAGTTTCTCAATTATGGGCATGGCGGTCTGTTGGATTTGAGTTTCAACTCTCGTCAAGACGTTTTCAATATGCAAAATACACACATAATGGTGCTGAGTTGTAAATATCACAATTTCATAGAACTGGGACAGGTAGGCAAGGAAATAATCAACGCCAGGGCGTTTAGCTGTCCGCCATCCTTGCTGTCGCTGAGGAGAGACATTATTAGCGATGCTCCTAACTTGAACAAGTCAACCTACATCCCACGTTGACGTGATAATGAGATCATCCATAGACAGCAGGAGAGTGTACGGTTTTTGATGGGGAGCTGGGAGAGGCGGCGGGAGTAGTTCTTGCCATTGGGGTTTGTTGAAGTACTGTTGACGCGATCAATAAAGTCTATAAGCTGGTGTGCCATTGAGTCAGGAGTTCGTTGCGTCACGTACATCGAATAGGTCCGAAAACCTCGATTTCGTTCGTGCCCACCTTCCTGATGGAGCCTCCTCCACTGCCTTCTTATGACTTAATACGCGCAGAACGAGAGCTCGAAGTATAGGCGCACCTGGTTCCGTTCCTTTAACTCATCCGCCTCCCAATCTCTACCAAGATACACGACTTGCACACCAAGGGCGACCGCGAGTACACCAAGAGAAAGACGTCCTAAAAACTGACGTTTTCGCTCTATACTCGAAAGCGAGTCCTTGGATGATTTTGCACCCGTGCGCTGGGTCTTTTCTGGTTCTGGTTCCGCGGGTTGGAAGTCAAGACTCGGGAGTGACGGCGGGGGTGAAGGAGGGGGGTTCTGGGGAGGTGATGAAGGGGGTGTTGAGAAGTGACGAAGTGCAGGGAGGGCGCGTCGTTGAGCTGCGCTGCGCACAATCACTGAAAACATTCGAACACTGGCGAGGACGTGTGTTACCACTTTTTAGCTGGCACTTTGCAGAAGAAAGGATACGATTTGCATTTGTTTGGTAGACGCTCGCGGGGATTCAATTACTTACTGCATTGAGCCACTTGAAACCTCCTCAAACATTGCTCTATAGGTATAGACCACGTTTAAACGCTATTGACAAGGCTCTAGCGCAACCGGTATGTAAGTACTCACCTTTACTCATTTCGAACGTGTCGTTTGACCTCCATCATGATATATTAGCTGAAAGATTGGAAAAAGCTACACATAGGTTCTGCTGCTAGAAATACACATTTGTACCCTCCCTTGTTATCTTGTAACTTAACATATAAATACTTCACAGATTCTTTACAAGATCACGCCCGCCGCCTCGCTCAATAGCACCAGCAGTCGATCCTAACCGTTATGTAAGTCAAAATCGAGCTCCAATAGTATGGATTTGTTACCTTTTCTTCTGCTGAATCTGCGAACATTCGCCATTCGACGCCATCGACAAAGCGCACAGCAAACGAGTGAGGAATCGCCTCTAGTTCCTCAAAGCCCTCATACCATTCTGCTAACGAATCAACGCGTCCGTCCAGAGGGATGACGTCCAAAGGTTTGGCGACCTCCTAGAGAATTATGAAAGTCGAACAGTATGGATATGGATGTAAGCTCACCCTTGGATTTCCGTACAGCAACATCTTGGATTCTGCATGGCCCATTTCAAATGTGTAATACCGCCTCTTCCACGCCAGCATGTCGGGTGGTTGTACCGTTACCCAGCCCACCATCTTGTCTGCCGTGCTGGCGGAGAATACATCCTCGTTCATGCGAGAAATTCTCATGCGTCTCCCTTCCGCTGACTTTCTACGCTCTTCCTCCTTTTCACTGTGTTGGGACTCAACGCGCTGCATCTGCTCGGCTCGCCATCGTTCCATCTTCTTCGTGTGTTGCTGTCTCCGCTCTTTCTCGAGTTGTTTCCTCTCCCGTAGCTCTTGCAATTGTTGTTGTTCTCTTTCTCTATCCTCTCTCTCCATTCTTGCTTTCCTTAGCGCCGCGGCCCGCAGCTCCTCTTGCAGTGCCGCTTTCCTTTCCTCTTCTTCCTCACGTTCCCGACGTTCTTGCTCCTGTTTCTTGCGTCGTTTCATCTCTTGGCGTTCATGTTCTTCCCTAAGCATGGCTTCTTTTTCGAGCTGAGATTGGTGCTGCGCAGCCAACCTGCGGCGCGCTCTCTCTTCGGGCGTCAACGGCGTAGTAGGAGGTGATTGTGCCTTGATCGGAATCCGTGGCAGTGTTTGCTTCAGAAAAGGGATCGGCTGCGAGGCGGGCTGCGGTGGCTGCACTATCTTCTGCTGAGCTAGAACATTGAGATCGACATCGAATAGGAGGGGCTTCTCGCTGATGTATCCATCTCCCAGGAAAGGTCTTCGCGCGGACACCGGTGCCTGCTTGTAATCTTTGGGAGGAGGTGGCGGCGGTGCATCGGCCGCGGGATCATGAATGTAGGGCTCGAGATTCAAGTTTTGATTCCTGCGACGCAGCGTAAAGAGCTGAGTGAGGAAGCTGCCTTTGCGGTTGTGTGGGGGGGATATGCTCATGGTAATCTGTTAGTGTGGTTTGAATGAATGTAGATGAATCGTTGGATGGTGATAGTAAGAAAACAAGATAAAATGTGGAGGCGGTTGCAACGCACAGTCGCTAGACAATGCGCATGTGGTTGCAAATAGCTATCTTTGCTATTGTGCCTAGCTAGGCTTGATCCCCATCTGGCAATCACTACTGGGCGTCTAACCATCAATAAAAAATTTACAGTCCATCATTGGTCCACCATGTCATTGTTATATTTCCAGAGCTCTCCACACCTTCGTGCTATTATTTCTCGTCGATCAGCTAGCAGGTATCTTGCTGTTGCTAGATGGATTCATGCAGGACAGTCAACTCCTCCATATGAATCCAAGTATGCAGAGAGGCTTCAGCAAAAAGCAAAAGAGTGAGGCGTGTCTTCCTTTTCACCCAATTGCGTGACAATGTACTGACAAGTGATCCAACGTTACCTTTCTGTTTTGCCTTTTGGGGAATATGGTACCGCTCCATGGCATCATCAGGCAGGGATTGGAATTGTCTGAACTGAGAACGCGAGCAACAGAAGAAGCCCGCCGTAAGGAGGTAGCCAAGGTGAAGTCAGCGCGGCTTTCGCAGGCGCAACCACCAAGGTTGGACAAATCACCTTCAGAATTGGATCGAAGCAAAGTGTCAGGATCTTCGAGGTCTCGCAAAGACAGCTCTCCGGTGAAGGTAAGTTTTATTTGTGTCATAAAATCTTGCTCGGGCTGATTTGTCACTGCCTTCAGCCGCTAGAATCGATCATCAATGTTCCAAGGTTGTTGTCAACACCTCATACTGCAGGGCAAATCTCGGCCTTATGGACGGCCTACCATACTTCTCGTACAGGAGGAACGGGTCGGGGATTTATCTGTGCATCCGTACCGGTCGAACTCTACAACAGAATGCTTAACATAGGGAAACAGTATCCTATGTTTGTCATGCCTGTCCCTCGTGAGGGCTCTCCAGCTATATCACCTGAAGGTCAAGAAAGCGGGATTGCCCACGAATTCTATTTTCTACAATGGGATTTTCACGCACCTCCGTCGCCTCCATCTGCCACCGGTCCCGACCCATTCTCTTCCGCTCTTCCTAGTGACACAGCTGCTCTACCCCGAACGTCGACGGTTTTATTTACACCACTCCAGGAATACAAACTTCGGCAGTCATTCGCGACGCCCTATCTCATTTTAACTTTCTACCCCGACTTCGCCCAGACACACGGAATAGTGCTACTTCGTGGCGAGATCACACCGTCAGCAGCTACGGCGGCCGCTGCTCCAAGCCAAGGCACGCCAAGCGCCCGTTTTCTGCTGAGTCAGGTCGATGCTCAGCTGCTCGCGATGGGCGTGCAAAAGTTTTATTTGTGGGGCGATGGGAGTGAAGATAGTAATCAGGGAGGAGATCTGAGCGCTGAAAAGCTACTCAGGCAGTTCCACGAACAGCCCGAGGAGTTCAATTGGTCGGATCTGCTTAGACATGCGGGTCTTACCCCCTAGGAATGACCCCGTTTCCCCCAACATTGTCACGCGGAGATTCGGTTGTTCTCGAAGATGTTCTCGAAACTATGTTATACCTGGCAACTGATTTCAAAAAAATGTACAGTCATGGGGATAGTCCTACATTGGTCATTGAAAGAATGGAAATTTGTAAGGTCAAGGCAATGTGATCAACGGTGCTTTCTTCACCCACTCGTTCTTCTCTAGTTCTTGTACAACGAATGATGCAAACCCTGCCCTTGTTAGCCATACCCCTGTTTTCCCGTCTCCCACATAGCCTGCAACAAACCTTTTGTCATCTGACCCACTTAGCACGGGTACGCGGACAATCGTCCAATCTAAACCAATTCCTTGGATCCGAATGGTTTCGCCAATGGCCACAACATCCTCATATGCTGTATGTGCCAGGGTGGCTACGGTATTGACTATGATGGACATTCGCAGACTGAATTTGTCGATCGGATCCGTTATGCTTGGCGTCCCAAGGGCCAGTAGGCGGCGCACGCCATGGCGTTTCATGAGTTCAATGATCAGAGAATATGCCCGCGCAAGAGGTGTGCCCTTTGGGTGCAAAGGTCCGCGCGAGACCGATGGCCCCAGAGCAGACAGGACAGCATCAACGCCCTTGATGGCGGATGAAAGGGCCTCTCTTTCATCAAGCTGGCCCTTACGCATTGTGACACGAGGATCATTCCTAGTTTCCTCTGGAAGTTTCTCGGGCGTGCGTGCGTATACGACCACTGTGTGCGATGCTGCGAGTGCTTCCTGGATGAGGAGGACACCTGCTGCGCCTGTTGCTCCCAGAATTAAGACACGCATGGAAGTCTACTTCTGGTCTAATTTTTAGGAATAGCAACTGAACGCAAGTTATCATCGAGGATAACGAGGTTCTCCAGCCGACCTACCTTGTCACAGAAAAATTGCAGTATGTGTGGGCTTTGAAAGTGCGTCGGATTGAACTAAGTACTGTAGTATGTAATCCGTCGGATACGGTACAGCGCACGCCACTACAGCTCCAGAGTCCAGAGCTCCACCTCAATGACTGTCAGCTCCACATATGATCATCGCTATCATGCCTACGATAAATACCTGGGGCCTATGCCTAAATACCGAGTAGGCACATGGACACCGTCGCTACGTCTCCACGGAGCTCCACCTTAATTCCACCTATACTTATATCCGAGTTTCTTGATACAAAATGACCAGACATGAATTCGCGAGAAAAATCCGTGTGCCTTAACAGCGGCCCCCAGCTATTTGATGCTGCTAAGATGCGCCTGAGAAAACCGTGACTCATATCGAAGTGCCCCAGACAAGTGCTTGCTGGACACTGATACCCCACCGTCAGTGAGTGGGGTTCGAGATTGATGTGAACAGCGGCAACACAGCGGATGTTTACTAGAGATATAGTTCGACCGCGCCTAGCCCCGCCAGACATCCCGAGAGTTCAGCGCTCGATACTTGCTCATCCCGCTCCTAGAACATAGAATTTCGCGATACAAGCTGCGCGCATGCTGGTGGATGCGAAGTCCCATTCACATTTGCCGATATACTTGGTAGGCTACCTAATAGTGGTAGTGACCTTGTCACGCACCTGCAGATCGGCAAATTACATGAGTGCATCGTGAATGCAAATGATCAATAAAGCTCCCAGTGGTTTTAGGAAGGTACCCTCAACCATTCTCCAGCAGCCAGGGCATCTTCCTCTAACGCAAGAATAGCCTCCCCAAGCTCGCCAGCGTTCTGGGGATATAACTTCACCATATCTCTCTCGAATAAAGTACCAAACGCATCAACGATACCTGGCACCACATCCTCCACCCGCACATTCTTTCCCTCTGCTTCCACTATGCATCCAGCCTTCACGTCAGCTAACCCACACGCCACAACGCGTCTGAACCATTCTAAAGGCTCCTCGGTGACGTTCATTGCAAATCCGTGCGTCGTAAGCCGATGGCGCACTTGAACGCCAATACTTGCTATCTTTGTTGCAGGGTCCAAAAATACACCAGTGTGGTCTGATGGTACATGAGTAATCCCGTGCGTACGCTGCAAATAAGATTGTATCATCTTTTGCATTCTGCAAATGTAATCACGAATGCCAATCGCCGGTGATGTGCGAGCGAGGTCGAGGAGTGGATAACCAACGAGCTGGCCGGGCCCATGGTATGTTAATTGTCCACCGCGTGCTGCGACAGCAAAATCTGCGCCAATTGATGTCAGACGTGCACGCTCTGTGTGCAATTCTTGTTCTGTTTGCCGGCGTCCGGACGTGTACACTGGACGGTGTTCGAGTAGAAGCAGGATGTCATGATGAGACGATGAGCGACGAGCAGCAAGCTGAAGTTGATGTATCTTTTCTTGGAGCAGAAGGGTTCGCGTATATGGTAGCGGCGTGTGGAAGTAGTGGTAGAAGACGGGCGGTAAAGGCATCGAGTAGATGAAGAACCGAGACACTGGTCATGAGGTTGAGGTTTCAAGGCACACGTGACCAACTAAAACAAAGGTAAACACTTGTTCTTACCCAATCAACTTGGCCGAGGTCGAGCGGATTCGCAGAATAACGTGACCTTTAGCGAATGAAAAACCAGGCTGTAGCATAGAATACAAAATAAACAATATAATTTTCACTATTGACGCGACGCGATCTACACTTGCAAAATTGGACCAATCCTCCATCATCCAAGCCTTTCGTGATGCTTCCCTCGATGCGTTGGCAGTCGAGGATATACTAATATGGCCATCTCGGAGGATTTTAATGGCAGCTTTGATGCGCTCCGTTGACGAGAGGCGTGAGGAAGGTGTGATCATAGAATCCGTAAAAGAGGCGCTTGACGGAGCATCACCTGTGATGTCCACAAACCCGTAGTCCACAGAGCGGTTAAAGTTACTATTTAGAGTTGAAGAGGACATCATATATAGCACAAAGAGCAAGTAGCATTTGTTACATAAGGCAATGGTGACGAACGCAGGCGCTGTTGAGCAGCTAGCGCAACGAGTCGAACGTTGATATAAGAAACTCTAAGCACGAGACTTAGCAAATTTTGCAAGGCCTTAGCAAAAGTTCACGTGGTCTTTGATATCCCCGAAAAGGCTTACCCGTCACGTTATCCTGCGAATCCACTCGACCTCCAAATTCAAAGCCAGTTTTAAAGTTTAACAGGACTGGTCACGAGTCTACCAATCATCACCAAGGACTAAGTATGGCTCATCAAAATTTCCACCCTCACTCGTAAAGTACATAGGCACGGATACCCAATAGTCTGCTGAGACTCCGCTCCTAATTTCTGCTGCTGTTTACAGTGGAGTCCTGCAATGCCTTCAGAATACGTCCAAACGCTCGTGATAGGTAACATTATGTTGTCTAATGTCACATACTAAACTACAGTGATCATAAGTATGGTATGTATTCGGTAATGCTACATTTTATGTTTGTCCGAAGTGTCCAGGCTCCACATGTCCAACCTCAATCGCTTCGTAAATTTTCCTTCTATTTGGTCTGCATTGACCCCCCTAGCCCAGCTTCTGCCGTCTAGGCGATTTTTCGCGGCCACTACCTCCCCAAGCCATGTCATCTTCGTCAAGATATTCTGCTTGGACCTAATGGGTGTCACGTTAGTCAAGGTAAGTCATGACATTCATGAGATAGAGCGTACGCCGTAGATATCTCCTCCTTCAAATCCGGTTGCAGCATCTTGGTTTCTGGTATAACCTCTTCTGGAAGGCTGTGAACATGCCTCATGTTAGGGAAGTTATTAGCTGTATGCATGGCTTAAACAAACCGAGTCGGCACTATCGAAATCATGCCCAAAACATGATTTAAAGGCTCGCATGATTTTTTTAAAGAGGTGGGGCTTTTTCATTCTCACTTCATGATCAGCGTAGAATTCGTTATTCTGTAGACGATTAGTTGTCATTCCGCTGTCGACGAGCTGGTTATTACGCACATCTTTGGGTGGCATGGCGGTGGTCGTAGAGGGATAGCTTGACAATGAATTCAATAGATGCGTAAATTAGAGGAATTCGAGTGGGTACAAGTGAGTTGCACTCGTACTATGAACTCGGTTCGTGAAGGGAACTTGATCTGCGCCATCTAGGGAGGTACTACCTTTATATTCGATCTGACATCGGAATCCGAATAGGCTAGTGAGTGCACAGCAAGCAATTACGCCGTCTCAGGCCACAATATCATTCCCGCGTTTTATCCCACAGCGTTCAGCTGATGCCCAGCAATCCCTTCTTCCTCGGTGCCTCGTGGCGGTCCAAATACAGGCCATGCTGCGGGTTTGCTAGCCACATCATGTGGTGTTTCCCCCTTGTATGCTCAATTATTCTGGTTCGTGTAGATGCTGCTCGGAGTCGCGAGCTATGCTGCTGATAACGATCTCTCGGCAATCTTATAGATGCGAAGCAGAATGATGATCCCATGTGCGTTCTCGCTTCGAAGGATTCTCGAGAGTGGTATTTGTGGTCTACTGTGTGCCAATCTCCGCAGTGGACTATTTTAAGCGCTGACGAAGTTCTGCTCTCCTTGAGTAAAACTCTTTACGAAAACAGTCCGACTCATCTGAATAATCTCCACCGCGGGAACTAAAAATGCAGACCAATCGATGTTGTATGGGTTTCCAAGACATTCTAGACCTGAAGAGACTTTGAGCACCGAACTATAGAAACTACGAGTTTGAACCTGGGTCTTGTGATTTGAACATCGTGGCCCGTCAATTTTCTGGCCTCCAATGCAGTGAATGTCATACTAACTGCTGACATAGATAGGTGGCCATTGAGCAAGAGTGAATGGCGCGTCGTGGTGAACAATCCGTTATGTATAGGTTAGAAGCCTGTTCCCTGACTCAATTCACGGAGTACTGACTCACTGAGGGCCAGTCCGGATTGCGCCGACAATTCACCTAGCAGCATCTGCCTGCGGATGTGTTCCATGACTTGCTTGATCCGTGCGCGCCCAGTGGGCCCAATAACAATATTTCTTGTATTCGCATTTCATCGCGCACTTGGAATATAATAAACCCATCCGATACAACCGTGTGTAATCGTACATCATTTGCCCGTCATTAGTGTACATATAATGATACCGTTAAGTTAGGTGGCGTTGAGTATGCCAATCTGATCAGCAGAACGTCGCGTTTCCCTCAGAAGAGAAATCTGCGTCGGCGTGCTGACGGGCCTGTCCCCCATGACATGTTGTCGTCATCAAGCATTTCAGCCTAACGATGCGAATAAAATTATTAAATGAGTTTTCTTTCGCAAAGAAGGCATATATAGAACTGACATAACTGCCCACAGTGGAGCTCGCCTCAGAAGCCGGGTAAGAAGGCGTTGTAGGAGAAAATGCCTGAGAACTCGTCAGGAATGACATGTGTAGAACGACTTTGTGACGTACAAGGGCGTATGTGATGTCCATGGGCGACGGATGTCCCTGAATTGACTCTCGGGTGGACTTTGAACTGTGGGAGCTGCCAGGACGAGAGCTCTGTGACAAATGGGTGGAATATCATTGGCGGGGGAGACTTCGGCAGATGCTAACCGAATACATACCCTGCTGCTTATAGATCTCTTCAGGGATGTGAAAGGCGACATGATTCAGAGGAAAGGTAGAACAGTGAAGAGATTCGAAGAGTTTGAGTACAGTGAAGGGGATCGAAGAGTTTGAGTACTTGGAGGAGACGACTGCTAGTAAGTACTGTGACAGAGATTTTACAGTACGCTTTTATACTACAAACAGTGTCCGCCAGTTAATGAACGGAATTCCGCATTCGATTCAATGGTGCCTTCGGATCTAAGGGACTCACAAAGATCTAGCGGTGGTTATGCAAAGTTTGATTCATGTTCCGCATTCGAGCGCGCGGCTTTTGGCAACGCATCGTAGTCAAGCTTCGTATCTCCATGGCGTAGATGGACAATATTGGACATGTGACCGTATGGAACTGTGTCCAGAATCAAAAATTCCGAGGAAATATACTTACCATTTGTAGCATAGTAGAATTCAAGTCAGTCACGTTTATGCTCAATTGGAGTTTCTTTACTTATCGCTCCTTCTCACCTGCTCACACCTTTGTCACAGAAAAATGTATTCTGGTATATGCATCGGCATTGTTTAAGATCTAAGGCATCATACTCTATTTTTTGATATCCAGTGCGAGCGTCTGAAGGCCGCAATCAGATTAGTATGTACGTTTGTTCTCGTCAATGTCAACCATTTGACAGCAGATCGCAAGGCACTTCAATGTTTAACTGTCCAATGATATGTACCTGGGCCTTGGTCAGGCAGGCCCCACTATGTATGCATTGCATTGTGGGTCAAATTCAAATTTAGCTCTCAGGTCACTGATCTCCGCCTTATTCGCTCTTATTCGCCGCAGTTTTGACTTCATTGTTGTATCGTGAGTTTTCTTGTTCCCAATATAATTAAATTCTGACCACTACGACCTTTCACTGAACTATCCATTCACTGGTACATTCGAAATGTTTTCTAACAAGCAGCAGGATGTTGATTATCGCCGTCATCGCCATGATGCAATTTCCCAATAGCGGTATACAGCCAACATGACTACGGAACATCTCCGGCCAAGCCTATTTCCCCACACCACACAACCGCGGTTTATCCGAAAAAAATTCGTTGACCTCTGTCAAAATTCCCTCTGAAAGTATATGTATGTTTTCATCGCTATGAAGCTTACCAACCTGATTCGGGACCGGGACCGGGACAGCACCAATACCGTGGATAGCGAGACCGCAAACCTACGGGTAAGTGTCTGCCGATGCCGCCCTATCAGATTGCAGCGGAGTGGGGTAAGGATATTACGAACGTGCTACACCTTGGTCCGGCGCCCTCGACCTTTTTGCAAACGCTCCGTTCGTGTTCAGAGCCTGACATGGCCTGCTCTAGCCTCGCCCTGATGATCAAGCAATCCCGCGGCATCTTTACTTACCGGTACGCCGATGATGACGTCTAACCGGGGCCCGTCACTCAGGTTTCATAGGGCAATATTGCTCAATCCGTTCGATTGCATTTCGGTGTGTAATATGTGCCTACCTCGGAGTATGCTATTGATGTCTGTTCTCTGTGTTTTTGGGAACGGCAGGCCCTGGCAGTCTAGGCTTGTTGTCTCTCCTTGTAAACAGGTGCTATCATACTTGCTATCCAGACCTCTTAGATTTTCAAGAGTTTAAACTATCTTACATCACGCCGGAACCCGCTGGTCCTTCTCGCCTAGCATTCAGGGCACAATGACGACCCATAATTGCCAAGGGCAGCTAGAGGTAGTCATCTCTGTCAGCTCCCCTTATACTCCCTTATACTGTCTGCGAGCCACTGCTTTGGTTCGACCCGGACCGATCAAATGATGGCTGACAACTGTGCTATTAGGCGGCTTTTGACATATTTCTCCCAAGCTTCCCCACAACCCATACTACTGGCACCTTGAAGTGCTCACAAAACCATATTACATCCAGTTTTCAACAAGCTCACAATCGGCACCGAGAGACAAATGCATACTCTTCTGTCCACACTTTGGTGGGCTTGAGTATAGCTTACCGTACTCAGATAAATATCACTCCTCCGGAGTTTTGGTTTATTTTTGCGTACCGTGCTACTCCAGACACTGAAAGATGGTGTTATCAGATTCAGAGGACCCTGTATAATCCTTATTGGTGTTTCCGCCTACCGACGGGTCCCTTGGGCCTCGGAGACCTGGGCCTTTTTCTTTCCCGGGGGCCTGGAATCTGTCAGCTAGGACTGTTCCGCTCGTCACCTCCGAAATCTCATGCATTGACTATACATGTGTATTGGGCCAGACCCTCGACCAATGACAGGCAAATTCGCCCTCCTTACCAAACACTGAGGCAGTGCAACTCAACAGAGGCAAGCGACGCTGATCTCGACTGCTGCCAAGCGTACCGTAAACATCATGATGCATTCCAGATGGCATAATATTTCAGTCCTTGTGAGTAGATCAGAATGGTTCCCTTCAATCTGATTCACCGACGAGTCCATCAATTTATCGGACCATAGACCTTAGAAGGAAGAGTCTTTTTTTATTATTATGGATTTATGACTGAATATCGTATTGAATAGGTTACGGCATCCAACGCGTTTGTTAAGTGAGGTCTTTCCGGTCCTCTGGCCTCAGGCTCAGTCAAATTGCACTCGCTACTTGCATGGTTTCTTGGCAGTTCTTCATTTCCATCTCGGCTTTGTTCGGGTGCGACCTTTGACTTGGTAATATCGTACAGCCTGGCAAACGTTCACAAACCTTTCTTTCAGAGGGCTAGTTCAAGGGAACGACTCCTAGAATTAGAATTCATATATCAGCAAGTCATGCATAGTTTTCTCACCCGAGGCTGACAACTCCTTCTGCAGTTCATTTCGCTCAGAAGCAACTTTGAAAGCGACGATCGGTACATTCAGTTTCCTTCCTTCGGCTCAAATAGGCCGCGACCCGGTGTTGTTTTGGCAATGTTATGGGAAACTGGTTGCAAGTGATTGCAAGCTGGCTGCATTATCGTAATGTAAGTAATCGATGATGAAGCTTATGTATGTAACTTTTAAAAAATGAACCTGCAGATTCTCAATGAAATACTATATAACTATACTAACTATTAATTGGCTTGCGTTGGTGAAATCGGAGTCCCAAGTCCGGACCCCACGCAAGTCGCGGTGGCTTGTCAAAGGAGCACGGGCACGGACCGAATGCCGTAGTCAGACCTAGAACATGACAGCCGTGTGGTCGACACTTGTTTCGACATGCTAACTTCCCTACCGCGATTCAATACGCCTATCAGGCTAGTCCTAATGAAGTACGTCTTAAGACACGGAATTCGGGGTTTCGCATGATACTGTGAAACAGGAACTTCTGTTCGAATTATACAACGAGCCAGACTTGGACTTCTAGTCAGCGCTTACTATTAAAATATGCTGGCCAGTGAGCGTCGGGTCTCCGTACAAGACCGCCACATTTTGACGGATACCATTGCGAAGGCAAAATTCGGCACCCAAATGGTTTCCCGATTCAGATGTGTCTTTTGTCAGGCATCTGCAATATAGAGTTAAGTGTGTTTACATCTTCCCCCAGTTACTATCAGGCCTCATTGATTCATGACATTCAATCCTGGGGTATTCTTTGAGAGTAAGCGTGACACGGAGTGCATTGCAACAACTATTCTGCAGTAGGACGAGTGGGCAACACTGCATCCGCACTGGCCGATATACATGCAAATTGACTTGTGTACATAGATAGAGATGATTAAGGTGTGAATATAATTTATACGTTTTAATCATGCATACGGAGTAGCAGGGTCATTACTTCGACATCCTACTCTTAATTTCGTCTTTAGTTTCTCGCGTGCCGGCGGCAGCCTGCATGGAGGAAATCAATGCCTGGTGACTTACATGTACTGCAGCAATAGCGCACCTGATTGACCTTTTGCTTGACTTGCTCCGTTGTTTCCTGGGTGTTTTGCTTTGCGTCTTCGGCTTTCTGCTTTGCCGAAGTCGTTGTTGCACCTACAAAACCATCATAGACAGACCCTGGTACGCCGTTGAACATCGACTTACCGAGTGTCTCCTTGGTTTTCTCCGCTGCTCTCTCTCCCGTCTCAATTGACGACGCAAGGCCTCTACCAACCTTTTTATTCACCTTGAAACAGATTAGCTTAGGAGGGTAAACCGGCGGGTGGTGTTGTAATATTACCTTGTCTGCCATCTCGGACGCTTTCTCGGTGACCGTGCTAGCAGCGGGCGTGGCATGGATAGAACGGGTATATGATGCAGTACAAACGCGCGCGTTGGAAATGATTGCGTTGCGAAACATGATGTGCTCTGCAGCTGGTGAATGAGACCTGAGATGTACTTGCTCCGTTATATACCGCACAATCGAGGTAATGACGTCGGGAGGATAGTGATGTCATTTCACGTGGCTCTCCAATCGTGTGGTGTACTGTATCGCCTCAAGTTCGGACAGTCGTTCGTATGGCCACCAGCTATGGCTATAAATCTAGAAATCTGTGAATAGTTCGTGTCGTCATTCGCCGACGGGGGGGACAAATTGGATAGAATCATGCCACACAAATCTAGCGCTCCAGATACTGCGCTTCTCATTTGTCTTTAGTCTCACTCTCATTAGTAGCCATGTAGAATTATTGACATGTTGCCTTGGGTGGCCGTTGTCCTAGACAGCAATTCTCGACTGTGGTGACAAGGACGTCTCCCTCGCAGCCCCTTCAGTCTCTGAACCTGCCGAATCAGTTGTACATCCACACAGTTTAAGTTCCTTGGTATGATGATAAGATCTTCCGTATGGAGGACTAACGCGGTACCACGCATGATGTGGCCAAGTTGCAAAGCAGCAAGAAAGGCAACGATAGAGACAGTGTTTGTTAAGAGCATTCCTGGTGACGTGCCAATGAAGCAAGTCAGAAAATATCTGTAGGATTGCTTTGGAATAGGCGCAACGAGCACCGGCTGACATGATTGCTCAAAGGAGAGGAGCCTGCCAGAAGTACACACAAGCTGGAAGGGATGACAGGGGTCGAACAGACGGCACTTGTGATGCTCAGAACGATGTACACAGGCAAGATGCCTGATGCTGTCCCTAGCAGAAAAGGTAATGTCCTCCAAATGTAAGCTACTACAGTACTCAATTAATATTCAACTGTCAAATATTCGTCTCCACATCACTGCACGTAGTTACCAGGGAATACACCCTCAGCGCCATCAAGACGACCTGTCCACCAATCTTCCTGACTCTCTGTCTTGGTCACAATTTCGATGCGGTCGCCGGTTTTAAAAGAAAGATCTCCATCGGCCTGAGATCAAGAGGTTCACAAATCTCCCATAATAAAACGAGATGACCACGTACCTGGGCATCAAAATCATATAGTGCTGTAACATACTCTACGGCTGGCTCCGGCTTTGGTTTGGGTTTCAAAGGTGGAGGCGGAGGCGGCCTCTTTGTTGCAGCTGCGCCCGCATCACTTGAAGAGGTAGAGTACGGGGGAGGAGGTGCAGCTGTCTGACCTGGCGGCGGTGGAGGAGCCTTCTTGATAAAGGAAGATGTGGGTGCTGCCCGAGATGGTGGAGGCATCGAGCGGCTGCTCCCGCTGCCAGCACTTGTGATGCTAGGTGAACGACCGATGGAAGAAGCAACAGTCAACGAATTGCCGCCAGTTGCACGATTGGCTTGCACGAGTTTCGCTGGTAGTGAAGAAATGTAAGCAATGAAGAATGAGGTGATTAAAACTGAGCGTACATGTCGATATGATCCGCTTGGTGATGTTGAGATCCTCGATCTGACGCCATGCATCCGTTCGTTTTTCTTCATAGTCAGCCAGGATTTGAGCGCCGGGGACGTTGGTAACATCGTATCGACCTTCTGCGAAAGAATTCATTTTCTCAAGGAAAAGATAATAAATGTTAAGCCTGTCAAATCATGAAACATTTGCAAACGCCGGTTGTTCCGACAACCAAGGACATACTGCATATAGTAGAATGAATGGAAAAGAGGATCGATGAAATGAGTTGCAAGTTGCATGAACCGCGGGAGATCGGTCTTGAGCGCGTTGTTGATGTAATCGTACTCATTTGTGGCAATCTCGAAGTCTTGCTCAAGCTGATCATACGAATGTCAACCGTGTCGCTGGGAAGAAGTCACTCCGGGTACATGCCTTGAATAAATTCTTCTCGTCACTCAAACTCTTCTCTTTCTTGTCCCTCAGTTTAGTAAGTGAGTTGTTGAATCGATCATAATCGACCAGCTTGTGATCACGTTTAGTGATGCTCTTCCTGATCAGCTTGAGGACACCTTGGAACTCTTTCACGGGCGCAACTATTCGTGATTCGATGAGCTCGAGTTCAGGGGAGATCGCAGAACGGAGTTCGTCGAGCGCGGTTGCGTACGCAGGGGTGTTTGCAACGGTTGCCGCGGCGGAGGGGTGCTTGCCTTGCAAGTTATACTCGGCGGCCAAGGGAGAGAACATAAAATTGGTATGGTTGGCGGCACCCGCAGAAGAAGTGAAGAGTGCTGCGAGCGTAGGTGAGGATGTGTGCATGAATGAGAGACATGACGTACAGATAACTGTTTCAGAGAAAGCCTTGGTATCTTTGAGCAGCTTTTCTGTAGCCTGCTCGAGGGAAATAAAATGGCGATTATAGTCATCGAACTCGGGATCAGAAGACTCTAAAAGTTAGCAGATAGTTGAGCGAGTAGTTGATCACAAAGATTAGATCTCACTCTTTGAGAAGCCAGTTTTAGATGTGACAAGGTGGGGTGTTCTGTAGACGATCGTGAGTTCATCTCCCTCCACATAGACACTCAGGCAGAAGGATGCGACATACGCCGCTGCTTGTTAGCAGCAAATAGGAAAAAGGATGAGCTCACCGCTTGATAGCTTTAGTGAACCCCTTCATCTTGCATAAACGATATGTCTATCAGACTCGTGAATGTCCTGATTCTGCTAAGCTCGGATTAGACAGACTCTTCCAAATAATTTTCAAGGATGACTGCGTGCTGCGATGGTTGAGTTGTGGTGTACTGTGGGTGCGCCTTGTACTGACGTGACGGGCGTGACTCAGCGTTAATAATAATTTCGGGCTTCCGAACAAACAAGAACAATACTATCCCTTACGATCTATTCGTGATGGACCGTCATTTCGTGAGTCACGCCTTTTCGCGGTGAATTTCGTGACATACCGTTACACCATGTGACAAGCCATCACGTTTCCATGCCCAAAAGTGTGACTCACGAAATGGAGGCTCGTCACGAATAGACCGTAACCGATAGTATTTGCGTCATTCATTCCGCTTGTCACAGTATCCTGCTTGCTAAACACCACCATCGGTTCATTTGCTGTGTATATATCATCACCCTATCGCACTCACGCTGAAAAGTACTGTATCAATATTGAATCGCGATGCCTATCCAGCAACCCTCAAATCAAATAAAGTCAGTGTTGGACTGATGCAGTCTAGGGGTTTCGCACTGACGCGAGGTGAAGCGCAGGCTCACAAATGTATCTATCGTACGCTTGAAGAAGGGTGGTAAACGGTTTGAGGTGCGGTGTGGATATCCTGTGTACTGACATTGTCTAACGGCCCAGCTTTAGATTGCCTGCTACAAAAATAAGGTGCAAGAATGGAGAAACGGAGTGTAGGTGATCACACTCATATGTTAGCTCCGTGGTCAACGTAATATCCATGCGCAGAGAAACGAGTTTAGATGACGTCCTCCAAATTTCGAATGTCTTCATGAATGTATCCAAAGGCGAGGTTGCCAAGTCTAACGATCTTCAAAAAGCATTTGGGACATCTAAAGTAGACGATGTCGTCAAGGAGGTCTGTCCTTTTCCAGCTCGATGATAACAGTTACCATTTGCTTATCTGATCTATAGATCCTTAAGAAAGGCGAAGTTCAAGTTGGAGAGAAAGAACGCGATCACGATCTTGCTTCCCTCCGCAAGGAGATCGCTACACTGGTCGCTGAGAAATGCGTCGATCCGGCGACTCAACGTCCATATCCTGTCGGAATGATCGAAAAGGCTATGGCTGAAGCAGGTGTGAGTGTAAAAGCGGGAAAGAATGCTAAGAGTCAAGTGGGTGATCATCCGTTGACATCGGATGCGACTGTTCTTATCTGAGATGACAGGTGGCGGAAACGCTGCGACTCATCCAGGGTCACTCAACACTCCCAATTCAACGTGCTAGGATGCGGGTACGCGTTGTTGTCCCGGCCGCCGAAGGGGAGCGTCTGCAGGAACAGCTTCGTGCGTTGGCTGAGACGGTCGAGAAAGAAGAAAAGGGGGAAAGTTGGGAAACTGTATGTCTGTTTCATCATCCTTTGGGAAGACTTTGACGAGGCTGTCTAGGTTATGCTGATCGAGCCCTCGCAAATCCGCGGAATAAACGAACTGCTGCAGAAGGAGTGTAATGGAAAAGGGCGCGTTGAGACCCTAACCTTTGCTGCAACCGCTGACAACAACTAAATCATCGATTATCGGATCGGTGTATCCTCGCGACAATTACATCTAACGACTGTAATGCATTGTTGTCATTATCACGTCGTATGTAATCTCACATTCATGGGTGATTTTGTCCTTAGCAGATCTTATTGCTCACAAAGTTGATTCTAATTCCAAAAGCCAATATGAAGTTCTTGCTGTTCTTGGCTTTGTCGTGAGAACACCTTGTAGTCATCCAAATATCGGATACAAAGATATTTTGCTTGGTTCGTCATGTTCATTGGGTGCCTTGTCATTTTGCCCGTTGGTAAGGAAAGTCTGCAAGGATAAAGTTAGTTTTTCCGGTTCCGTAGCAAATAAGCCACCGTCGTCCGCCAGGCTTCTGCGATAGTATATTTATACTGACAGTGTTCTACGAATGCATGTTTATGGATAAAGTGAGATTCAGATCGTGGACTATATATACTAATGGTAAAATTATCATTGAGTGAGTTCTGAAGCTCTGAAGCCCAGCACGCAAGGAAGGTCATCGGGTTCTCGGACTGTGTATGTACGAGACCTGGACGTCGGACAGTTACGTCGTAAATAAGTGACACGTGACAGAAGTCAAGGTAAAATCGGGGTGCCTTGATTGGCTATATGTAAGCTGACCAAGCAAGTCGGTTTGGTCGAGGTCCTTGTGCTCCGGTGACTGCCACATCTTCATTCTAACCATCCATGCTGTCTTCAGTAGCCCGTTCGCGTTCGGGGTACAATGTCATTCATTCAATACGCGCATCCGCCATTTATTCCACCCATCGTCGTGCAATGATGTCTGCCTTAAGTTCTCAACCTCAGAGACCACCGGAAGCCCATTCCAGTTCCAGCTCCAGCGCAAAGCAGTTTCTCAAAGATTCTCCACCCGTTGTCGTACCCACTGCAAAGTCACTATCACCCGATGCATCCTCTCCACAGGTAGCTGCTCGTCCACCACCTGTACCAAAGGCAGAGCGACCGCGGCCAACTATTCGGTCCACCAAGGCGGTGTTAAGTATGGTATGTGCCGATGATGGATTTTAGCTGTATCAGTCTGATTGCTCACTTGTTGCAGACGCCGACTGCGGTGCTGCGGTTGCGCGGCTTGCTTAATAGTCCGACACCACAATTAATCCGTATAAGTGTGCGAAACAAGGGTTGCGCTGGCCTATCTTACCACCTTGACTATGTGGACAAGCCAGGGAAGTTTGACGAGGTGGTACAGCAGGATGGGGTTAGGGTGCTTATAGACAGCAAGGCACTCTTCTCAATAATAGGCAGTGAAATGGACTGGAAAGAGGATCCGCTAAGGTACGTCGCGCAGTGTTTCCGCCGACGCTTCACCGTGGAATTAACGTGATTGTTCCTGTAGCTCCAAGTTTGTATTCAACAATCCTAATATCAAGGATGCATGTGGATGCGGAGAGTCATTCACTGTTGCATAGTATTACATACAGAGCACGTCCATTACTACCCGGAGTATTAAACGTACTCCACCTTGCTTCACAATTTCTTATTTACACCACATTCAACTGTATCCCTATCATACACCTCACGAATATTCAATCTATAGATGGCGGCGTCCATCTGAGCTGCTCACACCTTTAGCATTGTCATCACTTTATTTCCCGTGCATTTCTTCCCTGTCATCGTTCAGGTTATGGTTATGACATTACTAGGTAGGGTGTTACAACAATCTAGAGTTACAGTCGGAGTTTCCTTTCCATCTCGTTGTGAATGTTTAACGGTGGACCACTCTCCATGCCTATGTGATCTCCAGTCAGATCGTACCGCATGAGTGTCAGGTAAATTACGCACCAAGGAAGAAGTCGGCTGGGTCTAGTGTCTCGTCCCGACCCATCAGGATGTCCAGATGGATGTTTGACTGTGGCATGCCAGGCATGTGAGAATTCTAGAAGACATTTAATTTGTGGATATTAGTGCACGCATACACACTCACGGCGGACACGATCTGGCGTTCCATAAGCAATCTCATAGGTGCGTGCGGACCGTAGACATTAGCCAGCATGGTTAGCCTTGCGTTGTCCTGCGTCTCTTCCCACTATGAACGCTGTTAGATGGGAATGCATAATTTATAATGGACTGCGAGCACACCTTTGCAATACGGTTCTCGAACTCGGCTCCTCTCGTCTCAGTTGCAATGCTACGAAGGCCGTACTGGAAGGTGTCATGGAGGCCCAAACTGCCTGCAGTGTCATTTATGGACGCAGTTTTTGTTTGGGTATGTGGAACGATGCGGTATGAAGGTTCCTAGATACACGATCAGTTTAATCTGCTAACGGAACGATATGAATGCGCACCATGGTAGTGATCTGAAAGCAAGGTATGGACGCGTAGCCAGCGTGACGAGGAAATGGTCACGAGGGTGACTGCATGTGACGTTTGTGACGTTCCCCAGAGTGTGATCTTCGATGTCGGTGACGATGATCCAGCTCAATTGCCTATAAGTAGGCCAAACTTGCAAACGAATCAATCCGCCTTCCAACCACATTCTGTTGTCAACTTCCACCATACGTATGTTTTTCTTATTTGCTTATCACTTTGTTATTGACAGTAATCAGATACACGACTCTAGGGTTAACGTTGACTTCCCGCCGCATTTGTGACAGGAACGTTATCTACACCCCAAGATGAGCAGTAGACCAGCAAGGTCATCTAGTATCCCCGTTCCACCACGGGGTGGTATGTCTACATCCCCCGCTCGGAATATCGAGTCGGTCATCTCCATTCCCTTTGCACCTTCCCCACAGTCTCGCCCTCGTCTTGTGAACCAGGGATGGCCGCAAAGAAGTCCTATTGCAGGTATCAGTAGTGTCCGGGGATCTAGTTCTATGGCTGTGGCGACTAGCCCTCCCACACGGTTGACCGCTCGATCATTCACACAGCCAAGCTCTACTCTCCTTTCGGGCACAGGAAGTACATCAGCTCATATATACTATGAGCCGCGCATAATTAGAGTCGACACCGCTTGCCCGACCTCTTCACCTTCTCGTGCTCGTCGGTCCAGTGCAGCCGGTGTTAGGGCGCCCAGCGCTCAGAGACCAGCTATGGCACACCCGGGTCCGTTGCCTATCGACTCCGCACCCTTTCCTCGCCCATCATATCTCGACCATTCTGCGCTGCGACACCTTCTGCAGACAGACACTCCTTCTCAACTTACCTCGTCCCCGAAGCCTGACCCTATGGTCGTTCGTACTGACTATGGTGTAGGTAGGAGGAGGGTACATAGGTCTCCCAGCTACGATAGCGATGAGGAAGACATGAGCCCTCCTGGAGATTTGCCCTCCAGGCAACAACAAGAGACCAATCCTTTAATATCATCTACCCTCTTGCGTCTCCCAACTAGATGGTGTGAAGAATACAGAAGTCCTCTGTTAAGCGTCTCCGCAGATGGAAGGGATCTTACCTATCACGGTCAGTTCATGCTAAGAAATTGGAATTACCAGACACGTCATACCCCTTTGAACAGGATCCCCAAGCAACTCGGATAAAGATGCCGCAGCTGCCCATACGATCTTCCCTATCCCTCCTGCCTGCGGCATATACTACTATGAGGTCGAGGTCACCAGTAAGACAAATAGCAACAAGGGGTGAGTACCTTCTTTGGAGAATTTTTAATATCTATGTACTCAAACACCAGTTCAGGCATATCAGTGTTGGGTCCGAATAAAATTCGATGATTTGAAATTAATATGGCTGACATCCCCTTTGTAGTCTCGTGAGCCGCGACTTCAAACCGTCCCGCTTACCGGGGTGGGAGAAGAACTCGTGGGGATATCACGGTGATGATGGCTCGTCGTTTGCGGCTGAGAAGACGGGCACACCATATGGTCCTCAGTTTGGAGGTCTGTCAACTTTATGATGCATCGAATAACTTGACCCACTCTGAACCCATTAGCCGGAGACGTCATTGGCTGTGGTCTCGATTTTAGCCAGAACCGCGCCTTCTACACCAAGAACGGTGCTTTGCTTGGTGCGCATTCTTCCCGCATTGGATTTATTTTCTTCTGAACTCCCACAGGCTCTGTTTTTGATAACATTGGCAAGGATTGTGATATTTATCCGGCTGTCGGGCTTTGCCATCCCGGAGAGTCTGTGCGGGCCAACTTCGGCCAAGACCCATTCAAGTTTGACATCGAGCATCACGTGCTTCAACAACGAAACGCGACATGGACGCGCATTCAGTCTGCGCCCTGGACGTGGCCAGTAGCTGACAGTGATAAATATTTTACTTCAGCGTCGATGTCCACCACAGACACTCGCGTGAAGTCCCAGATCAATGATCTAGTTCTTGCATACCTGTCACATCACGGGTACGCACGTACGGCACGAGCGTTCGAAGCGCAGGGCTCCGCTCGAGGAGGAATGTCGACGCTCAAATCGTCAAGCATCTTCACTTCGTCTTCCACGACCCTTGTTGCCGAACATGATCAGATCATGGATATGGATGACGTCCCCCAAACACCTACTGCACCCACGGATGACATCGAGATTCGTACCCGTATTGTGCATGCCGTGCTCGCAGGTGATATCGATACCGCGCTTTCTGACACACAGACGCACTTCCCACGAGCGCTTGACGCGGACGCAGGACTTGTGCTCTTCAAACTACGGTGCCGTAAATTTGTGGAGCTTGTGCTGGAGGCGGCAGAGCTGAAGAAGCGGATGTGCGCAGAGGAGGCGGAGATGAGTGTTGGAGAAGATAAAGGCGCCTCAGATGGGATGGGGATGGATGTTGACGACGAGGCAGATATCTCCAGTACTGGAGCGACGAATGGTTATGGCAGCGGCAGCAGTGCCATTCCGATCAAAGGCAAGCGTAAGGCATCGTTCGCCTCTTATTCGCATTCGAATTTGTCAGGTGCGACTGCGGCCAAGTACGGGACCGCTCTCGAGCGTGCGGTTGCGTATGGACAGGAGTTGCAGTCGGAGTACAAAGACCGCCCGGAGATGCGCGCTATTTTCAAGCGCACGAGCGTGATCGTGGCTTTTGAGGATCCGCTTGCGGCCGGTGGGGATGCGGCGGAGGTGGCGGGGCAGGCAGCAAGAGCGAGTCTTGCGACGGAGGTGAACCAGGCAATTCTGTGTGAGTATATTCTTCGAGTTGATTCGATTGTATTCTCACCGTCTCTCGTAGTGTCGCAAGGGCGTCCTGCTCATCCAGCCTTGGAGAGGATATACCGCCAGAGTGCAGCGTCCCTCACGCAACTTGCTCTCTTTGGTAACGGGGCTGCTGCTTTGGTGGACATGCCCAGGGAGCTCCTGGATGTATGATTATACTCTGCCGACCATTATTTCGCTTTTCCAAATAATCTTTCTTGTTGCTATTGTAGGTTACATATTTCGAAACTAGCTCATGCATATCTCAAGTTGTAATATGTGTCATTGGAAATTGAAGTCCTCGTAGTTGCGTTCTTAACCATGGATACGCGCATGCAGAGAACCTTTGCGACCTACTCAACAAGAATTTCAGACCGTTCAAGTCTGAAGATCATTCTAGGATGAGGCAATGGTGTGGTCCGTTACATTCCGTGGTACAAACTACACTTTTCAATTCAAGTCATATACATGAGTTCCTATGGTATACAATTCCGAGTGTACATACCATTCGTTTATAGTTGGGTATCAAGGTCAGCTTCTGGTACTCGATCCTTTACATGATATAAGACGCCTTCACAATCTCGAGCATCCTGCCCAAAGCGATTAAAGCAAAGCTCTGAGCTCCAAACATTCTCGGTTCTTCTTGAAGCGTATCTTCTGCGACACACCACGCTGCCCAAGAGCGCTTGAACGTTTCTCCCATACTGCGCTGTTCCGTATCATCGAACTCTTCGCGGAAGGTCCAATCATCGTAATCCTCATCCTCATCTTCATAGTAAGTCTCTGTCTCGGACATCACCAAGTCCTTAGCCAGGAGCTCTGCCCTGACCGCACGGACGAGCTCACGCGTCTGGAACTATCGTCAAGGAACATGTGACGCATATTGGACTCCACGCTTACCTGCAAGTTCATCGCAGTGACCGCATCTCGCCGACGATGATGGTCGGACCAATTAGCCATGATGGTCCCGCTCACCAATTCCGCCTCCGAGATGTGGCTATTCTTGTTTTTCAAAATCGTGTGCGACTGCCCGATCACCATCAGCTGATCGCAATATGCATCGAGTAAATATTTCATCTCCTCGGTTAACTGTTCACTTGGATCGGACAATCCTGAAAGGCCAAGATTACGGAGGCCCACGCGAGAGAGCGCGTCCTCTACAGTGACACCGTCAGATGGAGAGTAGTCCTCGTTCCAATCTTGGGGTATCCACTTCTCCTTTACTGGTACCCGACGGTAGAGCTGACCAAGTAGCTTCTTGCTGTTGTAGTACTGGTCGCTGTTGAGATCAGCACCTTCTTTGGCAAGGAAATCAGGCTTTGGCTGTTTCCTCAACTTCGGTAGTTGACTGAAGTTGACAGGAGTTCCGCTCTTCGGAAAATCAACTGCATGTGAGGCTAATTTCGCGAGTTCCAAGCATTCCGCGCAACCTGGATCATTCAGGTCAGAAAACCTGAGATGCTGTATGGCAATGAGACCGACGAGGTCCGCCTCAATCTACTGTTTCATACTTAATTTTTAGTCACTGAAAGTTCTGAATGATACTCACGTAGTCAAATACGAAATCTACGATGTCGGAGATGTCACATGTGTTTGGTGTCGTTTTGATGGGCAGCGGCTGGTATTCTCCGGGACCGCTGGAATGTGTTGGCAGCAGCTTCGGCTATGGAATACTCAGACATGAGTGAATGTATGAAAAAATGCGAGCTTACATCAAGGATTAGGTTGAAGTCGTCGCCATCAAGATCACCCCCACCCAGACATGATGAAAGCGCTCGCTGACCCCTGTTGACGATATGATTCAGCGTGCATTTGTCACAAGCCATCAAATAGGGCTTACTCGCATGAAAATACGACAACATTCCTCAGGTGCGCCAACTCTGGACGGTGTACAGCCGTAACAACTTGCAGGTCGCCTGGATGAATCTGCGGGCTGCGCGTTACGGCGACCTGGCCCGTAATTTGCTTATTCAATCCCGTCCTTTCATCGAACACAGCTGCGTATACTTCTCCCTCCCCTGAGGCAGCCCCATTCATCAGAAACGCCAAGCAATGTATACGAACCCGGCACTCCGATATGAGCACGGTATTTCAGCTCCCGCAGGATGTGCGTCTCGGCGCAGTGCAGGGAGCTTTCTATGAGCTCGCTGGTCCATCGTGACTGAGACGCCTCTTCCTCAATATTTCCAACATCCAGCTGCAAAATGGACGACAAGTTTTTGAAGAGAGATGGTAGATGGAAAGATGCTCCCAGTCCGTGTTGCTGTATAACTTTCGAAGCATCGAGGGACGATGATCGGACGGACTGAGCTTTGGCGATCGCATCGTCCTGCAGCTCAATGATCCGACGGGTATCTACTCCCAAGAATTCCATAAGTACGATGAGCGGACGATTGAGGAACATCGCTTTCGGTCTTGATGATGTCGATTGGACATCAAAAGTCAAATTTTCCGGTGCATCAAACTTGATCTGCGACGGACGAAGGTGGACAAGCTTGCCTTCGATGGTCGGATCTTGGACGACCATGCCTTTGGCACCACCGAGACGAAATTGGAAAGCGGACGGAATATTTCGTAGCTTCGCGGGTCGCTTCTTGCCCTTCTGCAAAGACCTCCATATATCCTTTGCAAGCTCGACGGATATGGAACTGCACCCGTCTGTCATAACATTGTCAGAAGGCGAGAGTCTGTCGGGACAATGAAAATCGATTTCTTCGGAAAGAAGGGTGATCGACGGATCAGTGCCAGAAAAGGCTTGGGACCATCTTGCAGCCAAACGAGCCGGTTGTTTGTAAAGTTTGGAGAAATCGCCCTAGTAATTGCATTTGGTTGACAAGATCGACCAGCGCCAATAGCGACTCACCAGGTTATTCCGGATCGATTCTGGACCCAGTTGCATCCCATTCTCATCTTCGAACGGTGTCATGAACCACACTGAATGTTCTCGCAGACCGCTCATTGAGTATCCCAAGAATTGGAATTGACGTCCGGCGACGCGATATCCATTGAGCAGAATGGGGCGATATCGCTCCTTTAGAAGGTCCTGAATGGAAGAATCTAAGTCTCGACGAAGCTTTGATCGATTCTCGTCCTGAAAAGTAACGCGCAGGAAGCACTCGTGATGTTCATATCGGCGTAAGATACTGTTGGACTGATCTGGAAGAGGTCCCTCTAAGATGTGCCGTGTTGGCGTAATGATGAGATGGTAGGATAGGTATACCCCACTTTGTGGTGGCGGAGCTAGAAGACGAAGGGGCCTTAGATGCTCTCTAATAAACTCCTGGACCACCCGACCAAGAAGAGATGTTAGATCTTCTTGGCTGGACTGCCACTGCGACCGGCGTTTGCGGCCTTTTTTACGACTCCTACTGTGTCCTTCGTGCTCGGACGCAAAAGACCCGAAAATCTCTGGCGCATCAGGGCCGTGTTCAGTGTGCAACGAGAGGATTGCCTCCTTCAGCGAAAGTATTTCTATCGGACTAAAAACAAAATTTGCAACGGTCTTTTCGACCTGGAACGCAAGCTCGTATGGGATCTGGGAGAAAAACTCGTGGAGTTCCTCGATGGGGTTGCTATTAGAGATGCGATCATCAATCCGAACATGGGGAACTGGCGAGTAACGCAGGTGAAGACGATTGCGGCATGCATACATGAAGGTTTCTGCGTCTGACTGGCTGCTGAAGGCCAGCATCAGACTGTGGCTACCGGGAGGCATGGGGTAATGACGCGCCAAGCCCGGCAGACGTCGAGGTCCTTCATTTCCACCGGGATTATTATCCACGGAGAACACCGGGGGCGCATCGGCGCGAATGAATAGAATGTGGGTATCATCATCCTGGTTACCCACTAATGCTGCGATCTTCAGTGGCGCATATGATGCAGCAGATATCGAGTCGCCATCATGACCCTTGAGAGTGAAGCGTACCTGCCGACGCTCCAGATCACAAGAGACATCGGCAATGCCAGGAAGGGTAAATTCTGAAGCAAAAGAACCATCCCGGAGGAAGCGCCCAAATGAGTAGCGAAGAAGCGGAAAAGGCTTCGATTGCTGGAGAAGCCTTTCCTTCTCCTCTCGCAGCTTTACTGGGTCGCTCCATGGAACGGATTTCAACCTCTCAATACGGGCCTTGTTGATCGATTGCCTGCTCTCGCGGAGGAGGATTTTGCGGCCTTTGACAACAATCCCTGTGTCACCGTAAGCACGCAAGAGAGTTACGCCAGAATCCACCGTAGGGAGAGCAAGGATGCCTCGCTTTCCATTCGGGTGTGACTTGTAGAAGATTTGGACTTCAAAGTTGAGAAGAGGACTAGTTGGGAACGGGGGATTGTGCAATTTCTTCGCAAACTCAATGGTCAAGTCTTCCAGGGTAACTGCAAAAGCAATATTTTGCAAGAAAATCTCCATCTATCATAATCAAGTTTAATACGACGTATCCTTGGGTCATGAAAAGGTCGCCCATTAAGACTGACCTTGTGTGCGATTGGTATCAATGGGGGGATATACAGGAATTCGAAACTGATTGTTATCATCGAGCCGCTGCATCGGCACTTATATATGTGCCCATGGGAGTTGATCCTGATCAAAGATATTAATAAATCGATAACCATCACGTGAAGTACTATGGTAGATACTGCGCACCCTTTCCTACCAAGTACTCAATATGTAGTACACACGAGGCGAAATGCCAAGTTATCAGGTAGAAAAGGAAGACAGATGTAACAGGCTTAGTCCAGACGACGCTTCTTCTCCCTGAAACCGTCATGGTCTCTTTCCGGTGGCCCTCTCCGTCTGTTATCATAGTCTGGACGAGTGCGATAAGGTGACCTTGACCGTGATCTTCGACGACTAGTTCCAGAATTGTGGTAATCGTGATTTTTATCCCGTGCTCTATTATCACCGGCGTAGTCCTCCCTCCTTGCCATTGGTTTCCCCTCATTTGAGCGGCGACGATCAACTCTATCTTCGGGCCGGTCTCGCCACGATGATTGCTCACCCCATGCACGTGATGTAGTGGTGGCTGCGTTAGCACCAGAAGCCAAGGAACTACGGGCTCCTGGCGGTAATTGAGTATTTTGAGGACAGTCTGCAAAAGAAGTTTGAGTTTGTCAGGAGAATGCCTCAACGATAGTCCTCACCCTTCTTGAGATGCGGACCGCCGCATAAGAAGCAACCACCTCCTTCTGTGGATCGACCACCCGTTTTTACCGAACCTGAGCCTCCAAAACCTCCGCTCCCCTGAGTCGTGTCCTGATCCATAAGGTGGGTATACTTGGTTCTACTGCGTTTACCAAAGTTTTTGACTCGCATGACATCGGGCAACATCGAAACATCCACCGTAGATTCAGTTGCTTCTGTGTAGTCGCGTCGTTGAAGGATTGCATCATCCTAATCAACACATAAAGTGATGGAACAACACAAACGAAAGACATGACGTACCTGGTGGAAAGCACCTTTATGCCAGTACTTTTGTAGGAACTTCTGCTGGCCTTTAGGCTTCTCCTCCCGTAACTTGTTGGCTCGTTCAAGGTCTTCCTTCAAACGTTGTTCTTCTGGAAGGGCACGTCTCCGCTCAATCTCTTCCCTTTCCTCTTCACGTCTAAGCTCTTCCTCCTTCTCCTTCTTGATTCGTCCAAGCTCTCGCAGCCGCCAAGCTTCAAATTCCCCAGCGGGATCCAGACCGTCCGAATCATCAACATCAGGTATTTGTTCCTCCTTCTCCTCTTCAGGGTAAGTGAGTATAACAATCGCGATGAATGGATATGAACGCACTTTCCAATAATTCTCGTCGTATGCTCTCTGCAACCAAGTCGTGACTCTGCTTCTTCCGTTCTTCAGCAGTTTCCTGTTTGCGCTTCTCTATTTCCTCGGCTTCTTCAGCGATTGCATCACGCTCAGCAATCGTCGCTCGACCTCGTCTATCCGTACGGTGAATAAGTCACTCGATCAACAGTGCATTGGAAACATACTTCGGAACAAAAACGGGTCGGAATAATGGCTTTGAGAGTTCTTCCTCAGATTCGCTAGACTGGAAATAGTTAAAAAATAAAACATGGCATATGTCATGAGCAAACGCACCTCGCTCTCCTCCTCTTCCTCCTCTTCCTCACCTGGTGCTTCCTCCTCTTCCTCTTCCGACGCAATATCTTCAGTAGCATTTAGCACAAAATTGAGTCAGGCCAAACCGACGGCACGTACCCTCCTCTAGTTTGGTCCGTCCAGACTCTTCTCGTCCCGCGACAATGACCTTGCCTTCCTTCGAGATATTGACATCCTTTAGAGTGAGATTCATCGTCTTCGCCACTCTACCCTGTCCTGTCTTCACGGGAAGTGTCGTTTCCTCATCATCATCATCATCCTCGACAATGTCTTGCTCCCCAGCAATGAGCACATCTCCCTCTTCCTGAACCTCGCGCTGCTCTTCATCGTCTTCATCAGAATCCGAGGGAAATTCGGCAGCTCCTTTCGGCGCTTTACCCTTCCAATACCTGCCTGCCGCACGCGTTGGCTTTGATGTGTGTTTGCGAACTTGCGTTGCAAGTATAGTCGACATGACGGGGAAGGTATTAATGGACAAATAAACAGGGACAAATAATCCTCATTTGATCTCTATTAGTATTATCGTCGAAGAGTTAAGACGGGGTAGGCAGATCGTTCCTTCTTTATTATGACGGCGACAATGCTAGAATTTGAGTCTAAGGAAAACAAGTAGCCAATAGTGGAAAAAGAAACTACATATGCATTTCCTGACTCAACCCATCTTTACCATGAGCAGGTACCGCAAGCGAATTTGGGACGGGTCATAGACAATGTACTAGAGAGAATTGAGCCAATGAAGGAGATTGATTGCGATCACGAACCTCGTTGTACGTAAGATAGGCTCCGGGGGGGTTGACATTCGACGGCTCTCCCTTGGGCATATGGACGCCCTCAAGTTCTTTATGGTTGAGTGCCATCCCAGCATCTTGCCAATCGGTAGGTTGCGTCATTCCTACCCCTTTGGTCGCCCTAATAGTGCAAGATGAGAAGCTTCACGCGAAATAGTAGTATTGCACTTACAGCTTCTTGCTTTTCTTGCAATCTTCATCGGCGCTGTAGTTTGCATTGTTCATCTCGAGAAACGGTTTTACAGCTACTTCACAGAGGAGTAACACGCCGATTTGATTACTCAAACTGTATATCAGGTTGAGTGAAACGCCCTTTGAGAATGGCGCATGACTCACCTAGCGAAACAGTAGTTTGCAGACTGAAATGGGACAGAGATCAGAAACTGATATCCAGGAGTGCCATTCCGAACTTACTTTTGACATCATCTAGGGAAAAGCCAGGTCAGGCGGAGAGAGGAATATAAAGTGCCGAGTACTCACATCTGCAAAATATACACCTTTGCCGAACATGTAGCCTGAATTGTACCTCAGTACACTATGGACATGGATAAACAAACCACAGTCACATACCTGTGACAGGGGCTTCCGGAGGGGCGATCCGGAGGCCCTGTTTGAGGATACCTGAAGTGAAACCGTGAGTCCATGTCTGTGGAATGTTTCGCTTATTTTCTTACCAGCAAAGTTGGTAGTCCTAGAACCATGCCACAAGAGCATCCGATCACCTGGTGCAAGCTTATCGTACCCCTTCGCAAGCCATGCAGAGGTCTCTGCCTCTCTCTCCACTCTAAATGCATGTAAAACCGACGCCCTAAAGTGATGCGTCTGTCCATGTGTGTCGGAGATGTAACGTGAGAGAGCAGTAAATTCCGAGCTGTTTCGAGCCACAGGATCCATCGAATTGAGACCCAACGAGCGGAAGTGCGCGTCCAGCGGGTTAAGTGGCTTCCCGTTGTCGTCTACATTAATAGTGGCGGTTATGAGTTTATGAGCGATTTCCTGAGATGGCGTCTGGTAAGCAAATGCATAGTATCGAATGCGGATCGCATACCATGTCACCCAAAGCGTCGACAAGGTTCAGTTCCTGTGAAAACATGAGCATGAGGTTGGTGGTGGAGCTGCATGAATGTACCCTCTTCAATAGTTCCTGGTCGCCGATTACAGTGGGCCTATTGCGCCCGAACGCATGAGGGATGATGCTGCCGCCAGCTTGCATGAGAGCAATGAAATATCAGATTTCAACTTGACGCACGAATAGTATTCCGAAGTAAGCGTTTCACATGCAGTACGGAACCCTCCCAAAGATTTCGCCATGTCGCCATCCGGATGCTCGACCACTTCCGCAAGTTTCTGAATATTTTTAAGTTCAAATTCGAGCCAAAGCTTGTTATAGTGATAAGCGAACCTTCAATGCCGCAAATCCATTGAGGATAGTCGACTTAGCGAGTTTACCTAGTTTGGTGTGAGTAGTTGAACTATTTTGCATCTGAAAACTTAACATACCCAGGGGAAGTTTATTGGCATCGTAGTTCATCGACGATAAGTGAGCATCAATGAGCCTAAATGATCAGCTGGGCTGAGAATTCAAGGGACGACACTTACTTGGAAGAGAAAATGAGGTTGCAGAATGCCTGCCAGGATTAATGTGTATATTAGCACAATTAAGGAGGTGAATTTCTCGAACTACTACCTGCAACTCAGGCGCCAGTTTGGAATCTGGAACGGGGTCGTCTTCTTTATTCTTGCTGCCGCTGCCTTCCGCCTTGTCATCTTCATTCTCGAATGCACGCTCTGAAGGGGATATCAGACTACCAACTCGTGTTTGTATATACGAATGCGTCTACCTAGCCATGTATATTTTCCTGTTTATCATGCGTTCATATGAAGAATGGACTCCAAGAAAATGTTGACTTACCCTTCGCAGCCACCATGCCAAAGCGCTGAGGCCACGCAACGCCAGATTTCGACTTGAACTGCTTCTTAAACTCGTTAATGGCAGAAACAGATGGCCATAGTCCCTGGTATAATCAGTTTCTCTTGCACATATCAATGCTGCATTGGGAGTAACCTTGACTTGGCTTTGACCATTCTCACCAACGCGGCCCCAACGCGTGCAGAGCAAGCATTGCGTGTCATCGCCGACGACATGCAAAAGTTGGATCACATAGAATCTAGGCCTGGATAAGAATCAGAATCTCATTGTGCACGCGTGCTCACTTGTTCTTGTTCGAGCCAACCTCAGTTTGGTTAAGCATTGCGTCCCAGACACTTTCAGCATTGGAGTAGACTTGATGTGAATCTAGGCACATTATTTTGGCGCTTCAAAGGTCATGCCTAAATCACTCACTAACGAAGCTGGATATTGGGTCTACCGGCGCAGCACCTCTTTTCACAACAGTGACCTGGACGTTGACAGCTGAGCATGGGTACATTACCATGCTTCCAGTGCTTACCATCTTCTTAGTGTTATCGTCAGTCATGTTGTCAGCAGTGTCATCGTCCTTGTCCGCCTTAACCTTTTTAGCAGGGGTGTCATCTGCCTCATCCTCGCTGAGGTCGGCGCGGGCACGCTTCGCCTTGCTTGATTTTGGTTTGGAGACGGGTTTTGCTGTAACTGCAGTAGAAGTAGGTGCAGTGGTTGCCTGTCTCGTACTAGCTCTAGTGGTCCGCGAGGACCCCGGCTTAGCAACGCCTGCAACATCGGTGGAGGGAACAGCTTTCTTGCGAGGGGGCATGGCAGAGAGTGGGAAAGAGAAATAAGAACTAATGAGTGGGATAGAAGAGGTTTAAATAACGCGCCCCTATCACCGACTTGAGTCAAGGTGGTGGGCGCGTGTTGAAAATGTGGTGCCATGACCACCACGTTTGACACCGCCCTGCACACGTATATGGTCATATCCCGACTCCCGCCCCATCACGTGAGATAGGGGATTTCCTAATTTAGAAACGCCGTCGCAGCATTAGTTCGGCTGGGTTATCGCGTGCGCCCTGACTCTTTATCTACCCAAACCCAGACCGCCGCCGACTAAGCTAAGCTTGTTCTACATCCCACCTGGAACACACCCGTTGTGGTTCATTGAAACAGATCGTACAAGTGAATCCCTACAAGGGAAAGATTTGTTGTACAACCAACCGCACAGGAAACCAAAGCCAAGCGGCATTATGCGGACTTCGACACGGTCTTTTGCGGACAATTGCAACGTGCTACAGTGGCTTGTAATAGAGTAGAGAGATCTGAGTTGAACCGGCTCCATTCCCGAACTTCTTCAATGCTTGGAACTGAATTTATCACCAACCTTTGCCAAATTTGTGATGACCCTTAGACTCGACGTGCAACGTGCCCCCGGCATCCAGCGAGCACTGCCCTTACCGGATATCACACATTCCATAAGCAGACAGTAAAATGTGATCACAACGAGGGATGACTGTTCCGATGGGGGTTCGGATGCCACGATGTGACACCGTGAAAGGGTAGCCATTAATTTCACCTCCAGGTTCCGCCACCACCAATATTACAGTCCTGATTATAAAGGGCAGAGATAGTACGGTATGGCTGCCAATTATTTCAGCACCTTACCCGGACCCCACCATCTACGATGGCAGTTCCTAACGCGCAGACTATCCAGTTCGATTTGAACTCCATGTCATCTTACGGTGCGTACAAGGTGTTGTTGTCTCGCTCGAGCTAACATTTTACATCAGATCTCTTGGATCACAACGGTCCAACTTATGACTTTTCGTCTCCTCCCCCATTCGAGAGCCCTCTTGTCCCTCCTGATTTCCAATGGCACCAAATTGAATCGGTCTCGACATGCATGCCTTCTCCAGAATCAGTAGCCTCCTCAGATGGGTCTACAGCATCAACATCGCGTGAAAATTCCACAAAGTCGTGTTCCGAACTTCCCTTCCCGTCATCCTTCCCTTCCTCTGCAGCCCTTGCGAGTATGCCCATACCATGTTCTCGCGGCTATTCGCGTAGCAAAGATCCAGATCACGTTCCACGTCCACGAAATGCTTTCATGCTCTTCCGCTCCGCTTTCGCTGCCGCACAGAAGATCGGGACCAATGTTGAGCATGACAATCGACACATCACGCGCATCATCGCGCACTGTTGGAATCGCCTCTCCGAGTCAGAGAAACAGGTCTGGCGTAATAAGGCTGCAACGGAGAAGGCTATCCATGCAATCAAGTACCCCAACTACAGGTTTAATCCTGTGGTGCGTGCAAAAAAGCCTACGAAACGAAAAGTTCGTAGAAACGGCACGGAAGACAAGAGACGCTGCGAGCAAGTCGCTGAACTGCTTCTTGCAGGCAAGCATGGCGAAGAACTCGAGGTCGCAGTCAAGGAAATTGACGACACTATGAAATCAGTGACTTTCGGAACATCCCCTGATTCAAGAAGCGGGTCAGCATCGGGGGGCACGCGAGAATCAGATCCTTGCGATGGCGACTCTGACGGATGTGACATACAACCATTCCGCAGTCCCCTTTTGCCACCCACCAAGTCATCTAGTCTTCCGATCTATGGCTTTGTAGGTGCCACCCAGATTTCACCGCCGGTGAGTACATGTTTTCCCGCCCTTCGACTTTCCCTTATTGTTTCCATGCAGCTCACCATCATCAACTCCACTCCAAAAACCTACGAATATAGCGAGCAGCCCTACCAAGTGCCATGTGACATCAATCAGCCGACGTCGAGCACTTCGTCAACGCACCCATTACTCCTTACCCAGCCTGACTTTTATCCTCTATATCAGAGTGCCAGGCTCTCTCCACTGCCTGTATCACTTTATGGCGAGCCCGCAGCCTTGTTCATGAACTACCCAGAGAAGAACGACGGTGATAATATCTCCGCGTTGATGCCTTCCTCTTCAGACTTCTCCGCCTTCTCATGGGACACCCTTCCAACGTCAGGATATGCCACCAACACGTCTCACTCGTACACCACTTTTCCATCCTACTGAACTTTTTTGTGACACAATATCTTCAGTTATTATTTCAGTTAACCCAAGGAGCGCCTTAGCCTATCTTAATCACGCTCGCATTCATCTGTAGCCTTTTAGCGTACATAAGATACCACTGTATACATATCGCACCAATGTGGATTGAAATGTGAATGTTAGAACGTTACCTTGGCCAACAACAAATACAGTCAAGAGTTTCCAGATAGGATCTCAAAGGCTTTGACGCCCTCTTTGCCCAACAATGTTGCACAGCCGACAATTTTGGCACCGGCACGATTCATCCGTTGGACGGCTTCTGGGGATGTCACGCCTCCAGCACCGATAATGACAATTTCCCGCAGCGCTGGATCATCTGACTCCGCAAGAAGCCGTGAAAAGGTGTACACGTTCCCTAGGGAGAGGGCATGAATAGCCTCGCCTGCAAGGCCACCCAAACCGGGTGGCACAGCAAATGCAGATATGTCCGCGTGTGCATCTGGGGTGGGGGTTTGATCAGCAAAGACAAGACTGTTGCCGAGGGTGTTCGTGCACGTGAAGAAGGCGAATGGGTTTGTGGGTTTCCCGGAATCGGTGCAGGTGTAAGACGAAATGCATTCGACGACATCGCGAAACTGGGTCGCTATGATGTATGGCGGGAGCTTGAGCCCAATGGTTAGCGTAGAGTCATCCTGGAAAGCCTTGGCGAAGGCGTCAAGAAATGGCTTGAGAGAAGGAAGATGGTATGAGGGTGGAGGGTGACCCTTGATATTTGGGCAGCTGGAGTTGAACTCGACAGCGATACGAGAGCGCCATGTAGGATTCGATGCGCGGAAGTGTTGTATCATCACCAACATCTCGAAAAGCCTTTCAGCGCTGGACTCCGTGATGCTGATTATGAATGGTTTGACAGACGGTCCTTCTCCTAAGAACTCCCGAATCCATGCAAGATACGCATGTAATGGGTGAGGGGAATATCCGTACGAATTGAGGGACGAAAGGGAGTCCCTCATGAACGCTACCTGCGTGATCAACCGCTTCAGACAAATGAAGGACCATTGGAACCTCGTCTGCAGTGCGTACGGTATGGGTTTCATCTTCTTCAAAACCGTCCAAAGTAGCCGTTCTCGTGGTCACAGCGCCTGTATAACGGCAGTTGAACAGCTCGTTGAGTTGTAGATAGTCTGATGCCCATGCACATGAGCAGTTCACCATGGAAGGCGATACATTGAGGCTGCGAACCAAAACCATTGAGGAGTAGTAGTTGAATTTAGCTGATCAACAAACGTCCTGCAGTGAACCAAGCAGAACGAACCGATAGTAGTGACTGACACTTTCATCCCTGTTATCAGTCGAGAAGATAGTGCCTATTATTACGGTCCACTTGAGATAAGATAAGCTCTATAAGCCTTAAATCTCCCCAGTTAAACCGATATATGCTGGTGCATATCCGTACATGGTTGTGAAAAAGAACGATCGTCAAGAAGAAGACATGGTAAGTTGTCGCGGAAGGAATGTAACAGGAATCAGTCAACATCAGTCATTCGGCTCCCCAACAGCACTAGTATTCACTAGCAATCTTCTTTCCTTCGGGCATCGGTGCATTGACACTCTTGGCATGCCTTTTTGCAAGTGTATCTTGCTCTTGCCCTGCCTCCTCTCTAGGATCTTCTTGAGTTTCTTCAGCACCTCCTCCCACAATGGTTTGATGTAGTACCAGCTAAAGTCCTACCACCCCTAAGGCATCGAAGGGAGCAGTCAGCCACCGACGGATCTTGCTTTGTTGTCTCCTGCTGTCTATGCGTTCTCTAGGAGCAAATCTCGAGGAAAAGTGGCCGGAACTGGGTTCAAGAATGCCACAACCCAAATAGCGGGAAAGACATCATCTCTCAGTAGACACTCAGCAGTCTCCAGGTCGACATCATATGTACGGATATCGCGGGCGAATCGCGATGCATATCAGGTCTCCGGGTGATATGTGGCCCTCGAGGAAGTGTGAGACGACGATGCATGCTTGAGCCTCAGTCTCAGTGAGTGTGGCCCACCCTTTGAGCCTGGGTGGTACAGGTCGAACCATGATACAAGACAGTCCCGGTACAGTCTATCGCTGCATGAGAGGGATTAGATGTCGGCTGGTTCCAGGTAGTTGAAGAGAATTTCAGGAATTCGCGAGGCGTAGAAAAGCTCGAGCAACGCGTAGCCATCTGTATCACCTGGCACAAATTGAGTATGACAGTCGGAAAGTTGAGACACTTCAGTGTACTTACTCATAAGTATAGTCACCCGTGCACAATAACGATGAGTAGAAGGTATGTTTTCATGTGTGAGGCTCTAGGGGAGACAAACGAGATCATTTCAAATGCTGCTACCAAATTTTTTCACCCCAAGACGCTTCTGTGACCTGGCGGGATATCGATTTGAAGTTGAAAAGGAGTTGCAAAATGCCCGCCACGAATACATCGTGCTTAGTCTAAAAGAACCATCAGAACACAGCACAGCACTCGCCTACGCAAATCAGCCAGTGAAAATGACGAGAGAAAAGGCACCGAGTTCGCAACGACTAACTTGCGTCCTTGCGGAGCTCCCATGCGAGCTCCTTCCTGTGTTTTTCGCGACCTCTAGTGAGTGCTACTCTAACCTGTATGATACTCTCCGAACGTCAACGAACGTCTATTGGGATATCGCGTACCCATATCACGTCAACTCGCGGAGTACTTGTCGAGGCCAGACCGATCGCATTCATTTGCAAGTATCGCATCTTTACAGGAAAATCAATGCACTTGCTGGCCCTGCATCTACTTGATATCTGGCACAAACTTCCGCGGTAGTGGAGTTTTTGTTTTACATGCAAACCCATGTTATAAAAGAAATCGCCAGGCTTCCGACCAAATGGCATCAGTTAATGTCCACTTGTGCTGCGTCAATCACTTCAGACTCCTCCTCCAATATCGGCAGTGTCAATAAAGTCTGCTCAATCGCACGCGCATATATGCCCATTTTCCACATGAGCCCTATCTTGGTGTTAGCATAGTCACGGTCGAATGCGACGACAGGATCCTCACTTGGCCAGGCCCAACACTTCTCTCCACCCCATCAATGCCCACAACAGTTACCGTCTCTCCCTTTACAACCCGTGCGTCGTGACGCAACGGTCTAGCTTTCAGACCGAGCGCCTCCGCGCGCTTGACATCAAACTTTCCCCCAAACCGCGGAACAACCACCTGACGGATCTGTGGTCATGCTTATGGCATCAATGGGTGGATGGATAGTGAACGGTGGTGACGGTACAGTAAGTTCGCAATGGATCTGTGGTCATGCTTATGGCATCAATGGGTGGATGGATAGTGAACGGTGGTGACGGTACAGTAAGTTCGCAACGGATCTGTGGTCATGCTTATGGCATCAATAGGTGGATGGTGAACGGTGGTCACTGTATTGTAAGTTCGCAAGTACATAAGGAGTCTCTTGAAACATTCAAATCCCAACTTAAAACACATTCCCGTCTTACTACAACCATCCAATGTATACCACAGAAACCTCATCGCTGCTCGAAAATGGCGGCTATAATGGTCATGTAAAGCTATCTTTTACTTGTCGCGCCGTCAGCTTCCTCAAGGGCGCGGGTGAGCCGTCATGGGCGGAGTCGTTCAACTTCTTCATTTTCGGGACATGGTTCAACATCCTACTCGTGTTCATACCCCTGAGCTTCTTCTCTCACTACTTGGACTGGGACGCTGGTCTAAGGTTTCTGTTCAGCTTTATGGCCATTGTGCCCTTGGCTAAGGTGATAACCACTCCTATCTTGAGATATTTCAGAGGGTGACATCGTCGTTTTTAGCTCTTGGGCGAGGCAACGGATCAGTTGTCCGTCAGATTAGGAGAAACCATGTCAGGTCTCCTCAATGCATCCTTCGGGAATGCAGTAGAGATCATCGTCGGCGTTGCTGCTTTACTCAATGGTTCGTCCGCCGCTCTGACGTTGTTCACAACTCATTATGATCCTAGGTCAATTGCGAATCGTCCAGACGTCCGTGAGTGTCTCGATACGTTCTCTATATGCGATATAATGACCTTGGATCAGATGCTTGGATCGATTTTGTCAAACATACTGCTCGTGCTTGGTTGTTCGTTCCTTGCCGGTAAATAACTTTCTTTGTTTTTGACGGAGTTTGGACTTACTTTGTATAGGTGGATTATATCATGAAGAAGGAATTTTTAATTCTACTGGAGCTCAGGCGTATGTCCTCTTATTTTTTTGTCCTTTAAATCCTTGACTGAATTGCAATGATAATCAGTTCTGCATCTGTAAGTTATTTGTATTGTTCTGCGCAATTATCACTAACCCAAGTATAGCTTATGACATTGTCGTGCATCAGTGAGAACCTCTTCTACAACTTGAGAGTTTGGCTGATAATCCATAGCGCTTATTATTCCCGCGGCGTATGCAAGTACCACACGCGTCGGCATGCAAAAGGATCAATATTGCAGCATTCCCGATGAAGAAGGCGGATGTCCCACTGCTGGTGTGCTCTTTATATCCAGAGGAACTGCCATATTGCTCTTGGCAGTTTACTGCGCATACCTTTGGTTTCAGGTATGTTTTAATTTCCATTCACTCCAATGTACTAATTTAAGGGTGCAGCTAAAATCTCATACCCAATTCTTTTGTGTCGATCGACCCGCGGGTTCAAACGAAGAAGCCAGCGAGGAACCGGAGCCTCGCATGAGCACGGTTGCCGCCGGTGTTGCGTATGTTTGTTTTAGTTATTTGCTACATCGTGCGCTCATACTTATCCATTAGACTTTTTTCGGTAACTGTCATCATCGCGTTTTGTGCTGAGTATCGTAAGTGGACCACTTTGGTCCTTTGATCCTACGTTTATTTGTTGTAGTGGTTGCCTCCATCGAGGAAACTGCAGAGCGCTATTCCATCCCGAAGAGCTTTATTGGTGTTGTCTTGTTGCCGATCGTGGTATGTTTCAAGCTGTCTCAGGTTGACCTGCCTGCCCACATTGTTTGTAGGGCAATGCTGCAGAACACGTCACGTCAATCTGGATGGCAATGAAGAATAAATACGAGCTCACAATCAGCATTTGCGTTGGGAGTTCGATTGTAAGTGCACATAGATTACTATTAGATAGTGATTGGACTGACTGTTGCGCAGCAAATTGCTTGTTTCGTCGTGCCCCTTCTTGTGATCGTCGGTTGGATGTACGATCAGAAATTGCATCTCGAGAAATACTGTTCTCACTATTGTTTTTATAGCGTCAATCAACCCCTCACGTTTCAATTCCAGAACTTCGAGGTCTGTTTATTCACATTCCGTGTGATTATCTAAGTTTCTAACGAATTATCAGACAATCGTTCTCTTCGTATCTGTCCTCCTGGTCAGCCTACTAATCATGTCAGTAGCTAGTTCCCCTTCGCCATCGAGACTTAACTGACTTGTTTCAGGGACGGCAAATCGAATTATATGGAAGGTCTCATGTTGCTTACCCTCTACGTGGTCATCGCCCTCGCCTGTAAGTTGTCCAGTCAAGCTTGCGATCACATTCTCATCGCATTTCAGTTTGGGTGGTCTAAAGTAATATGTGTACCATATTTATTGGGGGCAGATACATTAACATTCCCGACCTATCGCTCTCTGACACACTTCTTTAAATTTCTGTTTGGTCTAAAGTAATATGATGGTAGCTGCATTGTCATTGTCATCTCTCTCTCTAATACACTCCTTTAAATTTCCTTCGTGCGGCGGGCGCTAAGGTAGCCATTAACAGACTAATTTCTGCGACACCTCTTTCATCAAAACGTGTGGTAGATTGCACGATTTTCTCGAATATAGATTCATTGCGCCAAGCAAATGTGAAACGTCACTTTTCTGAGAAAAGGTTATCTCCCAGTCAAGAACACGCCCCTGGTCTGCTTCCAGTTCCTCCTACTCTGGAGAAACACCTGGGTAGAGTTCTCACCGACATTAAAGATGTACTTGGCAGAGTCAAAGGCTCTGTAACAGAGGATACGGTGCTGAGGACTGACGCATGGGCACTGATGATGATCGTGCAAGGAATGGTGCTGAAGAATAGAACGAGTGATTCGGGACTCTATTAGTATGTACAAATTACAGCGACATGTCCAGATTGCCAGCTTGACTGGTAAGACCGCTAGAAGATGTTAGACTAGTGGGACTCGTTAGTCTCCCTAGGCAAGCCACTTTCTTTCCTTCAGGCGCTGGTGAGCTGGCACTCTCTGTGCCTGTTTGCGATTCTTTCTCGCCCTGCCTCTTCTCGATGTAGCAGGGAGGACTGGTGCCGGGTGCCGGGGGTCCTGGCTCTAGCTTAAGAAGAACCGAAAAAGGCCCTGGGCTCGTTTAGATAACACGCTTCGCAATGACATCATGCTAAGTGCCAAAGCAACACTATTGCCGATTTTTTTTACTAGCATTTTTACCACGACAGCGCGCGCTCATCGTGATCGGCGAGGAATCCGGCCAGTTGTTCTAGATCTATGTAAGTATGATGAACTGAACAAGTGATAGACGCTTGCAGTACTAGTGTTGAACGTTGAATACTTGAAACACTGTCGCGATCTGAATCTTCACATCAGAAAGATGACGACCTCAAATTAAGTTTGCATGAATTGGTAAAAGGCAGCTCCACACCGTTTGTCATGGGATGATAGAACATGGGAAACTGCAGTGTATGTTCACTTCAGGATTTCTTCCCTTTCTAGTACAGACTTGTCAAGTTTTATAAGTATAGTCGTACGCGACGGAAACTGTTGTGTAGGGGTATGATGAGCTGTCACTCGTGCAGGCTTTGGACACATATCAGCACAGAGCGTGTGCGATAATGAAGCACTTACCAATCCTAGGCCATCCAAGACAGCTTCTACAATTCCAGCAGTGAATGATGAACAGCTGAGCTGGTTCATATCTTTAGGTACCGATATGTGGCGTTCGATCGGAGGATCATTGTCAATGATCATGTCTTGAGATGAAGATGGTTCAGTAGTCTGATAGGATGAACACGGCGATCATACATTCATCTTCATTCTCGACGCTCTTCTCTATTGCATCTGCGGGGCGTCCAAAGACCGCTCTCCACACTTGGGTGTGGATGGACATGAGAGCAGGTAGAAACCGAATTTCTCGTTTTGGGGCTTTGGACGAGGACTCCGCCCGCCAGACCATGAGCTCGAGGACTCGAGATCCGGCGCGATAACCAAGGGTGTTCAATCTAAGCGATGGGTACGTCAATTCATGGAGGCATGACAGTGTGTACTCACCGGCGCTCGAGATCATTTATTCCACTTACGCGCTTCTGCGTGTATTGGACGACCTCAGAGAAAAGAAAGGCAAACGCGGAGGCGGAGACCTCTGATGTCCGGGTTTTATTAAGGTTCCTATCATAGATATTAGGTCTAACGCCTGGTTTTGGGGTTCCAATGGCTGTGTTTATGGATGGTGCAGAAGGTAAAGAGAAACGTGTTGAACTTGCGGTTGGGGAAAGGTGTTCTACTGACGAAAGAGATGAACCAGATAGAACTGAAAACCGAGGATGAGGCTGTGTGTATTGCTGCATGGTGGTCGTAAATATTGAAATGCGGTAGCAGTATTACATAGTAGTACTTAGCTTGGCCTGCCAAGTGAGCTCAGTAGCCGACTTGTGTTCTCCCGATATAATCATGACCCTCCTAACCACTTTAGCAGAGTCCAACTATCCAGCTAGTCTATTGTCAGCTCGTGTATTACACGCTTCTCCTTCTCTCCCAGAGCTTTATTCATCCTCCCATAATACACCCCTCCTTAACAGATTGAAACGCAGTACCCCGCCTATGAACACTGCGGCCGCTCTTTCTTCTGTCGATCTACAGCACCATATTTACAACTCACTACTCGAGTCGCGCACAGCAGATGTCGCTTTGCATGTTCATGGCACTTGGGAGGCCATCTATAAGCTGCACCGCGTAGTCCTCATACAATCGGTTAGTTAAGCGCCCGTCTTCGCTTCGCTTCCCACTGACAGGTAGTACTCGCAGGGATTCTTCAGCTCGCTTTTCACAGCTGGCTTTCTTGAATCCTCTCCTAAACTTCGTAGCCATCTACGGGGACCTGAGGAAATTGACGTCATCTTCGATGACCGCAATATCACTCGTGCAGGTGTGTAATTCTCCCGATTTCAAATCACTCCACACTCATGCCTCTTCAGCTTTTGAGTAAGTTGTTTACATTTATTCAGTAACCTTTGATTGAAAAATTCAGGATATGCATCGCACGATTATATGGTGGAGGACCACCCCTATATGTCCCATCATCCCTCATCCCAAGCTCATCTCACCCACTCACCCCTGCTTTTTCTGGTTCCCCTCTACCTTGCGATACACCAAAGGGACATCATACCGCCAGCCCTAGACTCTTGCTCTCACTTCTGGCCACAGCAGTTTATCTCTCCATACCGTCCATAGCATCACAGGCCGTCAACTGCATCATGAACACAATCGGACCGTACACCGTCATTCCTTACCTCAACTTCGCTATCGGTAAACCGGTTGATACTTGTCCTGACAAGGAAGCCGAAGCAGCAGTGGGCCTGGAGCACATTGCACAGCCAGTCACCCATGAGAGTCGCGCATCCAGTACATCGCGTTCTCCACTGCGCATATCAGGTACCAAGCAGGATCCTGCTGATGACTTGTCCGATAAATTACAGGATTTAGATGTGCAGAAAGAGGATCCTGCAGAATCCGAGGCGGACTCTGAACCAGAGGATGCGCCGATCCGCGAACCTCACTTCCATTATGGTTTATTATCAGACAAGATTGGCGAGGCTGCGGCATGCTGGCTCGCGCGGTGGGGCGCGGACATGTTTGTCCATGAAGAGAAAGCATCTCTTGGTCCAGGACTCCCTGCTACCCCAGTCCCCGTTCCTGTACATGTTGTGTCGTCACGCAAGAGGGCCGATACCATGCCCACCAAGCCTTCACTTCACAGCGAGCCTACTGTACCAGAACCACATGTGGTCCCCGTGATCTGGACAAGGGGTGGCTTGAATTCGAAGTGGGTGCGGCAGATTCTAGGCTCCGATTTATTGTTTGTGAAAGGAGAGAAGGAACGGTACGAATTGGCTTGCGCTGTCGTCGAACTTCGGAGAAGGCAGGGCATTGATGAGGAGGAAGAGAAAGACTGGGAGATACTGTTCCGTGAAGGCATCTACTATTCCAATATGGTAAAGACACTTCCCTTTAACCGCTCGCTGCGGCACACTCACAAATACCTACAGCACATGGACGATATCATAGCAACGTCGCAGCACATCTCTCCCACCACTGGTCGACCATATGTTCCCATTTCGGTTTTACAGGAAGCCCATTGGGATCAGTCATTATTGCGATGTCAAATCACAGCCAAACCCAACACAACCACTTCTCCCTCATCCCCGTCCTCGAGCCCTCCACCTTCGCGAGAGAAGGAACTTGGGTTGCCCATCACGACTGCAGAGATTCTTGCTCGATTGCCAGCTCCGAACTCTCCACTACATCCAGCAGATGACAAAGGCAAGCCATATTATCCCGTAGCACATGATTCATCCGTACGCATTGGTGATAGTGGGGGCATCGAAGGTACTTCTATGGACCAACTCTTCGAGCCACCTCCACCATTGTCCAGTCCGAGCGCGGAGGGCAAGACGCCCGTTCGTGCAACAACTTCGGAGGCTACTTTCTTCGGTCTGAAGTCAGAGCGACAAACCGCATCTGGCTGTATAGCATCTGACGCCACGGGCAAAGCGCGGTGGTCACCCTACCCTCCGTTCAGGTTTGCAGTGGAATTCTGGGATATCGACGCACTGAAGGAGAAGTCACGCTTGCACTCACAAACGATCTGGTACGCGGGAAGTTTGTTCAATGTATACGTGCAAGTTGTTCGGAAGAAGGGCATTCAGCTCGGAGTGTATCTTCATCGACAATCGCACATTGATCCTATTCCCGCACATTCGGCGCCATTGACATTCAATCGTGTGGAACATACACACAACAGAATACCATCATTACCACTTACTGCATCGCAGTCCTCCCCCTCCATTCGCCCTCTATCACGAAGTACGACACCTAATTCAAACCCATCGACATCATCCGGTCTCGTTACGTCCTATCCCTCTTTCCCCAGCACCATTCCAGCTACCTCACCTCCCGTTGCTCCAGTGCAACCATATCGCGACCCCCGACCTGCTGTTGCAGCTTACTTCACTATTTCTTGTGCCAGTTCTACCGGTTCATCTATTACGAGATTTACGAGCGTCCCGGACGTGTTTTCAGTCAGCCAGAGTTGGGGTTGGAAGTCGAGCTCTTTGCGGACCGAGGATATTCTAGAGATCGGCCCGGATGGGCAACCTGTCAAGCCTACAACTCCAGCCCAGAAATTGAACAGCCTCCGCGCCACCATTGTTCTGGGCATCGTCTAGACTTGGTTCAGGGCCCCGGATTTATAATGGTTATATATGGATTTTTTGCCAGGGACCATTGCTATATTTGCTATCACTTCATGATGTCACATTCCATCTATGTATTTAGTGCGTTTGTTCATCGTCTAGTATGGAACATTGCACCTAGTCTTATTATGCATGCTAATGATAATCTGATTTATGTACTCCACGCTTAAAATATGCTTGTGACCAATGTGAATCACTCCGTCCTTGCAGTTGAGAGAAGCCTCTATCGGAAGGTTGACGGTTGTATCGATAAATAGATGTCTCCGACTCGCTGAAGATTTTAAATAAGACAGTCCCTTCATAACCTACACCAAACCGTCCAATATTCTGAAACACAATATTCCCCAAATCACATCTCATCGTCACAACGGTGGTCAACTTCACCAGAGAGACTATCAGTTGAACTGACTAATCCTTCTTCGTCGCATATCGTCTTTGCAAAACAAACATCTATCATGCCTGCTCGGCGCAGGTCGACCTCCGTGGGATGCTTCACATCTTCCAGGACCTCACTAATAGAGGCTGAATGATGACCCAACCACAGGAGTTGCAATGCACTTATATTTGGGATGGCAGCCTGACTGCCATGTGATGCATCGAATGCCCTTGTCATGTGTAGCGTCAGTCCCAGCGTGACCACCGATGCAGATGCCGCCAACGACAACTAGAATCATCTTCGAGAAAATTGTCATTGCCTAGATATCATCATAAACTCACAGGAAGAAGGTTAATCTACAATATGTTTCATCGGTCAATTAGAAATGAGTTCCGTGCAGTTCAAACTGACATTGAGGCGTAGGGCAATAAACTACTCATTGACATTGGACGTTCTATTGCTAGGTTGAAGTCCTCCACTGAATGTGCTGATTCGGCCCGCTGAGCATGTGAGTGAGAACAGAGCGTGGTTTGAGAAAGTAGAACAAAAAATGATCCCGTACCTATCCAATGAGTTGTGCAGCTGCACTGCTGCAATGCCTCACGTACAGTTTGATTCTAGGTACATTGTGTTGCTAGTTGGCTTAATTCTCTCCGCTGAACAGTTACAATGGGGTGGTTCGCTTCCTCCCATTTCTAATTTCACTTTGAGACCGGACGAACTGGAAATGGCTGTTGTGAAAGTAGTTAAATTTAACTCATCCATAATCGAGGGTTCCATGGTATATTGAGTTGCATCTTGAAATGAATTCCCGCTATTGACCGCCACAGACAGAGCCGCGCCAATCTGGAATAGACAGTGGATCATTGAACTTTCGTAACCTCTCAAAATGAGTGCTGTGTAACGCACACCTGCTTGCCAAGTGCTATTCATCCACTGATACAATTCCCATCGCGTGGATGGCTGCCAGATGGGTACGGGGCTCAGTAGACTGTTGGTTTGCATATCGACCACCCCATCTGTACTGTTGGCTGACGCCGAGTATAGCACATAGTAGACATATGGAATGACAGGCACAGACGTATTGGTGAAAGCTACAAAATATTTTGTAATCATGGCTGCATTACAAACAAGTAAACGCACGTTGATATTCCCAACTCATGTTTACAGCAACCTCCTCTTGTACCAAAGGCTCGATCTCTAATAATATAGAGACCACGAGTAAGATATTAGGCACCACATTATGAGGCTATTGTACAACAGTCGCTCAGCTTCCAGAATCAACTCGAACTATCTCGGAGAAGTCTTACATCTGAGGGATCTCTTGAAGTACTTGTGTCTGGTCAGACCCTGCAAAGATTTCCCAGGGCGATGAAAATATCCCGCAACCACGACGCACAGGGAGTGCCCGCATCCACGCGGAGAGAATAATTTCCACCATATAACACTGAATGGAGCGCTTGCTGTAATTGGGGATCAATCCGCACCGCGAGGTTATGGTCGTTGCATTCGCAGTTGCATTTCCTACGACAGAACTTGTTTGAGGGATATTGTAAACTGTGTTGGATAACCCTGCAGTCACCAGTCCAGGGAATTGATTGACAACGCGGTGATGGATCCCCAATTCACACTAATGGAGTCCGTTAGGTCATTTGGCCATCCTAATATTGTCGGCACAGAAGTCGGAATAGAAGTATTGAATGTTTGAAATTGTAGGAGAGTGGAGGAGGTGACATGCAGCACGGACATACTCGCAAGGTAGACCGTCACGGCAGAAGTCATCCACCACGAGGGGGGTATGTCAGTTTGTCGCCAGACGCTACTGAGTGCAGAGACGAGGCCCGCCCATGCGCCAGAGATGTCATAAATGGCAGTCAGTTTCAGACGGCGTACAAGTGCTCTTGAATTCGCAAGCCGTTGGGTAAGGAAGAGTAGAACAGTCGTGTAGATCATCTAGGTGAAGTCGTGAAATTGGTATGTCCTATAACATAAAATTGAACACGTACGGTGTAAAATGCTTGGAGTAAAGCACTCAGCACAACAGACCAAAAATCATTGTTCGTTGAGAAGGTCACACGGTGTTCCCGATGACGAACATAAAAGATAACAAAGACGATGTGCACTATGACCAGCGTGATACGCAGCGTGTAATATGAGCGTGCAGAGAACAATCCGTCACTTGCATTTTCGGAGGGATTTTTCGGATGCTGAGGGGGGGAAACGTAGTTGTTGGCATGCAACAGTAGGGAGTCAGTCGAAAAGATGACATACCGAACCAAGTCCTTGGCGGCTGAACATTAACAGCGGGATGCTTGCTATTTGTGGCTGAGATGAACAAGGGACTTAGTGATATTATCAAGGTAAGCGAAGGAATGAACAGTCCACTTCGAATACACCTTTTTACGGAGACATAGGAACTACTACTGGTTGGATTGCGCGAATAATTTGGATCGGTGAGAGTACGTACCGTGTGCCAAACGACCAACTGTATGTGCAATATATTTATGTCGCAACAGGCTAACGCCACGATGGCAGATGGGATCAAATACTGATCTTAGTAAAAAAAAAACAGGTGAACAAGGTGAGACAGTGACAGTATGAAACCAGAAGATGCGCAAACGCGACGCTCGCTGGAGCCCCTCGAGTGCTCTCGGATTCAGAATATTTGTTCTGGGTAGCTCTGGGCGTGCCTGGTGCCAATCTTTGGTCAATCTGCTTCTGGGTTCTGTCAAAGATGGCGCAACACCGTGCAAGTTCGGCGGATATCACGTGATTTCACACTCAAGGCAGCTTCTCGACTGACAAGGTTCTCTTCTTCAGTTTTAAGATCACTGAGACCATGTCCAAAGGCAAAGGCAAGGAAGTTGAGCCTACGGTGCTCCTCCCACCAATGTCCAATCCTTCTGCTGGCAGCGCCAACCCTTCTGCATCTCTATCCTCACTCTGGGGATATCTACTCCCAGCACTAAACCACATCGTCCGCTCGCCCTCAAACTCAACAGAAAAAGCGCCCGTCATCGACGTTTCATATCATATGGGCATACACACAGCAACGTACAACTATTTTACGATGCAAGTCGAAGCTGTCAGCACCAACAAGGAGCGCGAGAGACTTACACCGAGCGGGACGGATTTATATGAACATATCGACAAGTACTATGCGGAAGTCGCTCGGGAGCTATTACTCGGAGCTCCAGAGGATGATTCGTCGCTGATCCATTACATCGTCCCGTGTTTCAACCGCTACGCCGCTGGCGCACACTCCGTGAACCGTCTCCTCAATTATGTGAACCGACACTATGTGAAACGCGCCGTTGACGAGGACAGAGGCTGGCTCACTTTGAACGATATTTTTGATGCTGTTGCGAAAGCTATACAGGATGGGGATACGAAGGAGAAGATTGCGAGTAAGCTGAAGGAGAGGCGGACGGAGGAGTTGAAGAAGTGGGGGTGGGATGAAGGGGGGACGAGCGAGCAGCTTGCGCAGGCTGAATCATGTGCGGAAGCGGCGAGCCCGCTTGACCGTGTCATACCCCTTTCTGCGCTGGCGCTGCGACGATTTAGAACGGAATTTATGGAGCCTTTGTTGGCTGTCCCAAAATTGAAGGGGAACAGGAGGAAAAAGCCCGGGGCTCGTGCAAACGGGAACGCGTCCAATTTACCCAAGGGGCGCCTTGCGAGAGCTGTTAAGGAGTTGCTAGAAAAGCAAGATGTGGATGTGGAGGAGAGAAAACGACTGGTGACAGAACTTGCAAATGCACTGCGTGTTACTGGCGTGCGTGATGGACATCCTCTACGGAAGAAGGTGGAGAAGTATTTGATGACGGGAAATGTATAGTAGCTTGATCTCAAACAGGTGGACTTGGATCACGACAGGAAATGAGACGATTATCCAGCACTGTTGGTTAAATGTGCATATCTATGTGCGTAAGGGTATATATGTTCACGCAGATATCTAGAGGTTTTATCAGGAGGAATTCAGTATCTGGCTGACGCTACTGCCTGCCAAACCATTTCTGGGCATATCAAAATGCGCGGTAACACTGCTCTCGCCTCCCCATTCGCAAAGTCCCAGTCCATCTCCCATCGAAATTTTGAATGTCAAATGTGACAACTTTTGTGATGGATCAGCCACGGTGAGGTTGCCCGTCTCTATGCGGTAGATGAAAGCAGCCTGAGCACTTGATTCGATCCTCATAGGACCGTAGATCACGTCGGTGAACGTGAACGAACCGCCCGATGTGTCCCAGAAGACACCAAACACAGTGTCTTGGTCTTGGTCCAAAAGAGCGCTCACAGAAGCATTGTTCTGGATCTCCGTCAAGTTGGTGGACGCGCGTTTGAGAGTGAAGGTGCTGTAGTCAACCGCAGGGTATACAGTGTAAGAGATGGGGGCGCTGAGGTCCTTGTGGTGCAACCAAGCAGCGAACAACTCGACTGTTTCTTGACCAGTCCAGACACCTGTGCTAGACCAGTCACCAGTCCTGTTGCCCCATTCGACGGATAGTTCGTACGTTCCGTTGGCTGCTTGGAACTCATACCCGACGTCGCCGTGCCACAAGGTGTGGGGATCTGTGAAGTTCCCCCCGAAAGTCCCCATACCATCAACAAACACATTATCTTTGAAGCGTCTCTGGTCGAGGACAGAAAATACAGGAGCATCTGTCTTCGAGGAGATATTGGCGATCATCACATATTGAACATCGTTCTCGAGGAAGAACCATGTCTTTTGCCATGACAAGGACTTGGTCATGGGGTTGGTGAATCGCATCGCTGCGACGCCAACTTGTCCGTCGCTGACACCGCCGACAAATGCCTCCTTTCCGATATATTTGGTATGTGCGCAGTCGAGAACTGTGGCGTTGTAGTCGACGGTGATACCTGGGATGAGGTTCCAGTCCCAGGCAGCGGCTATATCTTCGTACTCATCGCCTTCGATGTATGTGTAAACGACGCCATCGGCGAGATGGAAACCAAGAAGCTATAAGGCATAAGAGCAATGATTGTGATGGGAGGGAAGGACCTTACATTCTGTGAGTTCGTGCACTCCGTGTTTCGGGTTCTTGTTGAGTACATCTTGAGAGACGTAACATAGCCTGAACCTCGATTGACCTAAGTAGGAGTATTTTCAGTGACTTGGATGTAGGGTGCTCAGGGACGGCTCGACCTACCATGTAATCATTGTCGAAGAACATACGGTTTCCAATCAATTCTCCCGCGTTTGCATCGGTTGTATTCGCCGAAAGACTTTTCGCGTAATTAATGAGAACGTCTGAATTCCATTGCTCGCCAAGTTCTTCCACCTTCGAGAGGTTCGTTTGGATACTAGTAGTAGCTCTATGCCAGAGGTTAGTTCAGTTGGATCACGTCAAAAGACGAATACCTACGCGCCGGCAACCACTGGCTGGCTAATAAAGCGACCCACTACGCTCTATAGAAACATACATGAGAAATACTCAGTAGTCGTCGCTGAGACTTACAAGATCCCAGTGCAGAACCTTGACACGGCCGCTTAGTTTTTTGTCGCTGGGCAGAAAATTCATACACGAACCTCTGTTTCGACATTACGATTTACCATCCAGCGATCTCCGTCGTACAGCGTCTCAAGAGCAGCTTTCTGCTCATCGCCAGCAGCGAATTGAGTTCCGGCTGCTTCGATCTCGAAATCAAGAACGTCGTTCGAGCTATCCAGCGCATTAAAGATATGCGCACAGAGTAAATAGAAATGTTTTGCGTACAAGACGTTCCCGTAGTTACCATTGTAGAGCAATCCGAGGTGTTGGCCGAAGGAGCCGTCCGACTGGATCTATAAGAGGCACTCGGTCAAAAGATTTGCACACTGGGGCTTTGAAGGCTTACCCCATCAACTTGTATACTGATATTTTGCTGAATGGCGAGGGTGTTGTGGACCCTCCTGTATGCGTCCGTGACCAAAGAAGTATTGATCACGAGGAGACCTTGATCCACCCCGATTTTAGCCATGTCCAGAATGTTTGCTCCAGCCTCGAAGCTATATCCGTGATCAAAAGCGCCGTACGCACGCAGGGAGATGTGGCTACAGTTGCTTAACTGTGTCTGTGTCAAAGTGTCGTTGAGGAGAAGACAAGATTCTGAAACGAGACCAGGGATGAGGATGACCTGTATGTGATGTTATAAGCCCTTGGAATGCAGGGATGCAGCTTTTCTTAAGACGCACGTTGTCATACCAGTTCGTGTTCCAGTAACCGGGTGTGCCACAAGGACAGCTGTCGGTGCCTCCTTCAACAAGACAGCCTATGTTCGTGAAGTCGTTGTTAAACCAGTAGTCCATAGCGCTCCCGATAGCTGTGAAAAGCGTTGAACTGTTGACATATTGATCGTAGCCTTGGAGTCCTCCATGCCAAGCAGCAGCCATTGTACCTGTAGAGGAGCAGCTGTTAGTATACTTGTGCCATGTCAAATAACTCGAGCAACTGACTGATGCGAACCCAGTGATTTGCAGCTGGCCAGTTTGCTGGCCGACCATCACATCCTGTTGCGTAATCGATGTCAGAGTCCGGCCATTTACCATTTGCCTGAAGATCTGTGAGCCTAAAGCAGGGGTGACTTTAGCATGTTGAAGTAGCTTGAAGAGAGAAACGAACCAGGTTGATATATTGCTCGGGTCGCCTGTTATGCTTTCTATGATCGAGTCCAACCTTCGAGAGTGGATGGTGGTGATGTCTTGCAAGGTGCTTGAATTTGCTGTTTGAGTTGGATTGCTAGCAGGTGCACTCGCGGTAGACGTGATAGAACTCGTAGACTGAATACTTGTGGTAGAGACGAGAGAAGCTGAAGGGGTAGCAATTCCGCTGCTACCAGTGGATGCTTGAGAAGCAGACTCGGGCACATCTCTTCATTTGCACCATTAAACACCACCGAAATAAGACGCGACGAAGAACTAACCTAGCTACCTTTGGAGCCTGACCAAATTGCCTCGGTTTTCCTAGATGACGAGCTCCATGTCGATGAAAGGACCCAAGAAGGCCATTATGTCCTTCTGCAGCTTCTGCAAGATTCGCTACACACAATAGGGAGGTGTAAACGAATGAACGAAGGACCACCATGACTGTCCACGGATATCTGCTGTAACGAACCTCATCTTTATTTTATATGAAGTATGCGAAACGAGGATTACCCGGTGGCTAACACTATATGCAGCGCCAATTTTGGAAATATGCCGTAGGATGCGCGTTGCACCAATCAGAGGGCTCAGAGTCAACGTACACGTTTATGCGAAGTTCGGCAGTCAGCCTATGCGAATCGCCGTGAAAATTTGAAGTGTGGCTCAAATGCGGTGGAGCCTGGCGAAGCTGTTCAGTTACCTTTTGGGAGGACTACACTCGCCTCATGCCAAAGACTGACAGGAGGATGCAGACAGTAGGCCATGTAGTTAATTGATCATGACCCGAAGTAAGGTAAAAGGTCATTATTGCTAGCGATATGAATGACAGCTGGTCTGGGAATGTCCATCCTGATTCTTGATAGCTTACTATGTCATCAATATCATCAACTTAGAAAATTCGAACAATGTGCATTACTGCAAGTGAACAACGACTTTCACGATGTAGGTTTTGACCCGTCAGAGCTGCCCCCACTCTGCCCCATGTCCAGCAAAGCCTGCATATCCATCAAGTTCATATCCGAAGACTGATGGAAGAAGGAAGGGTCGAAGTCAAGGGCAGACAAATCGAAATTTCCGTCCCCATCCGGAAGCTGGTGAGTTGTTCCATCTGACTGAGAAGCATCGAAGCTAGCGAGAATTGCACTGGGGGAAGGCGCTACATTTCCAGGATGCGCATTCTGGACTCCAAGCGAGGGATGTTGCCCAGATTGCAGGGCGTTGGCGTCTGATGGTCCGAAGACGTCATTACCGTGGTTGTTATTATCCACTGCTGATAGTGCGCCAAGCATTTCCATGTCGAGTCCGCCTTCTTGGGACTCTTTTGCGGGGTTTGAAGCACCGGCGTCAGGGGTGACGGGTGAGAATATCCCTTCTACCCCACTGTTCTCTCCAGAGCCTGCCTCAGCTCCATCTCCAAAAAGGTCTGTCATGGTTGATATTTCCATGTCGATGGAGTCGAGATCGAGCTCGATGGGTTTGTCTACTGAGTTTCCCAGGGACGCATCGACAGGAGGCATAGGGGGATCATCATCGGCAGTTAAATCAATGTCAACGTGCTGTGAAGAACTAGCAAACGCAGCCATGAGGTCTAGCTCCGTTTGAGCTGAAGGCCGTGCTGATTTTGGTGCAAGGGATACCGGAGACGGTAAACTCTGGGAAAATAAAGCGGCTTCTTCTGCGGACATGCGGAGCGAAGATGAGGAGAGGTCAAGTTTGAGAGGGAATGGGGGGCGGTGCAGGGATGATAGGGAGATAGTAGATCCGCGGCGAGTGGGATTGGAAAGACCCTGGGGAGGAGATGCTTGAGCCGGAAGAGCTGGTGGACCCATGACGACATCCGTGTTAACATCCAGTGGAGGCAAAGGAACTTTGCGTGTGGTTGGAGATTCTGAGGTAGATTTGGAACGAGTACGAGAAGCGATCGCGGCATTCTCTGCTTCGCGAGCGCGACGCTGCTCTCTAGCTAGGTCTCTCTCTAGCACAGCTATTGCTCGAAGCTTTGGATATTATTGGAAGACGCACCTCGATTTGAAGCGGTTAATAACTCACCAAGCGCGACTCCATAACATCGTATAGTTGATCGAATTTTTCGACCTCGCGTCCGAGCGAATCTGTCAAAGATCGAGGTGGATATGGAGCATATCTATTGATACCACTGCGAATAAGAATTAATACTACATGGTAATAGTTGGCAGCCATTGAGTCACGCACAGTCTTCGTGAATCGGCATGAAATGAATAAATCTGAGCGGTTCTTACCACGGCGTTCTATCAAAAGACTGAGATAGCGCCAATAATTTTTCGAGAGATTATACCTTTAAGCAATCCATGAGCGCGTTCATTTCAGGCTCGAGAATGGCCATGGCTTTTGGTGGTACGGATGGAGGGAGCATCGCAGTATCCTGTTGAGCGACTTTTGGTTCTATTGACTTCATCTGGGGAGACGCGCTGTTTGGCGCCTTTACGACTTTACGTGGTTTTGGCTTCGGCGGCATGAGAACGTGCGCAAATGCTATTTCTGATTCTGAGAAGGCAGTGAAACGGGACAAAGATATGTTACTCCCAGAATGGTAACAGGTCTTTACAAGCAGCACCCCGACACTAGACGGAAGCCATCATATGCTTATAGGACATGTCCAACAGCGTCAATGATACATTACAAGCCAGTGTCAACGTCGACCACATTGATGGACAGGTACGTTCACAAACACTGCTTACCCTTGTTCTTTAAACGTCGTACAACCAGGACTCTTTTCAAAGGCGTTTGCGTCATATAACGTCCATTCAAATTCGCAACCTGACACCTTTTCCTGTTCGAGATGCATTTACTTCTGCTCTCGCCCGTCCCGCTGAATATTCCCAATTCACGCCTTTGGGAAACCTCTCAGACGATCTTGATGTAACCCTGTCTCGCAAACGCTCGAGAAGGATCTCCACAACCTCTGTGAATACCCTTCGAAGTGCTCGCATAGATGATCATGCTTCAATATTGGACGACGGCGACGGGAGAGGTCGTCGGAAGAGCCCTCTCCAAAGTCAGTTTCTCAGGCGGGAGCGCAGAGCCCACGCAAAGGAGCAACGCTATCTCTCGTACCATTTCAACCAGTGGTACCGCACCCACGATGAGACCAAGTCACCGCGTGCGCACTAGCTCCATGGTCTCGTCCCTTAGTGCATCTACAACTACCTTTCTCTCCACCTCGAATACGCAGGCCCCTTCCTACCTTGACTACAGTTTCATCTTCATCTTTATTCTTCGATTATTCGCAGAGGACATTGGAGAAAGTTGTTCAATCCCGCCTCGTGGAAACATTCATTTCAATCACTGTTCCAGACTCTCCGGATGTTTTACCATGCCCTTCACCGTCGCCCACCACGCAACGAACTCGCGCTGAAAGTGCTCCACGCGCACGCTCCTCCACCTCCAATGATATAGCCCCTCTTAATTCGGCGACCTAGTGGGCGCAAAGCTTCCAAAATGTCACGTCCGAATAGTACGGATACCTCCAAGGCTCCATCCTTACCCCGACCAGAACCTTCCTCCTCAACCCGTTCCTCTTCCTCCCTCAGGAAAGGTACACCGCCAGTCAAAACAGCAGGGACGTCCCTTACACCACGAATGGTTCCTAAAACACACAAGCCCTCGGCTTCTGTCCCACAGAACCTCACAGCGAGCCAGCTGCCGTCACCCCCAGCTTCTCCAGCGTCTCCAGAACCACCTCCGTTTCGCGCCGTACCGAACTACATATCCCCCATCCACCAGCCCTCGACGAACCCTTCTTTCGTGATTGATGCACGGTCGGAATCTGAGTTTGCTCCGTGGACGGATTTAAGTGCCGATACTGTGAATATTGAGCTCTGGGCGAAGACATGTCGTCACCCTACCGGTGGAGCTCCACTCGAAGGCAAAGGAAAACAGAAGGAGATGTCGGTAATTGATCCCACTACAGAGGGAGCTGAGTGGACCGTCCTGGAGAAATGGAATATCACCCTTACAGACCTTGTCCCGCTGACACTTGAGGTATGCGGACCGAACTCGTTGTCTCATGGTTTCTAATCACTCAATTAGCTCGAGGCTCATCCCTCACGCCTGCCCATCCAATACCCTTTTCATATCATTTTCCACTTGCGCACAAACATACTACCTGCCCACTCGTTCAATTTCGGGGACACATCCACACTCACGCTCTCCTTCTCCAGCTGCCTACACCTCTGAGCCAGAGACAGAATTACGGAAGTTCGGACACTCTGCCGACCCGGCTACAGCAACACATTTTCATCTCACCCGAACGCCTTCTGAACAGCCTATCAGACCGCGCAGATCCCGCAGGACAGGTGCCAGAACTGCGAGTTCACAAGATTTACTGCAGTCAGTACTGCTTATGATCAATATGTTATGTTCCTTTTGACATCGCAGTCCAGGCTCGTTACACTCCGGTCATGCATCGTCGACCACGAGGAGTCGCTTGCGGACGTCATTCGGCAAATAGACAAAGCATTGGCCGGTGATGTCGTTGCAATATTGGTACGTGTATAATGTGTTTGGGTTGTTTCCCGCGAACAATTGTAAATGCAATTGCAATAGAAACGGGAGGCTTCGGAACGCCAAGCGCGTATCGAAGATCGACAATCTGAAGCAAACGAGATCTTGGAACGGGCTTGTCTGTGTGAGACCCGTATGATCGCCGATAGTCGTATCTCGTGCTCATTGTTTTATAGTACGTCAAGATATTGCTTCTCGGCGCAAGGACATAAGACAGCGGAGAGATGTCCTTGCGACTGCTAGGTTGATACATGCTGAAGAGCAGGCTAGCTACCAGCAGACTGCCGTGGAAGTTGCTGAGCAGAAGTTTGTCTTTCTCCGTGCTGATGTTAAGTGGAATCTGAATGGAAATGTGCAGGCGAGGTCTTGATGCCCTTCGGAGCCGTCTTCCGCCTATACGAACGTCCTTGATCTCGACGCTGTCAAGAATATATCCTATTGAGCTGCTCTCTCCCTCAGAGCTTCTATTTACCATCCTCACCATTCCGTTACCGATCCCTTTCAACGCTACCGAACCTGCCCCGCCATTGTCGCTCGCTTCACACAAAGAAGTGACTGAAGATGCAATAGCTATCGCGCTAGGTTTTGCTGCACAGCTAGTGCAGCTCCTTGCCATCTATATGGGCAAGGGTCTCACGTATCCTATCACCTGTATAGGGAGTCGGAGTCTGATCAGAGATAACATTTCCGCCATGGTTGGTCCCAGAATGTAAACTCGATGCCTCGTGCACTGGTGTGGGATCAGCTGACATGATGAATTAGGTTTCCTCTGTTCTCGAAGGGCGTTGACACCTATAGATTTGAGTATGGTGTGTTCTTGCTAAACAAGGACATCGAATTGGTAAGCCCTCTTGTGAGTTATGTCGGTCGGTGTCTGACCTTTGCCGGCACTGGCAGCTTATGGCAGATAAGGATTTGCGAGCCCTGGACATGCGACACACACTACCTAATCTGAAAAACTTGCTCCTGACACTTACTGATGGTGAATGTGCGAGCATCCAGTGAGTCAAGTCTTTGCACCGTGCTTGTACCGTCTGATTTGTTTATTACAAGCAACTCTCGGGTATTCGATTCGCCAGCTTCTTCCGGCCTCGCGACACCCCCACGGGCACGATCGCCGCCTCCTGCGCTGGTGCTCACACCCGTCAGTCCAAAGGCTAGTCCACGCGAATTGCCTGCAGACATAGAGGCCGAGAGTACAACCCCAACCGAGAGCGGTGCGACGACGCCCACAGCAACTGCTCCATTTACCGAAGGGGGTAGTACCTTCTCTCGTTATTCGAAAATATCAATTGGATTTCCGCCCCTACCGGGATTTTTACGTTCGCGGAACGCTTCTGCCATCGGTCGGGCGTCGGTGAGATTAGACCCTGAGACCGATGAAGAAGCACAAGATGGAGTCCAGGGTGCGCCGTACAGGGTTGGCGGCTCCGAATTTGAGGATGGGGGAGGATGAGGAGGATCGACGAACTATTCGGGGGGTTGTTGTTGATTGTGGTGAGGGTAAGGGTGGTGAGTCGGAGGCGAGGAGCGTTATTAAGGGGCCGAAGGAGCCGATGGAGAAAACTGTGGATGACGCTTCTGCGGTTGCACCATGCGCTGTGGTTGCGCGTGCTTCGTAATGCTAACGGTGATTGTCCGGGAAGCGGACGTGTGTCACGTTTTATATGAATTCTGACATATCTTAATGAAGGCGAGCTTTGCAGGACTTTTAATGGACAGATTTTGTTCTCCTAAGCGCGTTTTTTCAAAAGTTCTGGCGCCGTGACTGGTCGGCCACTGATCCGAGCTCCGCAAAAGGACCGCGGGCGGCAAGAAGGTTAATGGGCTTCTGGCACAATTTTGGCAGCCTTACTTAGTATGCAACGGCAGAGGGACGCTAGCCGCAGCCGGTGCATTGAGATAACGTAGTATCGAGCATAAGCTTACAATTCGATCGTCGTGAAGGGTCTAAAGCACAATGGAAATTTAGACTTCTCCGGTCAAATATGCTGCCAATGCAGCGCATGTCGACTCTGAATCTGGCGGGCTTGTAAAGTATTATGAACACATTTTAGCAATGGAGAATGAGCGGAGGAAGGAGGATTTTGAGAGTTGGATGAATTGAATACTTATGGAGGATCGGCGATTACGAAAGAATAGGTGCAAGTGCCGTCAAGGTAGGTCTCGCTGCCGTTCGCATCGGACTTTTAAAAAGCGGGGTCCTTCCGGGATTTTTGCTCTGGCAGAATCACCCACGCCGGCTAGCGAAGTGCCTTAAATACGCTGTTCATAACTACTCAAACTTCACCGTTCTCCCTTCAAGTTTTCCTCGTCAAAAAACTGGAGAATTGAAAAAAGGTCCTTGACTTCGTCTTATACGACCTTCCCAGTCTTGCTCACCTTTTCGCCATATAGCCTACTAAGCCGCTTTGTACCATCAATCCATATAGACGGGCTTAAAATTGGTTTGCAGGTCGGTATTTACAATGCGCTCCACTTTATTTTGTTTCATCTGACGCACTATTATTTGCTTCAGGATCTTTGTGTGCAACTAGGCTTATTTTTCTAATCTCTTGCCGCTTTCCTCGATCTGTTTTCTGTCATTCACACCTTTGGAACAAAAGCTGTCCACCTTTTTTGCTATTCGCAATGATTACCACTGAAAACATTAATAATTCCACCGATAATCGCTCCTCAGACGGGAGAAAGCAGAGTCCTCCTGCTTTCCTCGATCTTGCAGACTCGGTTAGTCCATTTTTCATCATTCCGTGGTCTCACTTTTCCAATAATTTATTGTATTATTTAGGCTGCGAGACTGGGTACTAATATGCCAGATATGTCGGCTGTGAGTATTCTTCACAAGTCTCTTCCGTTATCTTTCTCTTTTAGTTGACCTTCCGTCCCGAAGCGCGTCGAGCTGAAGCGCCTGGAGCACGAGCGTCAAAGGTTATTACAGCGGAAAATGTTCGAGGATCAAATGCGCGCGCTCGAGCAACAGCAGGCGCAGGAGTTGCTTTGCATTCCTTATGACCCGACTGGTTCAGCCCATATTGCGGTCTCGGCGCCAACCACTCCTCCAAGGGTTACTGCGGTTTTGAATGGCGACAATCTTGTTAGGGCGGCTCTCTCTCACTCTTCGGTGGATGCGGAAACGCTTTCAAAGGCTGTTGGTTCTGCGGTTGATAAGAGAAAGTCGGTCACTTATGCGCCTTCTGTTCATCGGTCCCCAGAGCTTGGGTCTGGTCATGGAATGAATGGTCATTATGGAAGATCTGCTGGAGCTAAAAGTATGCCTGCGAGCCGTCGCACCTCCGCTAGCAGTCACGACGAGGAACTTGCTGGTCACTTTGCAAGGTCTCTCCTTAGCTGGAGAACGCCCATCCCGGGCGACGCCCAGCCCTGGCGCTGTAGCGCATTCACTCTTGAACCGTGGCAGATACGGTGATGAGGAGCGCCCTCGTGGCCAGCAGTATAATGTAGGAATGATGCTTGACGAGCAGTTGGACCAGGAAATGCACAGTAAGTATTGTCTATGTCTTTGTTTCCTGGTCTCATTGTTCTTAGATGCAATGAGGCATCTCCCGACCTCTGACGAGGACAAGTTCGCATCTTATGCCAACAGGGTACTTGACCTGCGTTCTCTGTTACTCTAAACTGACATCAAATCGCAAGATTACCACCTCGTCGGCTGCCCTGGATCTGGCACATCGCTCCCAGACATCGCCAAGGAATTCATTCTCCGCAAGGGGCGACAAGCACTCTGAGTGGCCACAGTTCTCGAACAACCCCCGCGTGCCTGACGGTTTGAGCTCCCGTAACGATCGGCGCACTGTCACCAACCCAACATTGACGCTGACGTCTTCCCCCATTGGTTTGTCTACTACCAATACCCTTGGCGGTGGGGCATCTAATCCCCACGCAGGTCAGCACGCGCAAGTGTCTCTTGGGTCAAACGGACAAGCACCTACATCCAGACGAGGCTCTCCTGCCATGAGCACGACGCGCTCAGTACCAGCTACGCCTATGTCTATGGCGAACGGTGGCAATGGGCATCTGCTGCAGACTCCCGGTACCCCTCACACTCCTGATTCCCAGGCGTTAAGCGGCCGTCTGTCTTCGCAAGGTAGTTACCCGCTGGGCGAGGACTCTGGCAAGAGCGACATTCAACCTTCTCTCTCGCGCATGTCATCTGGCCAGTATGACAACGTTCCGATGGGTTATGATTACGGCGTCGACGGTGTTTATGGGTTGAACGGTCAGATGGACAGCGGTCGGTTCAATTCGTATGATCTCGACTCGAGCACCCGGTCTAGCACCAGTGCCAATGGTACGAGCGGCTCGACCGCCCTTTACCACCACAACGGCACGCGATACGGTCTGCATATTGGCCGTACTAATGGCGCTGATGGAAAAATGAACGGCATGCACGGCCCCAAGCACAAGAGGGGCGACATGGACCGTGAGGATATTAATTTTTTTCGAACTAGTTATTCTTTACTTACCTTTGTGTACAGTGAACCGTTTCGCAGGCACTCGCCTTGAAGATCTCCAGGGCGAAATACCCACACTCTGTAAAGACCAGCATGGTTGCCGCTACCTCCAGAAGAAGCTCGAGGAAGGCGTTGCTGAACACCGCGACATGATCTTCCGTGAAACATTTGGTCACTTCGCCGACCTGATGACCGACCCATTCGGAAACTACCTTTGCCAGAAGCTCCTCGAGTTCTCCACGGACGATCAGCGAAACGTCATCTGCGAGTCCGTCGCTCAAGACCTCGTCAACATATCCTTGAACATGCATGGTACGCGCGCAGTACAAAAAATGATTGACTTCTTGTCCACCAGACGCCAGGCAAGTCGCTTTTAGCGGATTTTCATCTTCCAGACTTACCGTAGAGCGCAGACTGATCATAGATACAACACTCAGATTCATTCTATTATTCTTGCGCTCAGCCTTCATGTTGTAGTGCTCATCAAGGACCTCAACGGAAATCATGTTATTCAAAAATGTCTCAACAAGCTCGCACCGGAAGATAACCAGGTCAGGAGTGTCGTTGTTTGCATGTGTTGGTAGACTAACTTTGATCCGGCAGTTCATCTACAATGCGGTGGCTGCCAACTGCGTGGAGGTCGCTACCCACCGCCACGGCTGCTGTGTGCTTCAGCGCTGCATCGATCACGCCTCGGATCACCAGCGCATCCAGCTTGTGAATGAAATCACTTACAACGCGTTGACCCTGGTTCAGGACCCTTACGGCAACTACGTCTGTACCCTGTTCCTCGTCTGTTACAAATTACTGACAGGCGTTGTTACCAGGTTGTCCAATATATCTTGGATCTTAACGACAATCGTTTTAGCGATGCTGTTATTCGCCAGTTCACAGGCAATGTTTGTGCGCTGTCTGTTCAGAAGTTCAGCTCCAATGTCATTGAGAAGGTGAGTTTTTTTTTGCGTCTTTGTTCTCATGCCGACTGCCACCCGTTCGTAGTGCATCCGTGTTGCCGAACATAGCACTAGGAAAATATTGATTGAAGAGCTACTCAACCGCACCCGCTTGGAAAAACTCCTTCGTGACTCGTATGGCAACTATTGTGTGCAGGTACTATCTTTCTTTCGTGCATTTGTGGTTTGTGCTGGATATTTTTTTAGACGGCCCTGGACTATGCCGAGCCGGCGCAACGTATGCTCCTTGTTGAAGGCATTCGCCCTGTCCTTCCCTTGATTCGCAACACTCCTTACGGCAAGCGGATTCAAAACAAATTGCAGCGGGAACAGGCCAACGCTGAGAGCTTCGGTTACCACGCTCCTCAGGGTATGATGCCCATGGGCAACCCCGGTCATCATGGTCACGGTCACCCCTCCGCTGGGGCCCGGCATGTCCCTCAAGGAATGCATCCTAATAATGGCATGGCTGAAGTCTATGCCCAAGGAGGCTTGTATGGTATCCAAGGCCAAGGCTCCTACGGTCACTCTCACCTCGGTCCCCAAATGCACGGTCTTCAGGCGCGTTCGATCGATGGATACGTTTTGCAAGGCACTTCTCCTCACAACGCCAGTCTGACACCCCCTCATACCCACGCCACTGGCTACACGGGCGTTGCTGGGTATGCTAACGTGAGCCCTTTTGGCACGGTCGGTGTTGCCGGGTCATTGAATGATCCTTACCAGAGCTACGGCTATGGCATGTAGAACGGACACATTGCATGCCGATTTGGACGTTTCTGCTCATTCGTTCGTTGCGCACCTGCGCCGTCGCTCTTTAATGGTTTCAATGTATATTTTATGTTCTTGCGTTCGACGCTCGATACCTCCACTAGCACGTCGCTCGGCTCGATCTCACTATCTTCCAGGAGATTATTCAATCATGAGCAAGGGCCGACTTCTATCATACCACCGCGCATTTGTACTTCCGCACCGGCATATTCCAAACCCCATTGCTATTAGTTGCTTTCTGATACATCTTTCTTATCTGCCACACCCCATTTGTATAGCCCTAATCTTCCCCGTCATCTAAAGCAATGTCTGTTTAATGGCTAAACCGTCGCAGCACTACCTTCTGTACTTATTGTCCAATCTATGATGTCGTTGCTTTTCGGGTCTTATGTGCGTGAGTTGACAGTTAAGCGTGTGGGCAATATTCAGGCATCACGATTCCTGTAATCATCAGACGTGGAGCACCGAACAGTGCAACGATAGTGCTGCTTATTGGAGTCTTCAATTTGAATTTCGTGTGCTACAAGGTACGCCAATGATCGATGTCGTATTGTCAACGGTACGAGGCGATGTTTTGAGCATTACTTGGTGGGTGCATTTCATGCTAGTCTTGTTGGCATATTATCATAGTGACATACAAGACGATTGAATGATTTGGCAAGATGAAGAAGTGTGACGAGAAATGATGATATAACATGCGGATGTGCGACTGGATACACTTCACCGGTTCTATTCGTCGAAAGTGAGCGGCTGTAACACGCTCGATCATTATGAGACACACCTTGACGAAACCGATGGCAGCCGACTTTTCGCGGAAGCACTGACGGCACAAGTCAAGGCCGTACTTGCGGATGAGACCAGCCTGGTGCGCACAGAGGCGACTAGATGTCCCAAGATCATTATTCAACGACTCAGGATGCAGACCATGCTTCGCGACTCACCACTGGCGGGCACCCTTTCCATACTTTCTAGGACGAGAGAACCAAACGGCGTCGTGGGTCATTTTGAACTTTTTGCTTGAGGCTGTTGCGAGGTTGGACTGGGTAGCGAGAAAGCGTAGGCTTTTGCTTACCTTGCCGGGACTGTTGCTTGCGTTGAGGGCCTTGCTATTAGAAATCGTCCGCTAAGTCAGAGTTGCCGTGTTTGGAAAACTGTACAGTGGCTGCGATAAGGTTCGATTACATTTTCGGTATGGGCCGAGGGTGGCGTTTTAGTGTTTTAGGTAGACGCTCTGATATCGCCCGCCTAGCTCAATCGGATAGAGCGTCAGACTCTTAAAGCTAGGCGATCTGAAGGCTGCGAGTTCGACCCTCGCGGTGGGCTATCTGTACGCCCGCCTAGCTCAATCGGATAGAGCGTCAGACTCTTACGACTAGGCGATCTGAAGGCTGCGAGTTCGACCCTCGCGGTGGGCTATGGTTTTTGCTCTTTGCTTTTAGACATCATGTCCCATAATGAAGAACGCACGACTGTCTTCTTCTAGAGACCAAGATCGTAGTGGGTTATCCATGACAATGGTCTGGCTACCGACTACGACCTTCTGGTCTCTGGCGCACCAACGTTGGCGGTTACGGTAGGCTTAATGCACGCTAGCCTGGCAAGAACAGACTGTACTAGCATTGTTGCTAATGTTAGTGTTGGGATCGAGATGTGATGTGGTGAAGGTGCCCCGATTCTGATGCCAACGGTTGCCGCTTGTAGTCACCTGCAGCCTATCCTGCAACCAAACAAGCGCCCACCCTCCTTCTCCTACTCAACGAGGTCGCTTTCTATAGCACGGCAGTCTCAGAAGAACCGTTTGAAACATTCATTCATTCGATCTGAAGTGGCTTCGAGCTGCCTCCAGCTTAAGTCGTCTCGCTCATTGCTATTTGACCCAAGTTGTCCTTGTCTGTCTCACAATTTTTGCCGATCTGATTATTGACCTAGGTTAACGAGTCAGAATCAATGCCAGTAGTCCTATTTTGTATTCCCTCTCGCTCTCTGACTTCATGAACAGCTTTGGTGACCGTCGGTCATCTGAAGGGACTTGGGAGAAGCTGTCCCAGGTGGCTGTCAAGAGTGCCGAGTATGACTCCCGTGAACGCTAGTCCCGTCCGAAATGTTTGAAAGGGACCCGGGTTGCTCTTCTCAATTACATCCATGGATTACCAGACAACCGGGAAAAGAATCAGCTCATTTGGCTGCACGGCACGGCGGGCGTCGGAAAGTCTGCTGTCGCTTTCAGTGTAGCTGAAAGGATGAAAGCTTTCAGAGTAAAAGAGCAAGTGACCAATAAAAGCGGCTCCTGGGATCGTCCTTTTTCTCGCGCAAGCATACAAAACGCTGCACGACTGGTTGTTTTTTTGCGATGCTCGTTTACCAGCCTGCCACCAATTTCCCCAGCACCCGGGAGGATGTGAACAGAGCTATCTGCGAGAATCCTGCGCTTCTAGACCCCGACAAATCCCTTCGCGACCAGATGGAGGTTCTTTTTCTCCAGCCTCTCCGGAGCCTTCGATTCAGACTGTGCGAGTGTCCGCCCTCGGTGTTTGTCATTGATGCACTTGATGAATGCATGTCCCAAACCGAGCTTGCTCATCTCATCTCCCTGCTCTCCTCGTGAACCTGATCTTCCCGTCATCCACATTCTGCCCACGAGTAGGTCGGAAACGCATATCCGTAAAGCCATCGAGGAAGAGGAAGTGCACCTACTGGTATCCAAGACACCAGTCGAAACTTTTGGAGAGAGCATTGCTACCATAATCTCGTTGGACGGCGCAGATGTCGATAATGACATCTATATCTTCTTGGATCATTCTTTCAGAGAGCTGCAAAGTCGCCATCCTGATTCCCCCCAGCCACCGAAGAACCAACTTACGAGGCTGGCGAGCGGAGCGGGTAGACGTTTCATCGTAGCCTCTACGATGATGAAGTTCATCGACGATGGAGACAATGATCCTCGCGATCGGCTCCAGCTCATGCGCGAGCTGACGAGCGACCTGCTACCAGGAACAGGTGTACAAGTTATACGGCTGTATCCTCTCCACATGTGCCGACCCCAACGGGCGTACATGCGCTTGTCTGTTCTCGCTGCCCTCGAGGATCCTCTGCCAATTTCACAAATCTTGAAACTTCTTGGTCCTGGTCAGGGCAGGGATATTGGTGCAGCTACGGTGTATCATGGATATTCCTACCGATAGTAGTCTCCCTGTGAATATGTTTCAAACCCCTCAAACTGCAGCCTCCCCCAAGTACAACATATTACCTAACCTCACACCCTACTCGCCCATGCCTCTTTCCGCTTGATGATACAAAAGACATTCCAGAAAGCGCGGCCCTTCTCGATGCGCTGTCAGAATTGAGGAAGCAGAACCGAGCTATGGAATGCCACGACCCCCAGAGCTTAAAAGACTCATTGGCCTTCATTGTCCAACCACCGGAGCCACTGCACGTTCTTAGTGGTCTGCTATGGCTTCGGTGAGATCGCAGTTCGTGATCTACAATTCTGGCTTGAAACCCTGGATGGACGTACCTGGCTACAGACCAGTGGACGAGATTGGATGGAGACTAGGAGCGGGAGAGGCTGGTTGCAGACCCAGGGTGGGCGAGACTGGCTGCGAACTCCGCGTGTGAGAAGCTGGCTGCAGGCCAGGGGCGGGAGGGACTGGTTGGAAACCAGGAGTGGGAGAAACCGGCTGCAGATAAGGAGTGGACGAGACTGGTTGCAGACCCAGGGCGGGCGAGAGTGGCTCCAGACTCAGAGTGGAAGAGGTTGGCTACAGACACAGGGCGGACGAGACTAGCTCCAGACCACGCACGGGGTTAACTGGCTACAGAGTGAATGGGGACGAGACTGGCTGCAGGTTATGGGCGGGCGTGACTGATTGCAGACAAGGAGCGAAAGAGACTGGCTGCAGACCAGGGGTGAGCGAAATTGGCTGCAGACCTAGGTCGGGCGAGACTGGTTACAGGTCCGGAGCGGGAGATATTGGCTGCAGACCAGTAGTGGGCGAGACTGGCTTCAGACGCCTCATGGCCAAGCATGGCGGTCGACTCCTGCGGCCTCTATCTGGGTGACGATGGAAGAGTTCTCGAGCACGTTGAAAGCAATCAGTGAGTACACAATCGACTCGGAATTGTTTTTACTGCCAGTTTTTCAACTCATCCAGCAATTTAAGAGCTTGCCAGATTTATTGATGTTTCCGGCATTCCTCGCATTAAGACACCAGGATAAACCCGTCTCTCCATCCCAAGGTCATTTTACATCTGACATGGAGATCATCCATGCTGTGAGGGCTTTTGCGGATTTCGCAAACGAAGCACGGGGACGAAGTCGATCAGCCTCCTCAAGTACGCATGTCAAAACTGGGCTTTCCATCTCTCACGAACACCACATCCATGGGACAACATGCTCAACCATCTATTTAAGTCTTTTTGGAATTGTCATCTCCTGTCTTGGCTCGAGAGGCAGTGATGCTTGAAGGGTTTGCCGTCTTACCTCGTTGTTCTGTCCGAGGGGCAGGAACTTGCCAAGGTGTGTTTATTTCCGACCACTTTCGCGACTCAGCACATAAACTGTGCATGCTAGGAACATCTCCTCCAAACTGCAAGGTCATCTCAGTCAAGAGTCTGAAGCCGTCGACTTTGTGCAATAAGCGACGCTGTCTCATTATCGCACGTTGATATATTTCTTAGTTGCCCAAGTGTTTATAGCATTCATGCGCAAGTATATATATTCCTGGTGTTCTAGCACGCCACGCTTCCAGGCCCAAGTCATTGAATGTGCAAAATGAACGCATCGCTTTCATAATTCCCTCCAACCTGAAAGAAACAATGCGCCGACGAGTGGTACGTGCGAGCAAGTTGGCTCATTCCTACTAGTAACGATAAAAATAGATTGCGTAGGATCAAAAATCCACCAAAATTATCACCGGCGTACTCCTCACGCACAGGTATTGAACCGTTTCCTGATGCTCGTGTAGTCCCCTCGGTCGGTTTGCCGTAGATAATATAAGCCACTTCGAGTCCAGGCGGCGCTGCCAGACTGGTATGGTCGTTCAACGACGTCAAAAATTATCCGCCCCGCCGGTGTGAGCCACATGTCTAGAGCAGACACACCGTTGCGCCCAGTGACGCCGATGACGAAGAAGAACAGCTGTCAGTGATGCCATGATCCATCTGCGAATACAGTGCCTGCCATATATGGGTCTGACTAATCACAACCCTTGTCTTCCCAGGTCAACAGTTTTACCCCGCTGGTCAATTTTAACTTGCTACATATACCACGCCGACAGCCAGCGACATCCACACGTTCCCTACTTTTTTTTTTCAAAAGTCACGGCGTAGTACAGCCGTGTCCTTCTTCATTCCGCTTCCCCCCTCTTCGAGCGAGAAATATTATGCGAGCGACTTCACGACGCTTCGCAGCTGGCCTTGCTCTGGCAGGTGCCTTTCTGACCGGCGTTGATGCTATTCAGACGGTCTCTCGCAACGGAAGATACCTTTACACTGCGGACGGAAACAGGTTTTATATCAAGGGTGTAGCCTACCAGGAGCAAGGTAAGGTCATATTGGTGTACATCAAGTCCTGACGTGGACTTGATGTTACTCCCGTCATGCCACATGTCCATGCTCATAATGAGTACAGGTGCGGTGGTAGCGGACGCAAGCAATCCTTTCCTCGAGCCATCTACTTTCATCGACCCCTTGGCAGACGGCACTGCTTGCACTCGTGATCTTCCTTACCTGCAGCAACTTGGTGTCAATGCCATTCGCGCTTACAGCGTCAATTCGTCGCTGAACCATGACTCTTGCATGCAAACATTTAGTAATGCCGGTATTTATACCATGTGAGTACCCATGAAGCAGTCTCAGTCCACTAGTTCATTGATTCTGTCTAGCATCGATCTTTCTCTGCCTGGGAATGGTTCCATCGACCGCAACTCGCCCTCCTGGACTACCAATCTACTTGATGTATATATTGAGACTATCAGTGCCTTCTCAAAATACAACAACGTCTTGGCTTACAATGTCGGAAACGAAGTAGTCATCGCACCCAACGGAACGGCTGCTGCTACCTTCGTCAAGGCAGCTGCTCGTGATGTGAAATCATACCTGTGGGCTAAACCCGAATTTACGAAACAGTTCTCATGTGGCTAAATGTTTTTCCCCCAGTAATTCCATCAAGTCTAGTGCGCTCGTTGGCTACGCGTCAATCGACGGAGATTCTACATGGCTTGCTCCTTTGGCCAACTATTTGTCTTGTGATCCTTCTGGTTCAAACTCCGGTGCCGCTGCCATCGATCTATTCGGGTTAAACAATTAGTCAGTTTGAATTGTTGCCATCCCAAATGTTGGTCATTGACATCGTTCTGTAGTGAATGGTGTGGAAATTCAACCTACCAGGCTTCTTATGCCAACACAGAGGCCGAATTTGCGGCTTACAATGTTGCAGCCTACTTCAGCGAATTCGGGTGCATTACCTCCCCTCCTCGTCTGTGGACAGAAGTTGGGGCGCTTTTGAGCTCGGAGATGTCTCCCGTTTGGTCTGGTGGTGTCGCATTTTCCTACTTCCCAGCTACGAGCGTCCAGGGACAGTTCGGAATGGTTACGATCTCAACTGATGGCAAAACTGTCACTACAAGCAGCGATTTCAGTAACCTACAGACTCAGTACACCGCTGCATCGCCACCCAATTCGCCTGTGCAGAGCGCTGCTGGCGCTGCCAGCTACCCTTCGTGCCCTCAGCAGAGCTCCAATATGCTCGCTTCTAGCACTCTCCCCCCTACGCCTAACTTGGCTGCTTGCCAGTGTCTCGAAAACAATCTTAGCTGCCAGTTCACGCCTACGACCAGTAACTACTCGGCAATCGTTGGATCGTTGCTAGATTACGGGTGCAGCCTTATCGGACAGTCCGGCGGAAGCTGTAGCGCGATTTCTGCTAACGGGACATCAGGACAATACGGCGCGGTATCTGAGTGCGATCCCAGTAAGTTCTTGATGTGAGAACACTGCATTGCTCAAGTGCTGATTCATTCATTCCCATAGCGGTGATGTTGTCCTATGTGATGAGCGAGTACTACATAGCAAACGGAGCCAACGTTCAATCATGTAGCTTCGGTGGGAATGGAACCGTCAATAGCAAGGCACCATCCAGCGCCAGCGGTGCTAATTCTGCGGCGTCTTCCTGTCTCGCCAGCGCTACGAGCACGTCCGTCCCCACTCTCCCTGCTGGAGCCTCGAGCGCTCTCGGGTCATCCACCACTACCTCGAGTAGTGGAGGTAGCTCAACTAGCGCCGCATCAGTTGTTCTCGCTGATGCAAGGACCCTTGATGGGCATGGGAGTCCTTGTTGCGGCTGGTATTGCTAGTGGGCTCTGGACACTAGTTTGAGGTGGTAGAACAATGGACCCTTCTCAAATTGGTTTATGTCATGGACTTTCGTGTATATGGATCATTGTTCCGGAGTACTGTATATGCCAGTAATTGATGTAGATTTATACCCTGAAACACACATCCCTGCGAAAGCATTTGAACATGTTTGGCAGAGTTTGTTTGTTTATGACATGCTCTGTTGATCCCCTGAAATATTTCCTAGACTATTTTTTCCACCAAAACCTCCAAGATGGCTGCATCACCGCTAGCAGCACAAGACACCAATGACAAATGGGGCTTTGGTGAAGACCCAGATAACATGGGACCTATGTCCAGTGCTGACCCCCTCGTTGACGACGCGCCTCTGGCAGCAGACGAAACGACTTCCGGGCAAATAGCAAGCGGCTCTGGTCATAAACGTACCCCCAGTGGTGACAACGGCGTTTCTGGCAGCAAAACCGACTCCGGTCGCGAAAAGATATCCAAGGTGCTTAGGTCTCCTCTTATTCTTGTTGAAATCCCCCGCTAGCTTGGATCTCTACCGCCTACGCAATGATCTTGTCTCCTGACTATGATACTGGGCGATTAGTTGGTTCTGCGACTAGGCGACTTGCTACATCTGTCCCTGGTTACTTGCGTGCAAATTCCTCTGTTCGCTGGTCTTGCCCTTGTCTTCTCGCTGTTCTGACTCGCTTCATTGTCTGGCCTCATGTTGAACACATTGTGCTGCACAGCCGAACAAAGTTTATATTGGTGGTTTACCAGACCATACCCGCCAAGAGGACCTCCAAAGTTGTTTTGGAAAGATTGGGAGGATCGCCCATATCGAGCTGAAGTATGTTCTTCAATCTTTTTTTGGGACTTGGTATTCATTCAAGGTCTGGCATACAGAATTGGCTATGGTTTCGTCGTAAGTTATCACTGCCTCTGGTCATATGTGTGATCTCATGCTCGTGAACAGGAATTTGACACTCGCGAGGCTGCTGAAGAAAGCGTTGCCAAATACAATGAAGGGTACTTCATGGGTAACAAAATCCGCGTGGAACTCTCCCACGGTCGCGGTCGCGCTACTAGGCGTTCTGATGATCCCGGTGCTTGCTTCAGATGCGGTGAAACCGGTCATTGGGCTAGGTAAGCAGCTAATGGTCACAGGCGCTTGTTGCTAACAAACGGCTTTACCTTTACTAGGGAGTGCCCTCGTTTACGATCGTAAGTTCTTATATAAATTTGCTGTTGAGGTTACTTACTCACTCCATCAGGCGTCCTAGAGGTTCTTCTCAGGATGCCGGATTGATTGAGCGATTACAGCCGCCAAGGGACTACTTGCCTCCTAGAGACTTTGGTCCCCCTGCGCGTTACCCTCCAGGTCCTCCACAGGAAACGAGGTATTATGACTATCCGCCGCTGCCACCGCCTCCTGGCAGAGAATTTCGGCGTCCCCCGTCGCCTATGAGGGATTATAGAGATTATCCAATGGGGCCCCCTCCACGCCCCCGCGATTACGACGATTTCAGGATGAGGGGACCTCCACCGCCACCTCCTTCCCGGTATGATCGCCCATACGACAGGGATGCACCACCGAGAAGCTATCCTCCACCAAGGGACTATGACCGCTTTGAAAGGCGGCCTCCGCTAGATGATAGGTACCCTCCCTCGAATTCCAGGCCTAGGACACCTCCTGGTCCCCCTCCTCGCCGCGACGATTACGATAGACCTCCCCGGTATGGCCTGACTTCTCGTATTTTGGTTGAAAAAGTCTCACTGTCTCCAAGGGATTACATTCCTAGGCCACTTACACCACCCCCTCGCCAACCGGACTACCCACGTTCTCACAGTCCTGAGCAGTCTCGCTACCGGTGAGCTCCTTGTTATATCATATCCTAATATGACCCTCACATATCAGTAGTCGCCGCTCGATGAGCCCTCCACCCCGCTCTGCGCATTATGATGCCTACCCTGGCGCCAATGGATATCCTGGCGACAGGTCTGCTCCTCCGAGGGACGACAAGCGTGTCAGAGACTATCCCCCCCGCCGCGATGCCCCAGAAGTTGGCTATAGGAGAGCCTAACGTGACTTCCTTTGCTTGGCAACTTCATCTGCCGTTGAAAACTATCTATCTATCTATCATGTCTTGCTTTCTATATCTTTTATGCTCCCATCTTCCATGTACCTCCTTTCTTGATTTCGTCTTTCTCATTGCTGCTCCGCTTGCTGTGTTTGCACATTGGCAGACATGAATTAGCTTCGATTTAAATGCTCATCTTGCTCTCCTATTGATGTGGTCCATTTGTTTGCTGTGGCTAGATTCTAGAAGCGCTTTTCTGTCGTTTCTTTCGTTGACGAGGGCTTGAACAAACCAAGGTCCATCGTACCTGGCAGGCCTGGACTGGAGCCGCCAACGAGACTTAGAAATATTTACCTTGCTTGTTTCTTGCATCCCAGAAATTTAAGGCTTCATCGCACCAATGCACAAGGTACTCTTGTCGTCGATTGACTGACCGTGACGGAATGGTGGAATGACCAGCTTGCTTCAAGGAATTTGGATAGGTCTTACTTAACTACATGATGTAGGATGCACGTCACGGTGATCCTAGGGGCGGCATCGGCTGGTTTCCCGTACGTGTTTCCTCACCAGACTCGCAGTGCCCTCTAGCCAGAGTAGCCTGACTTGAGATTCCTTGTCCACGGATAGCCAGGTCTCCCTCGGTGCTCGCCCTGAACGTTTGAACGAGTAGGCGCCGCAAAGGCGCAGATGTAGTAGTCTTAACCTGTTCTCAACTTCGGCATCGACCGCGACCATCTTCCGACTTCGTTCCTCCTCGTTTCAAGCCTCCTTGACGTCTTCGTGGCCCTCCTTCACTTTTCATGGTAAGCTTATGAGTTCATCCGCAGTCTACGAAGTGTAAAGTGGGCTTACTTGTGTATATCCATGCTCATTCTCAATGCTGAATTTGATCTTTCAGATGCTGATGCAGCCACGGGAAGTGTGTAAAGACTCGGTAAAGCGGTGGATTCTTGACTGCGTGGCCCAATGTCGCAGAGGCTTTTAAGCAGACCCTCAGACGCTCGTGGCCCTTGGCGGTCAAGCCTGAACTCACGGAGGTGATGGAACTTCAAGTTTCATCATCTAATGACCGAGTGGTTGCTAGCGCTCATCGTTAGTTCGGGGTATAAAAGGAAAATCTTCGTACATCACCAGTGTCGAATATCCAAATTGCTCGAGATAACCGTTCCACATACTAGGTACGAAGCAGGAGTGTGAGGCAGGAGCGCCAAAGAACGTCTTCATATTGAAACCTAACATCGCCAGCGTCTAATACTTCCCGTAGGCTGGAATAATCGACGAGCTCCGAGCGCCAGAGAACGGTCGAAGGAAAGTCAGCGTTGTGTTAACGGGACCCAACATCACCAGCGTCCCGTAGGCTGGAAATAATTGACGAGTGCCGAAGAACGGTAAAAGGAAAGTGTTGGGACACAACCGGACTCCAGTGTTTGAGTTTGCAAACCGTTGTATTAAAGCCTGCCACGGTGCGTTAGGTGTCTTTTTTTGCAAGTGAAGGTTCTGACATCGCAAGAAGGGGATTCCCGAATGCAAAATCGTGTATGCTATTACATCTATTTGCGTGTGCTGGTGCTAAGTTATAACCAACTGTCTTTCACTAAGTTGAGGTATATATAGATTCTAATTGGCGTCAACGTCCTCGACAGTCGAAGATGCTTAGGATCTCGAGTCCGATCGAGACTTCCCACAATCATAGAGTCCATATCTTTACCGTAGCATCGCGTCCACCCGATACAAGGTACCGGTCCATGTATCGTAGGCGCTCGACGGGCTGCGTATGTCCATTCGTGAGAAGAGACGAATGTTGCATACTCGTACGATTGTAGATCTACGGATATCCAACGGCGAAAGAGTGAGCAATCAGCGGTACTAACAACAGCCAAGAATCCCACCTTCACACCATTTTCGCCAGTAGCAGCAATAACCTTGCGGGTGTCGAACTGTAACGCGGTCACGGCATGATCATACTCGAGGGTTTCGAATGTGCCGCCCGTCCTGACGTCCCATATCTTACAAGGCGCTTCAGAACGTCTCTAGCCATAGAAATCAACGTACATACCCGTATTGACTTGTCAAGACTTCCGCTGGCAATATGCATCTCATCGAACTGAAGACAAGTCACGGGACTGGTATGTCCCATCAACGTTCGGTGAGCCTGTCCCGTCCGCACTGTAGATGAAACTGTCACGTCAAATGCGGCAGAGGGGACCATGACAACTTACTATCCCACATTCGTACCGCCCCATCCCCGCTACCGCTCACGAGCCCATAACCCCAGAACTGGACTCCACCCACGAAGTCTTGGTACATCTCCCAACTTCCGTCTGCATAAGGCGGTGTAGGAACTGCGAAGTGGCCTGCAGAGGCCGCGGCACCTGGGAACAACAGGTGATTCGGTAAACCATTGCCTGGTATCGTGGGCTGTGGATGGGAAATAGCCCATAAGATGTCCATTGTCATGACACACTGTCCAGTCGTAAGGTCCCATTGACGAAGTGTCTTGTCCGAAGCACCAGTGACCTGCGAGCGCAGTGAGATGATATGGAAATAGAGAACGAACGAAATATTTTACTAGACACTCGTCCTCAAAGTAAAGCGCAGTAACAGCCTTACTGTGCCCTTCGAAGGTCCTGATGCAAGGTCCGGTGCGGTCAACCGTGCCTGCTTCGCTGGGTTCACTTGACCGAATTCCATTTGGCTTTTCGACGAGTTCCCCATCGTAAGCGGTGCCCTCATCTTCCTCCGCAACATCAGTAAGACCATCTCTCTCCCATTCGTCTTCGTCTACCAGTCGAAGGTCCCATAAGCGCACGGTGCCATCCTCTGCGCCGGTCAAGCAAAGGTTATCTTCGACTTGTATGCATTTGACGGCACCGCGATGCCCACGCAATCGTCCAATTGGATCGCCTGTCATCAAATCCCAAAGTAGTGGCTGAGAGTCCTCTTGCGATGCGCTTACGAGCGTCCCGTAAGGCTCGGAGAAGTCAAGGGCAGTTATTGGTGTGAGGTGACTTTCTAGGGTCTACATCCAATTAGGTGTGATTTTACAGGATGAGATCGGATGCTGAGCTCACCATGAATGCTACTCCTGGTGGGAGCTCGTCATGTTCTGACGGTAGGAAAACGGGTCCTTCAAGACACTGGTAAACCATTTGCAATAACCAAATTCGCTACAAATTACCTTTCCGCCGCCGCGAAGGGGCAACATGAGGTGCCGCTGCAGTGTTGGCGTTGTCACTCTGGCGGAAGGCAGCTTGCTCGAATTCTATTCGTTCCTGCACACCCCCAACTGTATGCAGGTCAGTGACATTTCGTATCATTAAATTTGTCCCTTACGCTCATCATCCAATTCCAATTCATCCTCGTGCAATTTAAGAAGGTCTTGTTCGAGTTTATCACGTATTGAGTCCAGCGCTTGGATTTTATTGTTTATTTCCGCAATTTCACTGTTTATTAGACTCTGCGCTACGTCAGAAAGGTCATGATGCGAGATAGTATGACATACCCGTCGAACATGGAGATTCTCCTTGTCGAGTAGTATCTCCTGGGTTTGTCGTCTAAGTTCATCCTTGCCGAGGGCCTTTGCTGCACTAAGGCTCTCCCTGCCTCGTCTCCTCCCCTTTCGTTTTCTTCGCTCATCGGGACGCGAAACCACTACCACATCCTCTTCACTTGCGGCACTTCGCTCCTCTTCATCTTCCATCATCAGCCCTCTCGCACTCATTCCCAGTTTTTTCAGCCCAATCCTTGGCGTCTCGACATTCCGCATCTGTTTGCGCCGCGTCCGGTTTTTCTCCGAACTAGGAACTGTCGCATTAAAACCACGAAGTAAGCTCACATCAGATGCGACACCCTCCGCTTCTGGGATTTCTGCGTCCAAGAGCTCATCGGTTGCCTCGGCGATCTGCAGGTCTCGTGAGGTGATGCGGCGGTTACCTAGGGTGAGACGCATTGGGGCGCGTCCGAGGGTTGCAAAGTCTAACCGGGATCCTCCAGAAGCTGAGCCACCAAGAGAACCTCGCGAACGTGAGGATACCGTCGCCGCGGCGTTCATCATACGGGGAGTCATTATTACGGGGGCCACTAGAAGAAAATAAATCAATGAAATGAGTAGAAACGCGTATTGCTCACGGTCTGCAAAAATGCGCGAGGAATCTTTCTTCTTGTTACTGAAAGGCGCGAAGAGGGTTTTGGACACCAAGTCCATCTTGCTGTGGATTGTGGACGGTTCCGGGTCCAACGCTGCACGGGTAATGTCTGGCCGGTCGGCTGCAGACTTTCCCTTATACTTTGAGGACATCTAGTCGCATTCCGCACGAGAGCGAAAGAAGGGGAACCACTAGTGTAAGCTGAAGATACTTATTACTTTTGAGAAGGAGGACAAGTTGCAAGCTTTCTGGTTCTGAATGTCTCTGCCGCGGCTACCGGGCTGGAATTTCACACGCTCGAAAGTCTAGACTCTGCAGTAGACACATATAGTATACAACAGATGCCTAGTCTATGATTATAATATTAATGATGATACAGACACGTTTCGAGCAGCATGCGTCAAACACTACTTTTCCTGTCGACCTAAGGCCAATGAAAATCGAGAATGAGATCAAACCCATATGGATTAAGGTCACATTCAAGTGGTCGACGAGGGGATGGCGACGACGTTGGAGAAGGGACCAACGTTGTCGTCGTCATTACCGGTTCCATATCCGTGATTGATGGTGAGGCTCGAGCCTCCGATTTGGCGAACATTGAACGAATTGCTGATAAAGTGGACTTTTGGGTGGTTATGACGTTTACGGTATGATTTGCCGAGGAATGCGTCTCCTCGGGTGATAGTGTTTCTCCTGCTGTGCTTGGCGACTCCTCTGCTTCAGTGAGCTTCTCCGTGCGCCCCTTCATTTGGTGTACCATATCTGCAGCTAGTTTCTCCACACTTTCCCTCTCCCATTTCTGCATATCGTATGGTTCAAAAATCCCCGAGGTAAAATCACACCAGCATCTGTCGTTAACGCGAATTATGGGTGGCATGTATTCCTGCAGGTCGAGATCAGGTGGTAGAGTTGCATGCAATGCATCATAAAAGGTGGTGATATTGGTGGACCATGGAATTGAGAGGCGCGTCTCCAAAGGAAATGATTGCCAATAACATGATGACAGAAATAGAGCTGCGAGAAGAACGATGCAGTAGAAGCTACATGTATGTCAGTATACCTGGACACGTTCATAACAAAATATGCCTCACCATGGTTTTGCGTGCAAAGCTAATGAAAACAGGAAGAGCACCAAAAAGAAAGGTTGAGCGGTTGGAAGAGGCAAAAGCAACAGCGGCAGGAACCACCTTGTGCACCTAAAATCATGAATGATGAACTTATCTTACTCTTACTGTAGCTACTCACCACATGAATGTGCAACGACGATTTCTGACTTTGTTCGTCAAGCTTGTTCAATGTAAACCGTGACAGATGCGTGACTACTACCGGATTATTCCGGTGAGCTAAACCGGCAGAAGATCTACTTGATCCAAACTCGCCATGGCTTCACAATCGGCAAGAACTTTTGTTTTAGCTTCTCGAGCATCCAATCTCGCACAGATCCAAACGAATATCGTCAGAGATGACCTCGAGGCTGCATTTCCGTCGCTTTCATTCAGCACCTCATTCATGACCACCGAGGGCGACAAGAATCAATCACAAGCATTATATCTACTTGGAGGAAAGGCACTATGGACCAAAGAACTTGAAGTTGCATTGAGGGAGAATGTGGTTGACATGCTCGTCCATTGCTTGAAGGATGTTCCAACAACCCTACCAGATGGCTGCGAGATCGGGGCGATCTTGGAGCGAGAGAATCCTGTTGATAGTCTGGTGGTGAAACAGGGCTTGCCCTACAAAACTCTGGAAGAATTCCCTGCAGGAAGTGTAGTGGGTACCAGCAGCGTCCGGAGAGTCGCCCAATTGCGAAAATCTTTCCCCGGCTTGGTCTTCCTAGACGTCGTAGGTTATTGGCGCTTGATACACATCGCACATGCTAACATGTTTGCAGCGGGGAAATCTGTAAGGCCGTGGATTTATTTTCAAGCTAAGCTTAATTCTATCCCCAGAAATACCCGTCTGGCGAAGCTCGATGCGCCCGATGGTCCTTATACAGCACTCATACTGGCGAAAGCTGGTCTTGTGCGGCTAGGCATGGGGGATCGCGTTACGGCAGATCTCGCTGCACCGATACTTTACTATGCTGTATCCCAAGGTGCCTTGGCAGTGGAGATTCGTACGGATGACCAGGAAGCACGCGAATTGTGCAAAATGCTAACCCACCAGGAAACACAATGGAAGTGCCTCGCAGAGAGGGCCTTGCTGAGAGAACTCGAAGGTGGATGTAGTGTTCCTGTTGGCGTCTCTACGTCGCTATCGCAGATCGATAAAAGCGATGGGCACCTGACACGTGCAACCCTCACAATAACGGGTTGTGTAACATCAATCGATGGTTCCGTGCACGTTCAAGATACTCTTTCGCAAGAAGTTGGGAGCACACAGGAGGTAGAGGAGTTGGGTAGAATGCTTGCAACGACATTGATGTCGAATGGTGCCAAGGCAATATTGGACGACATCACCCAAGATAGACGAAAGAGAGCCACTGATGCAGCTGAGTAGGTAGGGAAGTCGGTCGTGATGCATCGGGTAACGAAGTGACTACGATTCTGTTAAAGAAAAACCCTGTATCGTATACTGGACGTCGATCTCTGGTAGTACACCTTGTACTGGTACGCAATGATCAATTACTGCTTTGACAACCGTTTACCCTGCATCCCGAGTTGTTGTGCAGTCGCGCATCGATATCAAAACAAGGTCCCAAAATATTAATGTTACAGTGAGTAGATGAACGAGCTCTAAGTGCCTATGGCACTGCAATGAGATGCGGCGGCAATCATAATGCTGTTCCCCGCTCGAAACTGGCCCGAATCTCTGAGGTATATTTATCGTAGTATCGCGCAATCTGTCACTCGTCAGCTCATATTTCAAGGACATGGATGTGCCATGACAAACCTTTTTGTTGAACACCCGATTCCGCTCATTGATGTAGGTAATATCGCCCTCCTCCTCATTGAGTCTCTTTCGAGAGAATTTACCCTTCTTGTCGATGCTACGACGTGATGTCAGTGCCGCAGGGTAAGCCAAATAACACAGCAACATACTCTCTGTTTATCTTGCCAACTACTCTATCGATGGCATCTTCAGTAGGCTTGCTGTCGGCATACAACAGTGTGTTAGCATCTCGGTAGAAGCTCTCTGCGGCCATCCGTTGTTCAGCGGTTGGTACAATCTAAGAAATACACACAGTAAGTAATACAATAAAAGGGAAAGGTTAGTAGTACTGACCTGTCCGCCTGAAGGATCAAATGTTGTGAGAGCAGAAGAACTGCTCCCAGACTTGGCAAGCGACCCAGGGGCCAACCCCAGCACGACCTCTTTCTGTCGGCTGTATGCAACAAGGTCTGGTTTAATTAGGTCAAGGTCCTTCTTGTAGCGCCGTCGAGCTGCATGAGCATCGTCTACAAAAGACTTAAGTATGAGTGACATCATGCAAGGAAGAGCAGAAATCTCGCACCGTGAAACTCATAGTCTGCTCTCCGTGCTTTCCTCGCCTTCTTCTTTTCCCAATTGTCGTTCTCTTCTATTGTCCATTCCCAATTCTTCTGCCGTTCCACATCCTCTCCCCGTTCCTCGGCTTCAGCTTGCGTGCGCAACACCTCTGCAAGTTTCCGTTGACGTTCTAGTCGTGCAGCATCTCGTACTGTCATTTTGGCTTTGGCAGACTCCTCAATGAGGGAAGCACGATTAGCTTTCGTAGATGAACGCTGTGGCAGAGTGAATAAGGAACATGGAGTACGAGGGACGCAAGACCACGCACCATCTTGGCTCTTAGCTGCTCCATTTTTGCTTTTCTTTCATCCATGGTCATTGTGACCTCCTCCGCTGCTTTCTCTTCGCCGCCATCTAGTGAAGACATTTGTTAAGTTAACCTGCCTGTGTCTACCTTTGAGATTTCATGGAGGTGCATTCACGTGACCTTGTGTGGCTGCGTTTGCCGATCTAGCGTCCGCGTAGCCTAGAAAAACTAGGCGTTTCTTCGTCTTTCTCCTTTGTTCGAAGGCATCATATAAACCTCTTTCCCAATTTCACGATCACCTAAAACGCGATGACAAACCGTCCTGAAGTTTTGTGGGCTCAACGCAGCAGCGAGACCGTCGCTGACAAGGTGTGCCTAGACTTCTATCATTGATCATTTCTGTACTGATATGATCCCCTTTGCGATCGCGCATCAGAACATCGTGTACTTGACCGTGAACGTACCAGACATTGACGAGAAAAGTCTCAAATATGTACTGACTCCTACTGAGATTACCTTCGAAGCAGAGGCAAAAACGTAAGTCAGCGCTATATCAACTCTCTGAATTTATCGTTCCAACACCATCTACGGACATCAGCGACAAGAAAGTATATGCGTTCTCGTTCCCGCTATTTGGTGAAGTAGACACAGAAGTACGTTTCTTCATCACAGTATCCAAATACCCGCCACTGATCGTCTCTTAGGCGTCTCTTAGCAAATTGAGCACGCGCTCTTTCACGGCGGTGCTGCGAAAGAAGGACATCAAAAGTGAATATTGGCCACGACTAACGAAGGATAAGGTGAAGCTGCCGTTTATCAAGACTGACTTCAGCAAATGGGCCGATGAAGACGAGCAAGATGGCGCACCTTTGGATGAAGATATTGGCGGCATGGGTGACATGGGCGGCATGGGTGGCATGGGCGGTATGGGTGGCATGGGCGGTATGGGTGGTATGGGCGGTATGGGTGGCATGGGCGGCATGGGTGACATGGGCATGGGAGGCATGGGTGGAATGGACTTCAGCCAGGTGGGTCACTTCTGACAATATCTTCATCGTGCTGATCATATCCTCTCAGATGATGGCCTCCATGGGCGGAGGTGCTGGTGACGCCGGCCCATCAGGCGGGGACGAACCAGCCGACTCTGACTCAGATGATGATGGCCCACCCCCTCTTGAGAATGTTTAGCTCGGTGCGTGACAGGTTGAGAAGCCCCTAAAAACGCAAAAGAGAACTGTGCGCTGTAGATGCGATCCCTTTGATTGTTATTACCAATGAATCTGCCTATTGGATAAATCCTCCAGTAATAAGTGGGCGTACGCGTATAGGGGAAGGACATCGTGTCAGTTAGTGATATTGCCAATGTTATGTTGAGTTCAATAGCACAATCAGCGAGTGTTAATATCAAACGTATGCTATCATGGTAGGCTCGAGACCGGCCTGGCTCATGCTGCTACTGATGGGGCTCGTGTGGTATAGCCCCTCTAAATACGTTCGTCTTTTACATGCAAACACCGGACATACATACTACGTGACGAAACTATATCATACAGTGATTCAATGTCCGAGGGGAGTAGAAAAGACAACGGCGTCAGACAGGACACAAAAGTATGGTGGCAACTCCAGGAAAATGGCCCCACATGATTATATATATCCCAAATTCAGGTCGTAGGAGTTACTCCTACAGCTAAGAACCGCAGAAGACTTAAAATATATGAGGAGCCGGTTGACCTCGTGCCACCGTGACGTCTCATGCCCGAGGCCCATTCCATAGTATCGAACTTGGCCGCCATCGACACCAGGCAACATCGAGAAATGATGCAAGCGACGGCTTCAGCATCCGCTACGTCAGAGTGGCCCACGTCCAAAACTTGAAGGGAGTTATGTTGAAATGATTCGGCTTTAGGATCGATATTGATATTCACAGCGTCAATTGGTAATGTCAGGGGACACAAGTGGGGACATTGACAGAGCGCTGCGAAAAATCCGCGGAATGTAACAGTAGGTAGATGGGGTTCATCGTCCTTTAACCTCAGGCCGTGCATGTGCGGCCAACTTGACATGACTTTCAAGAGAAGGTCGTTGTCAAGGTAGATGGAATAATTATCAAGAACGAGCCACAGCATTCGTAGCTGCGTGAAACAAAGGAATTGTGTAATTACTGTTGAGGGGTTGCCTGAGGGCTGTTGGAGTCCGAACGATCCGAACGATCAGAGACGGAGAAGACCGACCGATCCGAGATGGTTGAGGAGGGAGAGTGACAGGTGGTCCGAGCCCAAGCCAAAATGGACATTGTCGAGCGACGCGTTGACGTCGGCTCGAGTCCTCCAATATTTCACTTATTCATTTGATGTATTTTTCGTTACTATATAGCTTACTATAAGAACGCCACTGGTAGCACGAGCGCATCTCAGCCTTTCTTCAAAGAGACTGAGATGTGAGTACATACTCTTCACGTATCAATTAGAACGCAGCTAACGTGTCGTTAGTATACTTGTTCATTAGGTACTTAGCTCGTTGCACGAGCCTTTCTTCAAAGAGACTGAGATTATACTTGTTCATTAGAACGTCCCCGAAGGCCCGCGATATAATTACTCACCACAGGTTATGAGCCCTGTCTCGACCATGGATACATCGCTCCCCAGCTCCAACACCACCCTGCTTAACGTCCCGAAGCTTGCCGAAGATGGCTCGAACTGGATAACCTATAAGGAGCGGACGTTAACAGCCATTGGCGCTAGAGGTCTGATGCGGTATACTGACGGTCGAGCAAGTGAGCTGAAACCCTTTGTGCTTGACCAGAAGATGAAGGTTATCGTGAAGCCAGACGGGACAACGCCTACGCAGGTGGATTACGATGAACTTGATAAACATACCAATGAATACCACCAGAAAAACTCACTGGTAAAACAGCAGATATTCAGCACGATAACCGATCGGCTGTTACTGTGAGTCCAGAAGCTGAAGGACGTGTCGAAGATCTGGGAAGAGATATGTCAGATCCATGAAGGGAAGACAGAGCTCGTCCAGATAGACTTACGTCATCGGATGCAAGAGACGAAGTGCGATGAGGCAGGAGACATCAGATCTCACTTCGGAGAGCTCATGAGGCTCCAGTGAATTGCTTGCAGGCATGGGCTGTCGCGATCGCCGACTCAGATTTTCACGTGATCATCCTGGGTTCCCTCCCCGAGTCTTATAGACCACTCCTGTCGTCCATCACAGCAGCCTTGAAGATCATGAAAACTCCCGTCACACCCGATGAGCTCGTCACCATCATAACTGAAGAGTATGAGCACAGACTGCTTACTGAAAGATGCCCCTGGCAAGAAGGGAGCTAGCGCAGCTCTCGCCGCGAAGGAGGCAAAAGGCAAAGGGCGTGCTACACCATCCTCCACCAACAAGACCAACCCCGATGTTACCTGTTTCAACTGCGACTGAAAGGGCCATTACAAGACGGACTGTTGGAGACCTGGAGGGGGCAAGGAAGGGCAAGGCCCGAACCAGCAGAGGAAGAGAGGGGAAAAGCCTCAGAAGCAAGCGGCAAACTCCGCAGCAGAAACCGACTCCCAAGACCAGTACACTTTCATCACGTCAGACTTAGTGAGTGTAGCGAGAGACCTGGGCTTACCCGTCGAGAAGAGAGGCGCGATCGTTGACTCGGGGGCAACATCTCATTTTTGCCCCGATCGCTCAAAGTTCGCCAACTTCGTTACCATTCCCCCCCAAGATGTCCATACTGCGGACTGGTTCTACTCTCAGCGCGATTGGACAAGGAGACGTTCAGATCGACTTACCCCTTGGTGAGAAGCGCACTGACAGTAACGCTGAAGAATGCACTATATGCCCCTACCATGGCCTTTACCCTCATTTCCACCAATCGCATCACGGCAGGAGGCCTAGCTGTCCTTTTTGAAGGCTGCATGTGCAAGATATTGTCAAAGGGGCCCCTGCGGTGTGTCATCGCAGAAATTCCTCAAGTAGAGGGTCTGTATAGTGTGGTAGCGAGTCATCAGAGACACCACACTAACGTAGCAACCATGAAGCTCACCAGTTAATGAGGTGCATCGCATCCTCGGACACAGTGTCCCAAACTGCTGTCATAGACGCAGTGAAGAAGGGTTTGATAATGGGCATCGATATCGACACCACGTCAAAGCCAGAGTTCTGTGACGCCTGCATTAAAGTGAAGTCAGCTCGAAAGCCCTTCCCAGATGAAGCTACGACCTGCGCACTTACCTACGGAGAGTTAGTCCATACGGACCTCTGGGGACCAGCACAGACTGTGAGTTTAGGGGGGTGCCTATACTATATCAGCTTTACTGACAACTATAGTCGCCAGACGAAACTTCAATTTTTGAAGCTCAAAAGCGAGGCACTCACCGCATTCAAGGCCTGTGAGGCCTGGCTAGCGTGTCAAATGCCCGGCGTTCGCTTAGTGAAAGTCCGTTCGGACCGAGGGGGAGAATATCTGAGCGCCAATTTCGATGACTACCTGCATCAGCAAGGTATCAAGCGTCAACTCATGGTACACGACTCACCCCAGCAGAACGGCGTGGCGGAGCGTCTTAATCGAACATTAGTAGAGCACGCACGCACAATGCTCATCGCGAAGGACTTACCAAAGTTCCTGTGGGCCAAAGCAGTAAGCTATGTGACCTGGTTGAAGAACAGATTTCCCTCCTGTGCAACCCCCGCCACTATGCCTCACGAACTCGTTTGTAATATCAAGCCAAGCCTGGCCCAAGCGCACGAATTCGGGACGAGGGTCTATGTCCATCTCCTGGAGGCGGGTAAGTTGGAGGCAAGGGCGGAGGAAGCTCTCTTCGTTGGAGTGGATGTAGAGAGCAAGGGGTATAGGGTTTACTGGCCAATGAAACATTGCGTTTCCGTGGAGCGCAGCGTCACTTTCGCGCCCACAGAGGTAATGGTACCTGAGGATGTCATGGACGAGGGGGAGCCAAGTGGTTCCACCGCCGCGAACGACCCACCCAACAACCCCGGCAACGCGGAAGGCGTCCAGACCATCCCTCAGGCACCCTCTACACCACCCAGACCAACCGCCAAGCAAATCACCCCTGCCAGCGCCACGCGTCACGCAAAACAGACCTCTTCCTGGGTACTATGCAAGACTGCAGGAAGGAGAGACGGCGTCAGTCGCGATCGAATCCTTACTAGAAGCGTCAGAGTTGGACTTACTGGATGAGGAGTCCCATATCCACCTTGCCTTAGCAGCCGCCAAACCAGAACCAACCCTGCAGCAAGCCCTGAACGGCCCCAACGGAGTTGAGTGGCAGGAAGCTGTAGATTATGAAATCAGTCAGCTCGAGAAGCTAGGAACATGGGAGATAGTAGACGCACCTCGCGGCGCAAACCTGATACCCTGTCATTTCAGTTCTGGCCACCAAACACAGTCCTGATGGTGAAAAACTCAAACTCCGGGCCCAGTCTCGTCGCGAACAGGTCAGAGGCAACAGTACAGGAGTCAATTACTTCGACACATTCGCGCCCACCGCCAACATGAGCACCATTCGAACGGTTCTGACGATGGCCGTGCACAGAGAGACTGGGAGATACATCAAGTCGACATCAAAAGTGCGTACCTCTATGCCAGTATCCAGGAGGAGATATATATGAGGGCGCCGCCTGGTTATCTGAAGGATGGGCAGCAAGGAAAGGTGTTAAGGTTGCTGAGAAGCTTACCTGGGCTGAAGCAAGCAGGCTTCGAGTGGGCAGGGGGGTTAGCGGGCGTTTTCGCGAAGCTGGGCTTCATGCGATCGAAGGTCGACCAGGCGGTCTACTTCAAACGTGGCAAGCAAGAACATGTCATCATCACCGTATCAGTCGATGATATGGCCATCACCGCCAACCATATCTCCCACATCAAACATTTTAAAGCGCAGCTGCTCGAATTTTTCGAGATATCGGATCTAGGGGAGCTTAACTGGTTGTTAGGACTCAAGGTAATGAGAGACCGTGAAGCACGTACCTTGACTCTATCCCAGAGAGCCTATGTCGACACTGATAGTCGAGCGGTTTTACCTAGGGGATGCGAAGAACGCGCTAACACCCATGGAGCCAGGAGCGATCCTATCTATTGATCAGTCGCCCGGTACAGCAGCACAGCTAGACGCGATGCGTGACGTACCGTATCAACGAGCAATCGGATCCCTCATGTATGTGGCCACCAGCATGCGACCTGACATTGCATTCGCCATTGCTACCCTGTCCCAGTTTATGTGCAACCCTGGTAGGACCCACTGGGAAGCCACCAAGCGCGCGTTGCGTTACCTGAAGGGTACCGCGGATTTCGAACTTACCCTTGGATCAATGGACGGAGGTATCGAGGCGTTTGTTCGACGCCGACTGGGCATTCGCAACCCCACAGACACTCGATGTCTGGATATATTGTTATGTTGAATGGCAGCCCCGTTGCTTGGAGCGCGTGGAAGCAGCCGCTCATCGCGCTGTCTACTGCAGAGGCTGAGTACATCACCCTGACTAGCTGTTGCGAGAGAAGTACTTTACCTTCAGTACCTCATTGGAGAGCTTTATGAACCAACTCCACTCCCTACCCCCATCTTTTGTGACAATCAAGCAGCAATAGCGCTTGCATCGAATGGGAAATTCCAATCCCGAACCAAGCACATCGACTTACGGTATCACTTCATCCGTTCCCACATTAAGAACGAGACTTTCCGACTCTTCTACTGCCCGACCGACCATAACGTCGCCGACTGCGTTCACCAAGGCCCTGCCTCGCCCGCGCCTGCAAAAGTTACGTGGACAAATGTCCCTGGCTTGCGCTCGAGGGGGAGTGTTGGAGTCTGAACAATCCGAACGATCAGAGACGGAGAAGACTGACCGATCCGAGATGGTTGAGGAGGGAGAGTGACAGGTGGTCCGAGCCCAAGCCAAAATGGACATTGTCGAGCGACAGCGTTGACAGTCGGCTCGAGTCCTCCAATATTTCACTTATTCATTTGATATATTTTTCGTTACTATATAGCTTACTATAAGAACGCCACTGGTAGCACGAGCACATCTCAGCCTTTCTTCAAAGAGACTGAGATGTGAGTACATACTCTTCATGTATCAATTAGAATGCAGCTAACAAGTCATTAGTATACTTGTTCATTAGGTACTTAGCTCGTTGCACGAGCCTTTCTTCAAAGAGACTGA